GGCATTTATTGATCAAGATGTTTTGTTGTATTGGTTTTTGATGATTCTATTGTTCATGACTAATCAAGTTCTAAGTGGAGGTATAAAGTGACTAACTGCTGCTTAAGATAATTCGTCATCTGATCATGTCCAGTATAATTTTTTTAAAGGGGGGACCCTCAACCCATGTAGCTGAGACACCTCACAGCAAGTTGACCAAAGTGCAGTGGCTCTTGCTTGTGATCAGTTTTCTTTAGTTTTGTACTAAATTACTGATGTTTTATAACGTTTTAATGGGGTGTAATTTTGTTAGGTAGGTATTTAAAATTATTAGTCTTTTGGAAATTGAAGTTTTGATCTTTACTATTTATTGTTAATAAAATGCTCATTGCAGCCAGTTATTTTAAGATTTTCATCATCATCATCATCATCATGTGATCAGTGCATCAACTACCCGCCGAAGCGGTGTGTTGGGAGTCCCCCCTGGGATCATTTCGTCCGTAAAATTGTATATAATGATTAAGATAGTATACAATACAGTTTCAGTAGTTGACCCATACAGTTAAGTCCGTCATAACTCACAATCGTTTAATCGTAGATGTCAATTGTCAAATAGAGTGAGCGATCAATAAAAGGTTACAATTAAAAAAATATCAATATATTAAACATTTAAACTATTTGTTTAATTACTTGATGACAACCCTTTTTATTCGAACATTTTGTTTGTATGTTGTAACTTAATCTTTGTCAATTGTTAACTTCGTAACACTTGCCTTTCAAGAAGAAAGCGGCAAGCGCAGATTAGCAGAAATTTAGACGAGTAACATCCATCAATTTAATTGTTAACCTACAATACACAATTCCGTGGCATGATATGGCGAAAAATATTATTCGATGCGCAGTTCATCCTTTGGCACCCAGTATATATACAATATAGTAATCGAATTAAAATTTTGAATTACACGAAATAAATGGGTGCATGTGCAACATATTTTATAACCAAACTTGCCCATGCTGATCTATGATTTTCGTTTAACGTTATATAAAAGCCCAAATTAAATTAGGGATAGAAGGGCGTTTGGGCGATACCTTTTATCCGTACAATAGAAACTCAACGCTTAGCTGGGGACCTAAGGCAAATAGAGTTTATAACATTGAAGTTGTGATGGAATGACAGGCTAAACCATGACACATGAGTGTTGCTAAAAAACTCAATGGGCGCCTTAGTAAAATTTTAAACCTAAATTTTACTTAACAGGTGAAACTCGTAAAATATTTGTTCCAAATATACGTCAACTTCGCGTGCAAAACTAAATTATAAAACTATTTCGTGCGTATCAAATTAGATGTGCTTTCGTGTTTTGGTGAAGATATAGCGCGAGCCTTTTGATATTGAATATTTAAAATTTTGTTTTCCTTATTTTCAATAAATGATCTGGGGGGGAATTAAACTATACGATTATAAAACAATTATGATTAATCACATTAATCACGACCAAAGTAGTGCATATTGATTTAAACTACAATCCTATTTTAAATTATAAGGTTAATGGTATAGAACTTGAAGTATCTGCACAGGTAAAAGATTTGGGGGTTATTACCATAGCCCCCTGCTTTGGAACGAACAGATCAAAGCGTGTATCTCTAAGGCAAATCGTATGATTTGTTGGATTGTAAGGAATTTATTTATTAGAGAAAAAGTTGTTATGATTGCTTTATATAAAGCTTTAATAAGACCTCATTTTGAGTATTGTTTATAATTGTGGAATCCACCCGCGGCTCATGGAAGTTGGGGGACTGTTCTGGAGAGCGTCCAGAGGCGGTTTACCCGTCTGATTGATGAGGTGGGTACTCTTCCTTACAGCCGTGACGACACTGGCAGAGCGGCGAATATGTCGCATGGGGAACTCATAGAAGGTCTTAATCGGTCTTAATCTTGTTTCAAGCAACAGATGTAGTAGAAGTGTAACTAAAATCAAGAATATCCGGAAGTCTTTTCTCCCGGAGCGAGTTATTCCATATTGGAACAAACTCCATCCGGACGTCACGAACTCTGTGACAGTTTTAGGCTTTAAAATTAAATTAGAAGGATTTAAGAAAGATATGATTTCTAAAAGTATTACAAATGATTGCTTTTTTTTGGAATGTTTCTAATGAAGTTTTAGTAAGAATTGAGGGAGCCAGTTATGTCAGTAATAAAGAGAAACATAACGATTATCTTTGGTTTCATCCTTGTGTGGCAAAGAAGCGTTTTATAAATCTGTATTCCAACCCACAAGCATGAGCCACTTTGGTCTACTTGCTGTGGGGTGTCTCAGCTACATGGGTTGGGGGTCCCCCTTTTTTCCACTGGGAAGTTTTATTAGGTTCATCCCTATAGTTGCTTATCATTAATTTTGATCAGAGGATAGCTTGACTGCTTCGTAAAGGGATTAATTTGACCCACAAAATCATTCCTCAGATCACTGCATCTAAAGTGGTTCCGTATGAAGATTCAATATGCAGATGGTTAATTGAACAGTCTGCTTTTACATTTTTGATTGAAGCATTCTGGATTCAACTTTATTGAGAGATCTTGTGATGTATCATTTTAAAGCTAATATAGTTTTGTATTTCCCATTAATTGAAATTCTGCTTTAGGTTCAAATTCGCTTACCAGCACAGCAATATTATGGGAAGCTTCAATGACTATATGGACTTGAAGAAGCAGAAAGAGGGTGATCAGAACTCAAATCAAAAATTTTTGCTTGACACTGGAAGGATTTCCAATATATTTAAAGGTGTTTCAATTTACATAACAGGCTTCACCAATCCCCCATCATCTGTCCTGAAAGAGATAGTGTTACGAAATGGTGGTAGTGTGACAATGTTTTTCAGCAAAACGCATGTGACTCACATAATTGCTTCTAATCTGCCCGATTTTAAAGTAAAGCTGTGGAAAAATGATATGATTGTGACTCCTCAATGGATAGTTGATTGTGATGCTGCTCAATCAAGGTTATCCGAAGCTAAGTATATATTGTATAGAACTTCTGAAAATATCAGAGACATGATGACATCAAGAGTTGAAGTATATCCTATTAAGAATGCATCAAAAATCATACCAGAAACCACCAGTCATGACTTTGTTGGCGAGTTTTACAGCAACTCTCGCCTTCATCATTTGTCAACATCGGTTTCTGAATTAAGACAAAAAGTTTCCAAGCTTCAAAACCAATACCATCCCTCATATATTCCCATAAATAAATCGCAGACTTCTTCAGTTATACTGCACATTGATATTGATTGTTTCTTTGTTTCAATCTCACTTCGAACAAGGCTTCATTTAAGGGGAAAACCTGTCTGTGTTACCCATGCTAAGCCTAATGAAAATTCAGATTCATATGCAGAGATATCCAGTTGCAGTTATGAAGCAAGAGAATTTGGTGTCAAAAATGGGATGTTCCTTGGAAAAGCTCTTAAGCTTTGTCCCAATATAATTGCAGTTCCCTACGAATTTGATGCTTATCACAAAGCTAGCAATGAGCTATACCGAATTCTTGTTGAAAAGACACCTTATGTTGAAGTTGTTAGTTGCGATGAAGCATTTGTAGATATTGTAGAGCTTGTTGATGTTACTGATGAAGCTGCAATAAAAGGCTGGGTTCAAGAATTGCGAACTGAAATACATTCAGCTATTAGTTGTACTGTATCTGCAGGTATTGGTCCAAATAAATTAGTCGCCAGAATGGCTACCAGGGCAGGGAAACCAAACGGACAATACTTATGTTATTCTGAGAGCTCTGTTTTAGATTATATTAAATCACAGCCTCTTCAAGATCTCCCGGGTATCGGAAGCTCAACATTCCACAAGTTGGAATCAAAGTCTTACAAACTTTGTGGGGACCTCTTGACCAAGACAAAGTCAGAGTTGTCTGAGCTGCTGGGTCCAAAAACTGGTGAAACGGTATACAATTACTGTAGAGGAAGAGATTCTAGGGATCTTGTTTTGAAGCATGAAAGAAAAAGTATTTCAGTTGAGATAAACTACGGAATAAGACTAGAAACAATCAAACAATTTGAAACATTTTTGCTTAATTTGTGTGACGAATTAGAAAAACGGATGAAGAATGAAAACGTTGTCGGCTCTTTGGTTACTTTGAAAATGAAAGAAAGGTCTGAAAATGCTGCGGTCGAACCAATTAAATATATGGGGCATGGAATATGTGACAATGTTAGTAAGTCTGTCAATATAGCAAACGCTACAAATAGTGGGAAGGTTATTCACTCCAAAGTTATGTCTCTTGTTAACAGCATGACTTTGAATCCTGAGGATCTCCGTGGAGTTGGTGTGCAAATGAGCAAACTCAAAGAAGCCAGCCCTGTAATATCAAACACTACGAATGTGAGTAAAAAATCTGTGAAGCAGAAGAATGTTCCAGTCTGCAAAACCTTCCAATGCCCTGTCCCTGAGTTTCTTGGTCACAAGAACCCTGCAGACGTGAAAAATATCATTAAAAACTGGTGCGAAAGTCCTGAGCCGTTTCAAGTTGATGCTGATAAGGTTGATGAATATATCACCGACCTGATTAAGTATGGAAACATCAGTCTTGTTAAGGAGCTCTTAAGACTTATGAGAAAACAGTTGAAAGTGAGAGAAGCACCTGAATGGAATGCAGTTTTTAATTCCACCCTTCAGAATGTTCAAAGAAAGATCCATGTACTTTTCAACGGTATTCTCGATATGGATAACCTTTGAAATTTTGAATTGCTATGATGTCTTCGTTAGATTCTTGACCACAATAATTTACTTAAATTATAAATTCAATCGATTTGAATTTACTTAATTTTCTTTTGGCTTACTTATAATTCCCCGTCATGTTGCAATATAGATATTAGTTATTAGTATATCTTAAAATCGTATCCGTATCCAATTTCACTGTAAAATGTAAATCTCTCTTACACTTACATGTAAATTAGCTAACACACTACATTAATGAATAGGAATGTGATATCTTGAGGAGGAGCGGGTATTAGAGGATATGAGCACCATGTACGAGGGACATCCAGTTAACATACAGGTCAAGGAGAAGGCCGCCAGGGCTCGCGTCAGTATGGAGACTTACTACCACAATCTGGTGGTTATGCACAATGAACGAGATGGCAGGTAATCATTACATTATCATACATTACATTATTACATCATGCAACTTTTATCATATATCCCGTTACATAATCATAATATCCAATTACATTATTGTGCTGCTGTTTATTAACTGTTAAAATTACATCATGCTAGACTACTATCATTGTATACAATTGCATGATAGTTCGTCACTGTTGTGTAATTATCATTAACTAGACTGTGAATCTTACACCACTTCTTTCGTCAATGTTTAATGAATAACTTAATCATTTAATTACCTATCCTTGTATACACATTTAGTTTGCTCTGTATATTTTAGCAGCACCCCATTATTCAACATCACCACTGTGCTAACAGTGTGTACCTCCTGTTATATTTTATAAAAGATAATGATAAATTACCTATTAGGTTGAAGAGCTTGGAGAAGAAGATGGACGAACAGAGACTTAACGAGGATGAGAGAGAAGACCAGAGACGGAGACAGGCCACTAAGGAGACTGACTTTCTCAGACTCAAGCGCTCTCGACTGGGGGTTGATGATTTTGAGTCACTTAAAGTTATTGGAAGGGGTGCTTTTGGAGAGGTTACATTCTGTTTATCATTTTAGACATTTTAATGATTTTATCTAATGATGAGCTATAAGCAAAAGTTTTAGTTGTGTATATTTATTTTATTGGCTGGATAAAAAGACTTTTTTCACAGGTTCGTCTTGTACAGAAAATTGATACAGGTCACATATACGCGATGAAAATAATGCGCAAAGTAGACATGTTGGAGAAGGAGCAGGTAGCGCACGTGCGTGCTGAGCGCGACGTGCTCGCAGAGGCCGACAACCCATGGGTGGTGAAAATGTTTTACTCGTTCCAGGACTCAACAAACCTGTATCTGATCATGGAGTATTTACCTGGTGGTGACATGATGACACTTCTTATGAAGCGGGTAGGTCTTGTGCAATGTGGAATGTGGGGAACATTCCACACCATTTCAGTGGTGCCTTATCGTATAAACATAGGTCAATACAAGTTGAAACCACATTCAATAGCTAGTTTATTTCTGTTACATTATTTACATCTTGATGTGCTTTAACTAGTGTTATATACATTCTACATGACTCAATGTGCCTCAACAGTGAACAATGAGCATTACTCACTCTGTCACATAGTAAAGATAATCTAATGCTTTAATATTGAACCACTCTCAGGACACACTGTCAGAGGATGAAACTAGATTCTACATGGCGGAGTGTGTGCTAGCTATTGAGTCTATACACAGACTTGGCTTCATACACAGAGATATTAAACCTGATAACCTGCTCCTGGACGCTGGTGGACACATTAAACTATCTGATTTCGGGTAATTGTTGTTGTTGTTTGATTAATTCATTCTAAAACTTGCTTTTAAAGGAGCCTTTTTCACTCAGACTAAGAATAGTAAAAAACTTTGTCCAAATTTTGCTTAGTCCCAGATAGCAACTCCCGCTGAGTAGCACGGAATATCGCAATGTAAACAGGGCTATAATATAAGGTATTACTACCTAAACAATAACACAATACTTCTATCATCGGTAGCGGGTATTCCACGAGGAATTCCACACGGATTTCCACATAGAATGGCCGGTATTCTTGGATAATACCCAACTTTAGAGTAGAATCGGCGGCAGCAAGCGTGGGACTACACATAAACGAAGGCAAGACCAAGGTCATGACACTGAATATGGAGGATCGATCTAGCGACCTACAAAGTCGATCCGGGGAAGCCATAGAAAATGTAGATGATTTCATCTACTTAGGCTCCTGGATTGAGAGCACAGATAGGGAGATAAGGGTTAGAAAGGGAAAAGCGTGGGGTGCCCTACATAGACTGAAGGATATCTGGAAATCCAAACTGTCAAAGAGCCTAAAGATTAGATTGTTCATAGCGGCTTGTGAATCAGTACTGCTCTACGGATCAGAAACCTGGACACTGACAAAGGCTCAAGAGAAAAGTTTGGACGGGACATACACAAAGATGTTGCGTATGGTGCTGGGTATCTCATGGAAGGACAAGGTCAGCAATATAACTTTGTATGGTAGCCTCCCAAGGCTGTCAAACAAGTTACGAAGCAGGAGATTAAAAATGGCGGGACACTGCATCCGACATCCTGAGCTACTTGCCAGTGATTTAGTCTTATGGGAACCTACGCACGGTAGAGCACAGCAAGGCCGACCAAGACAAAGCTACTTGTCTATGTTACTGAAGGAAGTTGGGACAAACTCTAAAGAGGAACTGCGAACCCTGATGCGGGACAGGGATATATGGAGGGGGTTTTCTGGCGTAGATCGGACTTAGCTCCGACATAGTAGTAGTAGTTTATTATGAGGGACACAAATAATATAGGGTGTACTGTTGTGAGTAATTTCGGACAAGTAAGGAGCAGGCACAAGGTTTAATTCAGTAGCAATATAATAGTTATAACACAGTATATTAGGCAAGAGAAGCGATGTTTTTGAACTAGAAGAACAATTAAATTAAAACATCAAAGGAATGATTAAATTACTAGAACATCTTTTTATTTACAAATGAACATAATTTGGCATGTTGCCCAACGTTCCCAACTCACATTTGCAATGTTCATTCTATTATAACCTGGTCAGTTTCATCTACTTAACATAACTTGGTCAGTTCCTCAGTTTTACAATTCCTGCAACAAGACATTTCTAGACTCCACCACAACTTTCAGTCCCAGTTTGTATCCTGGTGCAGGAAAACTATCGGCATCCTCCGACACATAAATTGCGTAGTTTCCGTAAACAGGACCTCCCCGAGCATACCCACTCCCATTATCACTTCCTTGCCAGTAGCGAGCAGAACGGTCTTGATTCGAAATTTCGTGTGCCAAACTTTGTTCACCAACGCTGACCTCAGTTTTTGGATTGCACCAGAAGTCGTTCCCAAAACCTCTAGTTTTGTCGGAATTTTCTGTCGCTGAAGCAACAAATCCTCCTGTCATGACCAACCTGTGACCATTGTCATCATTGTTCCAGTTGAAACCAACATCTCCTCCAACAGAGAATATTGGATCATCGTTCAAATTCTGAGCATTAGCTCCAACGTTCTCCTGAAGAGGACCTCCCTCAGTAACCACCTCTCTTCCAGGGTCTACATTCCTAAACATGGATAGCAGAGATCTACCCTTCTCTTTTAACCGGAACACTTTGACTGCGTCCACCTCCCCTCCCTGGTGTCTCACCAGAGCCATGTAGTTGACTGGGTGTCTCCAGATAACCCTGTTCAGATAATCTTTAGTCAGAGCGTCAGCGTAGGTCCCGATAAACTTATCCTCAGTCCACCCCGTAACGTAGTCCATCATGTGGCCATCCTCTGGGTTGAGGTTCATGGCCATGTACCAGGATTGGGATTCAATCCTCTCAATCCTCTCAACAGTGCGTCCTGCTGCCAGAGCAACTACCAGTCCAACCAATACTATGTACATTATTGTTACCTTCCTGGTGTTGGTATGAGAGTCATTTAACAATTATAGTATGCTGGGAAAATTTAGTTAACAAACGAAGTAATGTAAACTTACGAAACTCTGGTGCGAATTATCAACTTATGGCCTGGTGGACTGAGATTCGGGAAATAGCGGAATAAATTTTGATTTTTTTGTCACATGTTAACACCTTATAGCAACATTATATTGCAATTACGCGTGAGAACTTTGTTCTTGAAAATGTGACTTCGCACAAATTATCCGCAATTTTCCTCTGAATAATTTCTTCGAGTTTTGGAGTATTCTGTTTAATGAAAATATTCTCCCACTAGGCTGGCTACAGGACTGAAGAAAGCGCATAGAACTGAGTTTTACAGAGATCTATCACTTACAGACTACGCAAAGGAAGCAAACCCTGCTAACGACCCCATGGACAGTAAAAGTAGAGCCGCTACTTGGAAAAAGAACAGGAGACAGGTTAGACGATAATACAAGAAATACAATTATCATTCTCTAATTATTCTGTCAATTATCTTCTCTCTTTAAAACTCTTTTCTGATCGTACTCGACAAATCCACCAGTTTTCGGTGATATATGCAGATATAGGGTGCAAAGTATATTAAAAATAACATTATAATAAACCTTCAGCTGGCGTACAGTACAGTAGGAACACCGGATTACATAGCACCTGAAGTGTTTCTCCACAAAGGGTACACTGGAATGTGCGATTACTGGAGTTTGGGTGTTATCATGTACGAGATGCTCATCGGTATGTGAACATTTGGTTATTCTATTCTTTAAATTAGAGTTTTCTAAAATCTTTAAGTAAGATAATTCTAGGAAAATAAGCCCGTAAACCCAGTATTATTTTATTGATTTTCCATTAAAGATCATAGAATTATACAATTATACAATTATACAATTATACAATTATACAATTATACAATTATACAATTATACAATTATACAATTATACAATTATACAATTATACAATTATACAATTTATTGTCAGGTTACCCACCGTTTTGTTCGGAGAATGCGCAGGACACCTACAGAAAAGTAATGACCTGGAAAGAGAACCTAATATTCCCACCTGAAGTGCCAATCTCGAACAACGCACGATCTCTCATCTCACGGCTGGTATGTAATGTCGACGAAAGGCTCGGAAAGAACGGCGTTGAAGAAATTAAGGAGCATCAGTTCCTACATGGTTCAGATTGGGAGTACATCCGGGACAGACCTCCTGCCATTATCATCAGAGTCAAATCTATCGACGATACGTCCAACTTTGACGAGTTCCCTGAAATCGACATCAAGGCACCACTGACGAGTGAAACTACCAGTAATTCCAAGGATTGGGTGTTCATGAATTACACGTTCAAACGGTTCGAGGGGTTGACTCAACGAGGTCTGGTATAAACTTATTTAAACGTTGCTACGTTTAATCTTTCTGAGGCTTTTGAAGAAATTTGCTGGATGTTTGAGTTGGAGAAACTGTACTATTACCGCTGTATTTTCAGAAATACTGTTGACTGTTAATACTATTTGAATAGGAATTTCTAATTAGGCTAAAATTCTGCAGATTGTAAATTGATAGTATGATAATGATAAAAACTGTTTACATAAAGTGGGTTTGAGCATGATACTGTTTGACTAAAGTGATATTTCATCCGCTGGATTTGTCAAAACGCTCCACTTTCATTTAAATTGTAAATGTTTTCTAACAAGATGAACTTCACGGTACTATTTCGTTTTAGAACGATTTTGCGCAAGTTTTCAGAGGCTGGTATTTTAAAACTGAGCTCATAGCACAATTGATGACTTGAGTCCGATTATAATGTATTTAAGATTTCGATGTTTGATGAATTGATATTTACAAAGCACGTGTTTTTGGTTCACTTTCGTAGTGAGTACTTGTACTCCTAATAGCGCCAAACAAATCCAATTTGTCACGCTTGAAACCGAACTTTGAGCGCGAACTCAGCAAAACATTATTGTGTATCAGTTAGGTTGTGTTCAGCGTTTTCTTTGGTCATGTGACTGGGAACGGCGCGCGCATTTATTATTTTGCACTGGTCGGTATTTTACATTTTATTTGGTCTGAATCAAATTTACACTTGAGGTCAGAAATAGTTTGAGCTAAGACCTGGTCGATCTTTAAGATTTATGTTTGCATTCCAGCTTGGAATAACATTTCCTTTATAATTCATAAGACCAGTGTTGATGATTGTACGACTTTCGTCAATTCTCCTTCACCTCACGGCGAAAAGCAAACACTTCAATGGATGGTTACCGTAATGGGTGCCACATGCCTAGCATGAAATATTTACCTACTTACTTGCACTTGTGTAGGTCTGTAGAAGCATTCGTATCGGGCGTTGCCTGCTACATGCTATCCCGAAACTAGAAGCTTGCTTTAATAATAATAAGTATATTCATATCAGTATAGAGCTAAAAAACGGTTCGGGTATTTGTTGTCCCAAAAAATGTAATTAAATATGTACATTACAAATATACCAAAAATGAGCATACGAATATTATCCTTGCAGCTTCAAGTTCTATGCTATGAATATTCCTTGAGTTCTGCTTCCGCCTCAGCTAACTGAATTTTGACAGTCATCAAATTTTTCTGAAACTCGGCTCTCTGCCCTCTAATCCTTTGATTTTCACCCTCTAAATGTTGACATCCTAAGCAATCTACATCAATCAATTTAAGAGAAAAGTTTAACTGCACAGATCTGATAATGTCCATCTTCATTTCAAGCTCCATTCCATCAGAATGAAGCTGAGATATCTCATTCATTATTTTCACTCTTTTTGCTGCATTTGAGCACTTAACTAGCTTCCTCTCTAAGATCGATAAGTTTTCTTTCAAGGCATTTCTTTCTTGCTCTTTCGTGCTAACTTCCATTTTTATAGATTCCAGCTTTTCGGTCTTTTCTTTTCGAACGTTTTCCAAAATAATTGCATGAGCACATTCGCCTTTCAAGCATTCGTTTTTCATTATTACCAGTTTTTCCTTTGTCTCCCTAACTTCAATTTCCATGCTGGACAAAGAATCTATTGAGCTCTTTTGACATTCCTGAAGCTCATTCAGCTGCTGTTTATGTCTCTCTAAATCAGTCAACAAATATTCCTCTGCTTTACGACCTTCTTTCAGTTCTCCCTTTAATTTGGAGCATTGATCTTTGGTTTCTTTTAACTCCAGATTGAGAGCACGTATAATTTCTTGTGGTTCTCCATGCTCATTGATCTTGTTTGTCAATCTCTTAATAGTCCTATCCTTTTCGGCGATCTCTCCCCTCTGCTCATCTATTTTTTCCTCTAGAACAGCAGCTTGGTTTTTAAACGTTTGCAGACTACCAGTGAGATTAACCCTACTTTTAGTGGAACTAGGGCTAGGAGTAATAGGTTCGTCAGCTTCTGACGTGGATTTAGGAGAGGTATACCCACTTTTTGGCAGCTGTAACATTTCGAATTCCTGTCTTCGTATGGTTTGCAACTCTTCGTACATTTTCAACTCCTTCTCAATATCATCTTTCTTCTTTTGTAACTCTCGAATTTTCTTCTTCTGCTTCTTCGAACTCTTCTTTTGTTTGTCTCGTTCTATCTCAACAGCTTTCTTCTCAGATTTTACAGTTTCCACTCTTTCAATCAACATTTCCAGCTCTAATTTTGCGTCACGAAGTTTTCTTTGGAGTGACTTTTCTGACATGATCAAGTTCTCTACCTCGTTTTCTAGAGATTTGTTCGCGTGTTCCAGATACTCAAGTTCTTCCAAGAGTTGCGTTTCGTTGTGGGAGAAAACGTGAGAAAGTTCAGATGGGTTTCGATTGTGTCCGGGTTTGAAGTTGGTCACCACTTGGGGCACTTGGAGAATTTCTGGTGGTAGCAGAAGTTTGTCCCAAGATTCGCTTCTGGTCAGCATCGATTGCCGCTGAAATTATTTGAATTATTACTACATATTTATTAGAAGCCTACAAACCTAAAATTGATATCGACACGAAAATCTGTGAATACTTTAGTCTCAAACGACTTAACTTTGACTATCAATAAAATTTTTGAAAGTATCATGATACATTTTCAGTAGCAATACGATTTATCAATAATTGAAAGAGCAATTTCAATTTAATTAGCAAATAGTAAATATTTCTCACAGTGTCACAGCATCCACAATTACTTACTGTCGTACAACAACATGTCTTTCCCAAAAACAGTAATGCTTCCATTTTAATATCACTGCCACTATGAATACGAAATCACTACAACAGTAAAAGTAAAGAATCATTTTTCCAGCAAAATGTCTGCCATTGTGTCCAATATCTCAAAAACATACGTCATACTTCTAACTCTGTACTAAGCTTTTAAAGTACTTCATTTAATTCTCAAAATTTGCCATTAGAGATGACAAGTTCCGAGACGGAGATCTTACTCTCTGAGCTGTTCTGCCTTGCCTTGACTCTCTTACTCTTGGACTGTTTTGTTGAATATTCTCATCTAACTGTACTCTCGTCTGTTTATTGTACCCGAACTGTTTTTGCTCTCCCCTCAAACCTTCCTCCCTATATTCTGATGGTGGCTCCACAGTCACAGCCCACCCTTTTACTTTAGCTACTTCTAGAGCTGCAGATTGGGACTTCACTTTTCTTTCCAGCTCCTTGCAGTTTTCCAAGGTTGTCCGAAGAAGACCTTGAAGAGAGGTGTAGTCTTCGCGTTTCTTGGAAAATTTATTTGTCGTCGTGGTTAGGTCCACAGTAAGATCTATGTTTTTCATTTCTACGTGCTCCAATTTTGACTTTAAGAGATCAATTTCCGTCATTGATTTGTCCACTTTGTGCCGAGTTCTTTACAAGAAGGTCTGACGCAGAGTTTTTCACCTGACATGATATCATAAATCTGTGCATTAGTTTCTGAAACCAGGTCTTTTAGATTCAGATATTCTGTTTTAAGGTTTTTGATCTTCTCTTTCTGCCGCGATATTTTCTTGCGTGCTTCTGATAATTCATCAGACTCTGGTACACTATTTTCCTCCTTTTCAGTTCCACCACTAATTTGCTGCATGAAATCTGAAAGGGAAGATACTTGGGAGCTTGTCCTTGAGATTGGGAGAAGCTTATCATGTTTCTCCACAGTATCAATTGCCGTGGCTTGAACATCTTTCTGCTCGCTATCCTCTCGTTTGGAAGTCTCCACTTCCAGCTTCCTCTCCATATCCGCTAGTTGAGTACTCAGAGACACAGTCTCGTTTGTCAACAGTCTACTGTGTGTCTTCGTTTTTTCCAGCATTGCTTCTAAATCACTAACTTTTGTCTTCAGATCGTCACGCGTCCTGCAAAGCTCTGAAAGTTTCCTCCTATTGTCAGCAATTTCTTCCACAAACTCCTGACATTCTTTTCTCCTGATATTGAGCTCTGCTCTGGTTTCTGCTAACAGTTCTGACTCTTTAGCGCTGCCTGATCGACAACTCCCATCTTCACATCTCCTCCTGGACATCGTAATTTCTTCTTTTAGGCTGGCTAGTTCGTTTGTCAGTTTTCGGTTTAGCCTCTCGGTTTCTTTTGTGATATTTTCATTGTTGATCATCTCCATTTTGTAAACAGCTAATTCTTTTCTCAGCTCATCTTTCTTTCCAGTTAACTTTTCTACCTTTGCACTAAGGGTTGTGATCGTATCTTCTCTGTTCTTAACGATGTACTTTGTTTCGCTATCTTTGCTGACAGATTTCATTCCACTTGAGCAGCAACCGGAGTTACAGAGTTCATCCCTATCCACAAGTTTACATTTTAGCTGCTCGGCTTCCTTTACTAGCTCGATGTACTTTTCGTCCGCTTTATTCCTCGAGTTCTCCATCTCACTGACTTGTTTTTCCAGCGTAGCCATCGCATTGTTTAATTCTTTCCGCTTCATCCTGGATTTGCTCAGTTGAGATTGCAGGGTATTCATAATGTCATCCTTTTCTTTTAGCTCTTTTTCAAGTTGTTGTCCAGACACACAGAGACCTTGGCTACACTTCTCCTGCACTTCAACAATCTGCATATTCAGAGCTTCTATCATTTCATGTATATTGTCCAGTTCCTTTGTCTTCTCCTTCCACTTAGGTTCCAAAACCTCCACCTTTTCTGATAACTCACAGTTCTTGGTCTGGAGCCCCAAGTTTTCTAATTTCAGATCGCTCAGCTCCATCTTCATTCTCTCGATTGTTCCTGACATGATTCCCTCCATCTCCTGGTGTCTAGTTGACATTCCATCGTACAGAGTTTTATAATTCATTTCACAATCCATGCTTAGCTGGCTCTCTAAACGCAGAAGACCAGTTGAGTCAGCATCCTCGTCCACTTTTTCCCTTCTTTCTTTTTCCAGTGACTCTAACACGTGAAGTTTTCGCTTTAGCAATTCAATTTCATCTTTTAGGCTAGTGCATTCCACTTGGTAGAACTGTTTTTGTGATTCTTCATCTTTTAGATGTTTGATAAGCTCCCCATTGTCCATTTGTGCTTCAAGTAAAGCCTCTGTCGCTTCTTTCAGCTGTGCTTTCATCTTATCTCTTTTTAATCTTAGCTTGTCCTTTGAATGTTTCTCCTCCTCAAAAGCAACAACAAGGTTTTTGAACTTTTGTCTTAATTCTGCTTCGGATTGTTTGCCTTGAATCAACTTCTTGTCGTTCATGGTGAAGAGTGCTTCTACTTCATGTACATTGTTGGAGAGTGTTATGAATTTAGCGGACTCTGTGTTGTCGGAGGAGAGGCTCTGATCAGGTTCGGGGGTGGTTTTATTGCTGGAGACAGAGTAGGCGAATACTTTGGAACCGTTAGACTTTAAACTGGTCTTACTTGTGCTTTGCAACGATTTATTATCCTGAAACACATACATTTAAGCTAGTAATTCACTGACACACAGTGTGCTGTACATAAAATAACAATTAGGGGTCGTTCACATATTACGTAATCAATAATCAATATTGTAGCAATTTTTACCCCCCCCCCCCCCCTCCGTAATCAACCGTAATCAACCGTAATCAAGACCCACCCCCACCCCTCCTGACAGCAAAATTACGTAATCATGGCCCCCCCCCCCCCCCCCCTTTTTTTCCCTAGAAAACACTTCTCTACGTTTCATGCTACCGTGATCATTATGAGCCGAAATCATTGTTATGATATCCGGCCAAGCACCTTCCAAACTACTTACCCACCCCCCCCCCCCTCCCGTAATCAACCGTAATCATTTGGAAACCCCCTCCCCCTCGGCTGATTACTTAATATGTGAACGACCCCTTAGTATAATACTTGTCAGCGTGAAACATGGTGATCATGTCGCCTCACTTCACTACGACTGTATTGTACTACTAGTACATAAGCACCACTAAATTATAGCAGCTCATATACAAATACTGATTAGTATTCCCACTATACTAGTATACCTTATCAAGGTATCTGGATTCAATATAGATCCGTGGGTATCCCTCTGTGTGCTGCTCTGGATCGTACAATGTCATGTGTAGTGGTCTGTCTTTATCTTCTAGTTCCTCTCCGTGATCTGAACATGTTACGGGGTGCTTATATATTAATATCATGTAACGTTCATTCGCAATGACCAAGTTCCATTCCTAAAGAAAGCTTTGATAAACGGAAAATCATCAAAATATAAAAAGAGATATTTGGAAGATGAGCTTTTTTGCCGTCCCCTTGACCGGAATTTGACTAAAATTTCCACCATGAACAATGAATGACCAATTAAATCAGTGAGGTCGGTGAGAGTGACACAATTCTTGTAGGTTTATAACCTACCAGGACGCGCGCCGAGTTCAGAGTTGGACTCGTCGACGGTCCTGGAACAAATATACTTTGGAACAAATATTTTACGAGTATCACCCGTTAACACAATTCAAGTCACCATCAATTAGTACTGGAACCAGTATATCCGGAAAACCTTTTGATGCAACTAACAACTTTGAAAACAACTAACAACAATGAAAATTTTGAATATGTCCTACTTCGTAGCACTTAACTTGCCTCGGGCTAATATTTCGAGAAGAAAGCGGCGCGCGTTACTTCGAAGAAATTTAGACATTAGACAAATATTATCTTACTGGGCCTTAACGGGTGATACTAGTAAAATATTTGTCCAATATTAGTCCAACTCGGCGCGCGTCCTGGTAGGTTATAAACCTACAAACTGGGCCGCGCTCAGCCTGTCATTCCGCCGAATCTCTATTTATGTTTGTGAATATGATAGCCTGAGGTCCCCAGGTAAAGTATTATCCGGCTTTTAGTCTTATTAATATAAATAATAATATAATTTGCTCACCCAAAAATTTCACGTGACTTTGGTTTTTATAGTTTTGTTAACGGGTGATACTCGTAAAATATTTGTTTTAATCCAACTCGGCGCGCGTACTCCTCGTAGGTTATTAACTTAAATCTACAATGGTTTTGCAGCCGTACAAAAAGGTTTTTACATAAAAGCATTTTTTATACCCTACGTCATGGGTTGACGGATGTTAACCGTTTAAATTTCTTCGAAGTAGCGCGCACCGCTTTCTTCTCGAAATATCGATGGCAAGTGCTCAAAATATCGATGGCAAGTGCTACGAAGTAGCGCGCGCCGGGCCAAATCATTAACAATGGTCAACGTCATGGGAGTGATTCGGAATCAGCGTCCAAAATACACCGATTTCAGTTTTCACAAGAATTTTCTTAAAATTTGGGCGAGCGATTTAGTAGGAGCGGTATTACTATTACTATGATCCGTCAAAAATGTCACTGTTTTGACTGATTTTTTTGAATGATTAAGCGTTCACAAATGACGTCAGCAAGATTAAGGCCAATCGATTTAGGCCAATTTTACAATTTACCCCCTGTCAGCATTGAGCGACCCCCGGCCCCCTTACTTAATACATACCCCGCAGCCCCGCAGACAGGATCATGTCAGCCAGTTAGGGGTATGTCTGTAAAACGTAAGTGTATAGTTGCCATGCCCATACGTTGTAGGCCAGCCGCGCACGAGTGTTTCGCCCCGATAAGTGAAACGACAATGGGGGTCACGACGTGATACAAGGGTATATAGAAATGCTGAGGGGAGTGTCCGGGTGTAACTGTAGGCAGGTAATATTAGTGTGTGACTGATTTAAGCAGTTGGTCAACAGAGTTCAGTTCAAGTACTAATTTTAAGGAAATTAGGAATCTTGTATTGTTAATAAAATTTATTTGAAGCAAAAATTTGTGCCAAAATTCACGTATTTTTGCTGACGACAGCAAGGCTCAGACACCTCTCCCCCCGTCAGCAATCAGCATTTCTAAACCCTCCTCCCCTGCTGACGTCATATGTGAAGGCTCCCTTAATTAATGAGTTCACTGACGATGGCACAAGACACGATTTATTCAAAGTTCTATTCCTAAAGAAAGCTTCAGAAAATCATCAGAATATAAAAAGAGATTTTGGACGATTTTTGAAGAGGAGCTTTTCTGCCGTCCCCTTGACCAAAACTTGCACTGTTATGGCTGAATTTTTCTTGAATGATTAATTATTGAGTTCACTGTGTAAGACACGATTGAGGTTATGATAATTAGACTATTAAAGATTTAACTTTTTCATGTTTGGATATTTTACAAATAAAACCACCGTATTATCAACAAAATCTTTACACAACTTAACCTGTATCATGATATTGATAAGGGCAATCTTTGGGACATTCCGCTTTTTTGCCACTGTCGTTTTCAGATCTTGTTCCTGCATGCAGGTTAAGATTCCTACATCTTTAATTTCGGTTCACGTTGCCCTAGCTCCTAGCACCCGGATTTGAGAGTTTCCTATGCTATCAGTATCAAGCATTTTGACCTTAATCCTATACCCTAGCCTTGAAGTTGAACATAATTGAACCTTACCCTAACAGTAACAACTAACCCTTTCTGAAACAGTCACCATAACCAGAAAAGTCTATGGAACACAAATTATTTTGAAGGAAACTTTTGGAACAGAATCCGGATCGGACGGTGCGACCCTTAAAATCTGACGACGAATGGCAAGAAAACAGTTCGCTTTGATCGGTTCCCAAAAGAACTACAAAACCTTGCTGCAGTTGCAACGCTGTAAATAAACGGACATTTCTGTTAAAACTTATTGCTACTAAAACAGTTTTCTTCTGAAAAAAAAAACTATTTGAAAATATCATTATTTAAATTACGAAGCCTAAAACTCAATGTTTTTGAAGTTCGAAGTAGCAAAATGTCATCAACGACAGTTGTGTTTCAGCTGCTGGTAAGTACCTATCACAACAAAATCCAATAAATAAATACTCAAATGTTCAAACGAACCCACATTCCACAAGCGTGAACAAAACGCTAAAAACTCTGTTATAGCGACAGGAAGCCTACTATATCTGGGAACATAAAACTAAAAGACTCACGAAAATTCCCTAACACCTAAAGCCAAAAGATTAACATACTTCATAAAAATAGCATCTCGAATCAGTTCGGTCCTCAACTGTAAACAGGTCAGTATTTACAATACAGTCGAAAACCGAACGAGAAATGCGTTCTATTCGTCAGAATACGATCATACTTTTTAAAACTTTCATAAAATAAAACGTTGAAAATATGAAGTGATATAATCATGATGAAACTCATATAAAAATATTGAAATGTGATTCAAATACATGCTTTTTCGGGGGAAGTCGACAATCCATCGGTAGTCAAAACATAAATTGTAAATACATAAATCAAATCCATTACCAACATTTGTAACAGATTAAACTGTTTTTAAATTATAAAACTTTGTCAAAACGCCAATAATTCAGATAAAATTAAAAGATGAATTGGTTTGATTTCGCATATATAACACAGCACTCGACTAGTATCAGTACAAACATGTCATTCTCTGATGGGAAACCACACATAAGGGGTCGTTCACATATTACGTAATCAGCCGAGGGGGGGGGTTCCAAATGCTTATGGTTGATTACGGGGGGGGGGGGGGGGGGGGGGGTGGGGGGTGGGGGGGGGGGGGGGGTTTGGTCGTTGATTACGTAATCAAAATTTTCTTTTTTACCCATAGAATAACCAACAATTTGAAAATATTTTAATTCAAATTCCACTCAATTTCACTCTGATAGTGATAAAATTTAGAAATTTATCGAATATCCGGCTATAATAGTAGTTTAGAAGGTGCTTGGCCGGATATCATAACAATTATTTCGGCTCACCATGATAGCATTAGGGTAGCATGAAACGTAGAGAAAAGTGTTTTCTAGGGAAAAAAGTCAAGGGAAGGGGGTCAGGCTATGATTACGTAATATTGCTGTCAGGAAGGGGGGGGGGGGGGTTGGATCTTGATTACGGTTGATTACGGAGGGGGGGGGGGGGGGGGGGTAAAAATCGCTAAAATATTGATTACGTAATATGTGAACGACCCCTAAAGTCACTCTGCACTCTACTCCTAAAACTCGCTCTATGGTCTATGGAGCATGAAACTGAGCTCGACTATAGATTGAAAGATGAAACAGTCTGAGAGAAAAAAGGAGCTCCAAAATACTCAAAATCGCTACCTAGACTCAAGCTCAATTTTCAGTTTCTGAATCTCGTTGTCTTTCTGTTCGGACTCACTGATAAGCGACTCAACTTTGTCCTCGTAACTACGAACTATAGTGTCTAAGCTCACTTTAAAAGCTGATTCATCGCTCTCTTTCTCTATCTTTGCCTCGAGTAAAAGTTCGTTTTTCTCCTCTAGCTCGTCTGAGAGAGCTTGAATCTGGCCAGTGAGATCAGAGGGGTCGGTGCCCGGATTTGAGGGAGTCGAGGGTTTCCCCTGCAATTCTTCAATACGGTCCTGGAGCTCAGCCATTGTATTCTGCAACAAAGATATGTTATCGTGAGATTCTTTCAAAAACTTGTCACTTTGTTCTATACTGTAACTCTTCTCGGCGATTTTCTGTTCCAAAAGAGAATTTTCACGGACCAATGCCTCAGTTTTTGAGAACATATCACCTTGACAAACATCAATATGAACGTTTGTTTCACTAACTTTGTACTCGATATCGTCCAGTTTAGTTTCCAATCGTTTACAAGAGTCCATGTTAGCATGATTTGTATGGTTAACATTACTGAGCAGTGACGTCAACCGTCTCCATTCGTCCTGATAACTTTTCACTTCCTCCAACATTTGTTCGTTTTCTTCATGAAGACGACTTATTTCTTGTTTTGTCGTTTCCAGCTCTGTGGCTTTTTGGTTTGCTACACCCTCGGTTTCTGTTAAGAGTGATTGAAGTTCGTTAATTCGTCGTGATTTTGAAGAGTTGTCGATGGTATCTGTTGCGTTCGTTGATTCGAGAGCAACAATTACATTTTCGTACTCAGCATTTTGACTCCGGAGAAGAACTAACTCCTTCTGCAACTCTTCAATATGGTGTTTCTTCTCCTTGTACTTTCCTTTCAAATCAACAAAATCGTGCTCGGATTCTTCAGCTTTGTTAGAATATTCCTTGACCATTTTGTTTAACAACCTGATCTCAGTTCTCTTGTTTTCATCTGCTGTCTGCAAATCTTCAAACCTCTGCTTGTACTCATCGACAGTTATATCGTTTTCTTGAAGCCTCATCGACAAGTCGTCTATCGTCTTTTCTGCAGCCACACACTTCTTCTTGAAGGCCATCATTTCAGATTCTAAATTTTCATTTTGTTGCTGAGCCTCCTCGAGCTGAGCTTGAGATTTTTGAGCCATCCTACCCTGAACGTTAAGTTCTTTAGTGACCTCTTGAAGAGCATCCTGCATTTCTACGTGATCTGGTATCTGATTACCTCTAGCGTTCATTTTCTCCAGATCCTCCTTGTCCTGCTCCAGCATCAGAATCTCCTCGCTTAGAATCTTGTTTTGGTTGATCCATTTCTTTATTTCTTCAGTCTGAGTGCAAATCTTTGATTTGTATTCCTCGTGCAGATGCTCTACCTCCTCGTGGAAGCTTGCTTCTAATTCTGCGATCTTGTTCTGACGTAATTGCTCCTCTTCATTCATTTCGGAGATGGAAGTCTCGAGCATTAGGTTCTCTGTGGTTAAAGATCTTAAAGTGGAGGACAGATCTGCGATTGTTGAATTCAGACCATCGAGTTTGTGGTGCGTTGGATCGTCATTGTTCGCTGCAGATTTTACGTGGGATTCTATCTCGATTCCGTTGGTCAAACCACCGACAAGCTGATTCTTAGCCGCCTTCAACTCGATTTCAAGATCACGAGTTCGATTTCTGTGCCGTTCAATAATGTCAACTTGGCGTGAACACTCGTTGGTTTTGGCTTCGACTTCTTCTTTTAGGAAGTTAATTTCCTCTTCCTTAACCTCGATAGTCTTCCTCGATCTCATTGCAGTTTGTAGGGTTGAGGCAGAGTCGCGGGTTTGAATATCTCTCACTCCTTTCACTATGGACAATTCTTCTTTGACAGAAGTCAGCGATGATTTCACACCATCCCTATCGGCAGAAAGTTCCTTGTTCTCCTTCTCCAGATGACCAATAGTATCCTTCAGCATCTGACGTTCACTGAGATACATTTCAACAGTAGCACTTTCCTCTTGGCTCGATCGGAGACTTTCCGTGAACTTTTCAAGTTGCTGCTCGAGATCATAGATCTCTCCCTTAGCATCACCGAGCTGTATCTCTAGAGAGGAGTTCTTCTTGTTCAGCCTCTGGACAACATCAGTGTTGTCTTGCTCGGCTATAGACATTTTCTCGACTTCGTCTTCCATCGCTCTTGTCACAGATTTCAAGCTCATGACTTCGCATTGGTACATCTCTACCTGGTTTTCTAGGTTGTCGATATGATCTTTCTTCTTCTTGGGATCAAGCCTTCGTTGTAATCCCCTGATTTGGCCTTTGAATGAATCAGCTTGTTCTTTAGCTTCAAGGTAGGTGGCTTCCATTTCTTGGTAATCGATCTGGCTTTCAGCGAGGTCGTTCTTTGACTTAATTACAACATTTTGAAGATCCTTTCTTTGGCCCCTCAAGTCTTCAACCAGAGCAGAAAGTTCAGCTTTCTCTTGTTCCTTACTTTCAACAGTCTTCGAGAGGTCGAGAACAGCGGCACATTTCCCTTCAGAACAATCGTTTGATTTCATCTCATGAAGTTGAGCAGTGAGTGCATCATTGAGATTCTGCAGAGACTCTGCTTGATCTCTTGATTGTTTGACCTTTCTTTGGTGGGCTCGAACTTCGTCTTGGACCTGGTTTAACTCAGATTCTGTGTCAGCTTTCTTCAGTCTTGCTTGGGTTAACTCTGATGCTAACTCATCTCTCTTTGACGTTATGATATCGAATTTTTCGTTTCCACGATCTACTTCATCCCGTAACGAAGAATTCAGATCCATGAGATCTGTTATTTTCTCGCTCTTTTCTTCGATAGATTTCTCTTGTGCCTTGACAGTCTCTTCTGCGTCAGTTTTATCAGCCTCCAAGATACTGAAATCGTCCTGTAGTTCATCATACTTAGATTGAAGACCTGCCAACTCGCCTGTTACACTGGAATAGTTGTTGAAGTTGATTTGAGAATCTTTGAGAAGGCTTTCCATCTCCACTTCCTTCTTAACATGTTCGTCTTTAAGCCGTATTGCACTAGGACAACTTTCATCTTCACACAAAGATTTGGACGATGAAATCTGCTCGTTCAAAGCGTCAATAATCATCTTGAAACTTGCAATCTCATCGGTTTTCTTGGTTCCTTTACTCTCCAGAGATGCATTGTGCTTCTTCAAACGATCGATCTCAGCGGTCAACAGTTCGTTTGTGTTCTCAAAATCGGTAGCCATTCCCTTTAGGTTAGAAACTTCTTCCTCTCGTTGAGTTAGCTTGTGATTCATGTTCTCAACAACAGCGTTCCTACTCTCTATCTTACCAAGAGCTTCCTCCACTCTCGACTCAAGTTCTTCAATGCGAGGGTCTTCAACCTGAATTGCACAGTTCACTTTTTCTAGTCCTCGAAGCTGGATTAGCTCTGTTTGCATGTCCTGGATAACTACATCGAGTTCGCTTATCTTTTGCTCCTTTTCATCGACAGTCTTGTTCAATCCGTCAATAGCTTTGTTCTCATCAATAAGTTGAGATGAAAACTCCTTGAGATGCGTGTGTTCCATTTCCATCATTTCCACTCTGTTCTTCATGTAGTCGTATTCTTTGAGCTGTCGTTTCTTTCCCTCGAGCCCAGTGTTCAAACCATTGATCGTGTTTTGAAGCTGCACCTTATCATCCTCTAAGACGTTCAGCTTTGATCTCAGTTTCTCAATCGTTCCGGACATGACAGATTCAAGGCGCTGATTCTGTTCGTACAAATCGTAGTACTTTTCTTGATACTCATCGAACGAACCATCCTGGTCTTGAGAGCTCTGGATACGTTCGTTCAAGCTGGCTATCTCCGCTTCTTTTGCCTGTACCGATATATTCAGTTCCTCGTTAGCGTCTTTAAGTTGTCTGTTTTCTCCTTTTAGTTCAGCCGCTTGCTTGACTGTGGACTTGTTCTGGTCTATTAGCTCGGTGAGTTTGATGTTGTCAGAGCTGAGTTGCTTGTTTCTGAAGAGAAGCTGATCGTTTCTCTTCTTCAAGTCATCTAAATCTTTTGACCATTCGGTGAAGTCGTTGATAGATATACTATCACTGATACCAGTGCCTGATCGTTGGAGTCCATCCACTTCCAACTTGTTGGTGTCCTTAGAGACTTTTAGATCAGCAATGGTGTTTTTAAGATGTCTAATTTCGTCTTTAAGTTCAGCATTGCGGTTCGTGGTAATGTCTATAATTTCTTGGTCTTTGTCAACTTGAAGTTTGAGTTCCGACATTCTGTTCTCTAAATCATCATTGCCAACTGTTTGATCGTAAAGCGCTTCAAGCTCATCAGGTTTTTCAGCATTCAGTCGTTCGACTTCCTTTTGTGCCTCACGCTTCTCTCGCTTTTCCATCTCAACTTCATTTTTCGCTGAGAGTTTGAATTGTCTGAATTTCTCTTCTTGGTCTTTGAACTTCCCTTCCAACACTTTATAAGTTGTTGTGAGATTCAATAGAGCTTCCCTGTCTTTGTTTTGATTCTCCTCCAACTCCCAGATCTGAGTTTGTTTCTCGGCCAGTGCTTCCTTCAACTTAGTAGGTGAAACATCCTTGACGCTGCTTTGAGGACTGATGCTCTCCGCATTGCTCACTGCGTTATTCAGAGCGGAGATTACTTTTTCTTGCTCCATGAGGATGCTCTTTAGATCAGATTCCTGCGCCTTTATCTCGCCAACGCTTTTGGTACTCTGTGTCTTTCGACGGAGTGATGTGTGGTGTAGATGACTCTGAAATAATATTGTTCATTATAATCATGTCAAAGTTATCCAAAAGTTAAGTTTAACAAAAACTGTGCTATAAAAAGCACGGCAAACTATGTGCGATACTGTGTCAACATGATAATGTACATTAAAAACTTATTTAGATTCTGCGGAATGAAACCACATCCTGATGTTATTGCGCACCTGGATTTTAGATATTTCAGATGTGGAATTTAGACGTGGAATCTTGCTTTCCTCCAATACAAGGGGAGGAGGTTTTTCAACTGATCCCTTGTGTATATCTGTCTGAGTGTCCGCTGGTGTAGAGGTTATTGGATCAGCGGTGGGCCGAGCCTTTTTCCTTGAGGCACGCCGAGAGGAGTGTTTCCGAACAAAAGAGTTCGATCGAGATACCTCAGCAATCTGCAGAGATAAGAGGAATTTATTTCGATATTCCTAGCGGTTGACAAAATATGCTCATAATAATGAAGTTCACGACTTCTTTAAGAAGCAAACGAATAAAATATTTCAATACAGAGATAAAATATTAAGATTACAGAATAGTTCCAACACCCAATTACCTCCTGATCCTCAATCCAGATTTGAGGGTACCCCTCCTGGCAGTCTTCAATAGTGTCCAACAGAACTAGGGGCTGATCCTCCAAGCCTATCGTCTTCTCATCTGCAAAGTTGTCTCTTTAAGTTGCGAGTCTCGTCGGTCTTTAACACACAAACAACAATAGCAAAACAAACACGAGGTGTAAATTGTCAGTGTTGTCAAACGAACAAAGGGTCTGTACAGTAAGGAACAAGTCAACAAGTTAAGTCGAGGCCGCTATCAACGGCAGTTTTTAATATGTCGCGTTAATTGTCAACGTCAAATTATGGATGTGGCTTCTTTATTTCATGGTGTACTTTAAAGTCCTATACTATGCTATAGCTAATACTGTTTTTATAACGACAGTTAATAATAAAGCTTATTTTTTAATTTAACGTGCACGTCCAAATTTCCAACTGCCATTCGCCATACCTGATCGATCAATCTACATACCGATCTCACAGAATTCAACCGGGCTAAGCATAGGACTCTTATATCTTACTTTGCAATGGTCATAGCGACCAGTCGAGCACCGACCCACGGCCACAGAAAGAAACCTGCCATCCTAATACCGGGAGATAACTTGTTCTCTTCCAGAAACTAGACAGCTTTTGAAATGAGCTTATTTCGCGAACTGTGAAGCGACAGGCAATTTCAGTTCAGTTTCTGGTAATTGCATGTCGATAGCAGCGCAGACAGACAATAGACTGTGTAGTGCTTACTATCAGGAATTTCCTGGAACTCAGCCAAATTCCTCAATCATCACAGAATTATCGTGAGAATATTTGCAACTTTGCGCGTCTTTATAGTGAAGTAACATTGAAGACTTTGATTACAAAAGTGCGTAAAAGTGGATGTTGCTAGCATTTACTGTAACGCAAACGCGCGCATATGCGCGCGTTTTGCCACTTCAGCATGGAATGCCCGGTTTTATCTTTATGTTAATGTGATATCACGACTAAGAAATGGCGTTATCATAGACCCGTGTAAACAAAAGCAGAACTCAGTTAATCTGTCGCAACATAAAAGTCAGTAGTAAGTTGTCAGTAGACCACAGTCAGTACAGTCAGTACAAACAACACTTCTTACCGAACTCGTAAGCCTTCATGATAAGTCTGTACGCCAGAGGGTCGTTATCAAGTTCGTCAAAACTCTGGAGTGATTCGTCGATTATCTCCTGAGCAGTGGCACTGGGGCGAAGGGACAGTGTTTCTTCTTGGACATTTCCGTCTTTCTGGGGGGAATGTAACAGGGTCACATTTATGTCATGGTATTTGTTAGGGGCTATAGCTACGTTATTGTCACAGAGCCGAAACTCGATACTGACAAACGAATCTGAAACTATGACGTCACAGTACATTGCTGCCCCTCAGAATTTGAATTACAGCACAAAACCAAAGTACGTAAGGGTCTGAATATTGAGTTTGATAAACTAACCCTGCGATAGAAGATAGTGAGCTCCTGGGCGTCGCGCGGAGACACATACAAATAGCTGTTCGTAACACGTGGGAGGCCATCATTGCTGTTCATCTCCACTTTGGGGGCCTCGCCCAGTTCTTGTAGCGGATACTGGTGTGGGTACAGTACTTTCGTGTGCTTGCCAGCTGTGGAGATAGATACTATGGTTAATTGTTTGTTATTTTGGTTAAAATTAGGTGGTTTTTATTTATTTACAGGATCTTAGAGCGATATATCACATCTATTTTCATTTATTCTGCCAATAAATCGACAGTGAGATGAGGGTATTTCACACAGAGAGATAAAACGTACTCATGACTCAGATACCCAAAACTCAAAATACCAACTTTGCAAAGTTTGTAAGAGTAAGCTGTGATGTGGAGATATTCAACCGGGCCCTGTTAGTCATGAATCTATTGTATAACAGCGGTACAGTGTACAGAGATCAAGGATCTGTTGACACCAGCGGCATGTAACAGCTTTTCAAGAACTTGATAAATCTCAAAATTTTGTACGTGACGTCAGCTATATGTCAAACATCCCAACTATTTCATCCCTCAATGCTTCTAGTATCTTCTTTCAATTTGTGTCGTCAATATCTGACATCTGATATGACTAAATGAACAAATTTGGCGAGATTTTTTTAGCAGGTGTCACATGTAAACAGATCTTTAGATCTGGTTAAGATTCCCAGGACCCACTGATTACTGTAACATTACCCAGTGTTACTACTACTACTGTAACTTGTACTTGATTTACCAGATATAATGATATCACCTCATTTATATCTTCATCTATCCCATCTCATATTTAACATACCACATGTCTTACTTAACAGGAGAAATATGCCCGATAACTTGATGATAAGCAGGGTAGTCTACAGGCTTTACATTCCAAGGACACATTTTTTCGTCATGTAAGTTTAGAAGCCTCCAAAAATGAGCAAATAGAATCCAAGGACACATAGTTGACTAGCATAAAAATATCTGATAATGATTAGTGTTAGAAAGGAATTTCCTTGATACCATATACTTCACGTTATTTGTACGTGAGATAAAGTAAAAAGAAACCTTATAATTGACACGGGTAGCGTAGAATACAACAAATATGTTGCCTCAGCTCGAGAGAAAGTGACCACATGTTGAACATTTAGCCTGGTGTTAAAAAGTAACCTGACCGGACGACCCGACATAGTTGAACGCGAAAAAGTGAGTGCTTAATGTTTTAACTTGATAACAGCGTGCGTGGTGGTAGAAATACAGCACACACACTGCAAGGATTTGTGCCAGGAGATATTATTATGAGAGTGGATAATATCTTCAACTAGAGAGCATGTCTTAAAGAATTTATATAAATTATTTTAAATAGGCTCTAGTTGGTGTCTTGGCAGTTTACATGGTTTTATCAATTATCAACTGCAATATATTCCATATTACAGTATTTAAGGCAACTACATATGTATGTAGAAATATAAGAATATCACGTCGCGAACACGCCTAACTTTTATTATTATATATTGATTACCAAATTGATAACTTATATAATATTATGTATGACTTCCCTAACTTAATATGCTTTAGTAGATTCGTGTAGTGTTAACTGCTCTGATAACTCTCAATAACCGCACTACATCACTGTAATATTATTTGATAGTAAAGCCAGGTATCTCATATCACGTATATCGAGTTCTCATTACCTGCCTATTTTGGAATAAGTGTGCCGGGCTATAGAACCAATTTAAACTTTATTGTTCCATCACGCTTTACGTTTGCTCATACAGCTCAGGCATTATCTAGATTTAAGTTGACCTGCTATAGTATGATACACTGGAGAGAGAGAGAGAGAGAGAGAGTTTTTATGAAAATTGAGGGGTACGTGGTATTATACAATATGTACAAGTAAACAGCAGCCAGGATATACAACCACTGTACTAAAGTGTTACAATAATTAGTAAAAGGTACCAACTTGTTATTATCATCCATTGTTTAAGTTCACGAAACAAGTTTTAATGAACAATGAACAAAACCACGGGTTTGGTCGCGGTTCAGTGAATGTTATGCTGTTCTGGTTTTGAACTGTTCAGTATTGTCATTATGTGATCAAACAGTTGCTAGTACCGAGCAATATGAAGGACTTGTTTTAATTCTAAATGAAAAGCTCGAATACAAAGCAACGCTTATTTGTCAAGCTTTACAAATTATAGATTCGAGAAGAAAGCACTATGATCTATAATCTAATCACGTGTTCATTTTGAATCCATACATTTCAGACGAATAACCTATTTAATGTCTCAATCTACGCTTAATTTCGGCTCATTTAAACAGCGGAAGATAGAGGAAATTACTGCTTTGTGTCGATCTAAACATTTTAGTTCATCACTCAAAATTAAACAGACAGGCGGGAGATTTTAGATAATTAGTAATTAAAACCAAAATTACTAAACTACCTTTAATTGCCACCAGACTTCTTCAATTTCTCGCACATTTTAACAATTAATAAGATTGAGATGCCTCACTACATCAAGATGCCTTTATTATATAATAAACTATGGTAACTACATTTCTCTGAGACTGACACGGGCTCAAGTGATGTTGACAGATGGTTTTGTCTGGCTTCACATTGCTCAATATTATCCTAATATCATGATCCATCTCTTCAGGTAACAATTACCAATGCTTCATACCTACCGGTTATATCATACGCTATTCTCTGCTCAATCTCCAGTAATATTATTACATAATATTGTAATCTTCTGGAGATGCTGGTATGATTTAAGTGACGACCTCAGTTTTCATGCACAAATTGAGTGTTAAGGTTACTGTTAGGGCCGGGCAATGACCTACACTCATGTTTCTTAATAATAAAATAAAAGACATCAATCGGTTCTAAGTCAACATTTACCCTTCATCCTGTAAGAACTGACTGTTAATAAGTTAATAGCGCTGGAACATAACGTTTATACAATAAAGCTGAGTAACATTAACTTAATGTTCTTCAGCTTTACGGACCCCAATACACACATTCTTTCTTGTTTTCTACACAGCATCAACACTTGTTGTGTATTGTTCAAGTGGAGCTGTACTTACAGATCATTACTGAGTAACAATTAGGAGTCGATGATAATCAGATAATGGGTTTTTAATGGGCTAATTTATTAACGGGTCATTAAGACAGGTTGACGACAGTGTGACGTCATCTCTCATTAAAATCCAGTTCGTGGTAGGAATTAGGATCTGCTAGGCGCTAGTCAATGCCACTAAATAAGTTCTATAGAATAGTCGCATATAAGATTCTGGAGAAAGTTCTACAATTTACAGTACCAAAACTCAATCTGGGTATAGGTAGTCATGGTCGCGAAACATTTACCTGCTCACTGCTTATCTTACAGAACCACATTTTGTTTCTATTCACAGAGCTAAGCCAAGTTCTCTGTTCAGAGATACACTTACTCCGCCCCACATTAAATACACCACATCAAACCCCCTCTTCTAAACGTATCACAATGTATCTCCTCCCGCTCCTCCGCCTGGAAACCACACTCACAATTGGAGGACACCACGTGCTCTAAATTAGTCCAGCCAACCACAGCGGTAATTACGGCACCCTCCCTCCGCAAGCATCCCCCTGCCAACTAATCCGGGGATAATATCAAGATAATCAGAGCGGTATAGTCCTGTCTAAATACACCACTAGATTAACCCGCATTAACCTGTATTATTGTGGTTCAGGAATGAGTCTCTCTTCCCTCTCTCTCTTCTCTATTTATACTCCTCCTCTACCAACTCCCCGTGTAACTTGTCTGGTATTTGTAGGTGGGGGGTCGTTGTGGAACAAAGGGGATCTGGCGGTAAAGAACTGGTCGTTAACCACTGAGAGTACCCCACACCCTGCTATCTACATGTACTACAATCTACATGCAATCTACATAGAGTGTACTTTATAGTGGTAACAACCTGCTAGTTTTAGTGGTACAATCTACACACAATGTACTCAGGGTAACAGTACATACTTTACAGTACACACCCTACTGGCTGCTACCTATAATAGTATTGTACAATTTACACGGAGTTAGGGACTACTATAACTAGACTACCGTGTTCTTTAGAGGGTAACCACGGCTCACTGGGCCGTGTAGTACACTCTCTCACTTTATTAAAGAGTTAGTGTGGACCGTGTTTATATAATTGGAGAAAAGTAAGGGTAAGTGGGTAAGTTGGGGTAAGTGGGTAAGTGGGTAAGTTGGGTAAGTGGGTAACTGGTGAGGGAGGTGGAACTGAGAGGAAAATAATAATTAGTGGCGTTACATTTACCTTATATTCTAGTTCACTTGTACAATGTACATGGTATTAAGTGATTGTTACATTTGAAGTTTTGTATTACAACCTGCCCATTTCTTAAGATGTTGCCTCACAATGTTAATTGTTAAAGCAGGTTTACTGATAATGAACTCACTTCAAAGGAGGAATAGCTCACGGCAAACTCCCGTGATTTCCCAAACAATCTATAAATTGGGTATTTTTGCTCGCTGGAGGTCTAACACCCCGATCAAAACACTAGAACTTACCTAGTCTCTGATCAAATGTACTTTCATTACAAAGAGTACCTACACGTTTAGCTGATCACGTGACTGTCTGCCTACCACGTGACTTCACAAGGAAATTAGTAACTCTTCACTAATCGTGTATTAATATTGAAGTTCCTTGTGGATATTACACTGACACACAGCGGTTCCTTGACAGGTACAGTGGACTGGGTGTCAGCCACAAACAGCTCACCCAGACTTCACAACTTTACACACACGGGGGGAAATTAATAACGTCTATTCTTAGTCGTTTTTAGACAGGATTTTTTGAGTGATGAAAGTTTGACATTTTCCAGAGTCCCAGACTGCTCTAGAGGGGGGGGTGTCATGTCCGTCTATGTCCGCCTATGTCCTGTCCTTTTTGGATTCTATGAGACAACGGACGTGTTTTTTGGGACATTGGCGGACACGGACGGACATTGGCGGACTCGGACGGACATTGGCGGACTCGGACGGACATTGGCGGACTCGGACGGACATTGGCGGACCCGGACGGACATTGGCGGACTTGGATGGACATTGGTGGACATTAGCGGACATTGGTGGACATTAGCAGACAAACATTTAGAGGACTGAAGAGTACTGAAGAGTACTGAAGAGTACTGAAGAGGATGGCTGAGAAGGATGGCTGAGGAGGATGACTGAGGAGGATGACTGAGGAGGATGACTGAGGAGGATGACTGAGGAGGATGACTGAGAGGGAGGAGAAGGATCAGGAAGACCCAGGAGGAGGAGGAGGAGGAGGACCCAGAAGGAGGACCTAGGAGGAGGAGGAGGAGAACTGAGGAGGATGACTCAGGAGGAGGACTGAGAAGGAGGAGGACTGAGGAGGATGGCTGAGGAGGATGACTGAGAGGGAGGAGGAGGAGGAAGAGGAGGAAGAGGACTGAGGAGGAGGAGGAGAAGGAATGAGGAGGAGAAGGAGGACCCAGGAGGAGGAGGACCCAGGAGGAGGAGGACCCAGGAGGAGGACCCAGGAAAAGGCCCCAGGAGGAGGAGGAGGAGAACTGTTGAGGACTGATGAGGAGGACTGAGGACGAGGAGGAAGAGTAGGAGGAGGACTGAGGAGGGGAGGAGGAAGAGGACTGGGGAGGATCAGGAAGACCCAGGAGGACCCAGGAGGAGGAGGAGGAGGACTCAGGAGGAGGAGGAGGACTGAGGAGGACTGAGGAGGAGGACTGACGATGACTGAGAAGGAGGAGGACTGAGGAGTACTGAGGAGAATGGCTGAGGAGGATGGCTGGGGAGGATGGCTGAGGAGGATGACTGAGGAGGATGACTGAGAGGGAGGAGGAGGAGGACTCAGGAGGAGGACTCAGAAGGAAGAGGAGGAGGACTCAGGAGGAGGACTTAGGAGAAATGAGAAGGAGGACTGAGGAGAACTGAGGAGGAGGAGGACTGAATAGGAGGAGGAGAAGGAGGGGGACTGGGAGAGGACTGGGGAGGAGGAGGACTGATGAGAAGGAGGACCCAGGAGGAGGACTGAGGACCGAGGAGGAAGAGGAGGAGGATGAAGAGGAGGAGGACGACCCAGAAGGAGGAGGAAGGAGGAGGACTGAGGACTGAGGAGGAGGACTGAGGAGGATGACTGAGAGGGAAGAGGAGGAGGAGGAGGAGGATGACTGAGAGGGAAGAGGAGGAGGAGGAGGAGGAGGACTGAGGAGGACTGAAAAGGAGGAGGAGGAGGAGGAGGACTGAATAGGAGGAGGAGGAGGAGGGGGACTGGGGGAGGACTGAGGAGGAGGATGGAGGACTGAGGAGAAGGATGAGGAGGAGGACTGAGGACTGAGGAGGAAGAGGAGGAGGAAGAGGAGGAGGAGGACCCAGGAGGAGGACCCAGGAGGAGGACTCAGGAGGAGGAGGAGGACTGGGGAGGAGGAGGACTGTTGAGGACTGATGAGGAGGACTGAGGACGAGTAGGAGGAGGACTGAGGAGGGGAGGAGGAAGAGGACTGAGGAAGATCAGGAAGACCCAGGGGGAGGAGGAGGAAGAGTAGGAGGAGGAAGCATCTAAATGTTATTTCCATTTTTGTCCGTTTTTGTCCATTTTTGTCCGTTTTTGTCCGCTCTATTTTTGTCCGTTTTGAAAATATAGGGTACCGAACGGACAAAAAACATGATCCCCCCTATAACAGCAAAAATTGATCATTTTATTTAGCAATTTAGGTGTCCATTAATGTCCGCCTATGTCCGCCTATGTCCGTCTATGTCCGCCTATGTCCGCCTCTGTCCGTCTATGTCCGCCTATGTCCGCCTATGTCCGCCTATGTCCTGTCCTTTTTGGATTCTATGAGACAAGCGGACATAGACGGACGTGACACCCCCCCCTCTAGAAGAAATAGTATATTATATAATACACTATTTACTACAGGGTGTCACTGTCACTAAAAGTTACAAAACACGGTTACTAGTTACTCTCCTAAGGTATCCTAGTTACTTCTCCTGGATATGATAAATACAAGCACTGAAGGTATCCTAGTTACTTCTCCTGGATACGATAAATACAAGCACTGAAGGTATCCTAGTTACTTCTCCTGGATAAATACAAGCACTGAAGACAGCTACTTTTATACAGTGAGATTATTTCATTACAGTCAGGCTGCCCAATGTCATAATATATATTGAATTTGTAAATATATTCATTCTGGATGTTACAAAAGGAGTGTAGTGATATACTTAATGTAGTTCGAAGATTCTTAATCCAATCCCGCCCGAGAGTAATGGTGGGAGCGGTTGTCTTGTATCAAATAATATGTCGTGCTACTACTGATATTAATATACTACAGTAGCACGTCAGTAGTAGCACTGCTACTCTTGAGGTTTATGTCTTAAGTTTTTAATACTTTCAGCACTACTAGATAACAAATAATGATGTAGTTTTACGAAGAATTTAAGCCTGATATTGTGTGTTTCCCTCCAAATGCAACAAAGGATTAATTTGTGGTGCTACAATAGCACGACAGTAGCTGTAGTAGTAAGTAGAACTGAGATTAATATACTGACTAGCGTGCTTACACAAACGTAATATTTTTACATGACACTTGATACATTCAATACATTGGTATGTTGTGATTTGTAAGCAGAGCCCCTGAGCCTCCTAAAACCTGATTACAAATGATATGAAATACACTGGAAATTCTCCAAAAACATTCAACCTTACGTATCCCTGGCTGGCCCGGAGAGACATTTTTATCTAGCTTTAGTCATGCGAGCTATGCTCTGGATGGAGCAATTATAAATAACACTAATAACTTACTGATAACAAACACTTAACACTGATAAATGATATTTGAGAGAAAATCGAGTATTTACTTATTTTACTTGACTTATTAATATTATACAGTAGTTTAGAAATTTTCGAAGTTAAAAATGAACTCAGGGACGTGCTGGAATGTTTCATCATAAAGAAATTATGTACAATCAGTAAAATTCGTTTTTCAGTTGTTTAAAACTATTTTTTATTGATAATATAATTAATGTACTAAAGTTTTGAATTTAATAGAAAAAGTAGCTACAATAAAACATCAATTAAATCAGGACCAGTCTCGACGGGACACACTATCTAATTTAGATTCTGTACAGAATTCCGAGAATTACATTGAGGTCTAGTTTTTGTCACCACGTGCCAGCCGGAATATTTTTACGAAAAGGAATGTTCCAGAGTTATAGAACTCTTAAAGCGAACTTGGAATTATTACTTCTAATTATTCTAATTATTCGTGTAACAAGTGTCATGGGTTAGCACATAGGGTGGATTGGTCTGATAGTAATTACTGTTTTAGTGTTAAATTGACACTATGACAGATGGCCCAAAGCACAGCCATAGCTATTGGTTATTCCAAGTCTTTTAGTATTAAATAAAAGATAAATCCTGTATCTTATCACTAATATTCTAATAAGTCTTACAATATTATATATAAGATAAATCATATAATATCTTGTATAACTTACCAAGGGAGTGTTGATTGTTAACACCAACCGCACACATTATAGACTTCAGCTTGTTCTTTCCTGAAAAGGACCACCATTACAAACAGATAAAATGAAACAATCACCGCAAATAACGCCGCGCTAATTTCACTTCTTCTTTCTGGTGGCTCATCATACAGTTTGTAACCAGATCTGGCAGTGAAAACGAAAACAGATGTTAAGAAAATAGTGAGTGGTAAATTGCGGATAATTCACGGAAAAAAAACGTAAAACATCCTGGTTAAAACTAAAAGACAAACCAAACAGTCACTATAAACCTTCAACAAAGAGAGAAAGATGGATTTCCATACTACACTGAAAGTACAAAATCTACAGAGGAACTGTTAGAGGCTACAATATACAGCTCTCAGAGCAATATATGCGGTGAGGTCGAGGTCGGCTGTTGCCACTCTTTACTAAGAAGCCAGTAAGAACTCGCACCTCTTCTATAAATGTTCTAAATCTAGTTTGCTAATTGCAAGGCACAAACGAGGAACAAATTGTTTGCAACTACACGAGTAACAAGAGAGGGGAGGGGAGAGAAACTGTGAAAGAAGATCGAGACAGTGCAGGAGGAGAGAGGTTGTTGTTGTTGTTGCGAGACAGTCTCGCTACAAGTGGGGAGTGGTCCTGGAACCACGACTGTACTTTAAACCCCCGCTGACAGGTGTACATTTGTAGAAAACAGAGAATGATATTATATTCCGCTAATATGTCCGGAGCTGTCAAACGGTAGGATTTCAGGCAGCTCCAGCTCTGACTCACCACCTCCCCACACTGTTATACATCGTATTTTTAGACGACTGTTGTTCTAGTTCTACAACTTCTAGCTGTTTCGACGAGTTAAAACCTATCCGGAAAAGTGGGACCCAGCTTCCTGAATGCTTGGAATTCCAATTCGCACTGCTGACATACTTCACAGCCAAACAGTTCATCTTTACAGCGTTTATCACACCGTAAATAGCCTCACTTAACTACACACGGGGTATAAACTGTTCAGCGAAATCTTTCAAATTCATTCAAGCTTAATAAATGTCAGTATAATGACAGGTGATTGTCTCTCTTATAGTGTGATGATAACCGATAACAGTGGCACTATCACTTACATAATCCCACCCTTCACGAGTTCCACCCGGACCAGGGCAAGTTACAGGGACCAACCCAGTTTCAGAGCAAAACATCCTGTCACAAGACCTTTTACTCCTGTCATGGAACTTGACTCAAGGCAACTGTAAGATTAACTCTGGCTCTGGAAAACTGTTATATGATAGTGGTGTATATTTTATATACTGCAATAGTGGTGTACTTATATGATAACACCTTGCATTTTACGCCCGTTCTCATACACCCCATATTACTTAGCGTCTGCCAATGCGGGCTCACAAAACGTATATGACAGTGTGGTGACGGACATTTCCACGCTAAAATTCTTTCAACGGGAGCACGACATAGTAGCGTGCAGCAGCCATAGTGTATACCATAGACCAGAGAATTGGGTGTCAAACACGTATTATTAACAGTCCGTCAGCAGCTGGACCGCACAATTTTACAAAAAACTCTCTGACACAAATCTGTGTGGTTTCTGACACAGACCTGTTTGATCTCTGACACAGACATGTTTGATCTCTGACACAGATTTCCAGAAATTTAAAACAAGATTGTAGGTCGAGCCCTGCAATCCTCCACACTTAACATGATAACGTTAAAGTAGCAAGCTTATTTAGCACAAAGGAGTAAGGACGTAGTGTAAACGTTGGATTCAATGTGTGTGTTATATAACACACTTACTGTTACTATTAGTAATAATTAGTAATACTAATGGCTCATTAGTAACAAGAACTCAGATATCCCCGGACACCATATATAAGATGATAGTAGCTACTTCAGCAGCTCAAACTGTCATGATGACTTTAATAACACGGTATAGGTAGCTCATTTCGTAGCTCCGTTATTCGTAGCACCGGGTGGTACAAGATGGGTAATGGCAATATCAAACCACTAGCACGCTAGTGTTATACCACGGCAAAGTGAGGTTTCTTGATCCAGGGTCATTATTAGAGGTCCAGTAAGAATACCCAATCTTGGATCAAAGTACGTGCTCGTGGGTTAATGTGTGCCAATAATGTCGGGAAATTTGAACTATTAGCTCTGTGACTCTCTCACCTTGAATTCCTTGAATTCTAAAACAATCCCTCCATTCAATCGCAGGTGCGTGCTAGTACGTGCAGACAATAGAGCCGGTCAATAAATTGTTAATTGAGAGGGAGAGGGCAACATGCCAGGATCTGGTCAGCTGTCGACAGAGATCGTCCAGAGAACTTTCACACTGCTCTAGACTAAACTCAGTGATTGAATATAATATGAGGGTTTTACTACTTTTAACCCGTCAACACTCGTAAGTGCGTGAACTTTGTTTTGCCCAATTTAGGTCTTGTTATTGCTTACATTGCTAGTGGGCGAGGTGGAAGGAGGGCAGCTTGACGTAGAACAGCCCCGTTGTAGGACAGCCCCACTGTCGACAGTGAATTAAATAGCTGCTGTCAGTGAATAAAATAGTCTGTTGGGGAAGCTAAAGGGGTCCGGTACAAATATTGCAACATTCCAATTACAACAGGGTTATTGTATTTCTAGTCGACTGTTTTTTTAATCAGCTACTATCTTTAAATGCTTATTATGTTGGACAGATACTCTTCCAACAAAACTATTGATTAAATAATAAAGCTAATATCCAATGGCAATGTGCAGGCTTAGAAGTTATGTCATGTCACCCAATCCAATCTAAACTCAAACCCCCAATCACCTTGACGCCGAGTCAATCAATATTCAACTCTTCACTGTATAATGACATGCTCCTCCTCACCAAGCAACGTAACTCCTTGATGAGCAAACCTCCCCGCTCCCACTGATGTCATGCCTGACGAACAACAACAACAATGACGACATTCCTAAACACTCATTCCTAAAGGACATTCCACAGCTATGACGTCACGTGTAACAACGATCCCTCCTCTGTGTATATAACTCTGTGATCTGCTCTGCAGGAATCTTAATTCCCTGGAGGCGTGACCTCATCATGTATCTGGATCAGTTATAATATACCTCACAACACATCATGATAAGGACACAGCGTTTACTCTGTGTATTATAAAGGTGTATTATCCTCGCAGAATGTATAACATAATATGAAATATCCCTCCACATAATATGAAATATCCCTCCTGTAGTTTTGCTTACTGTGATCACCACACCGTTGTGCCTCTTAGGAGTAGTATAATGTAATGAGTGATGCAGTAAAGGGGCTAAGTAAAGAGGCCCATGGAATATTAATAGACCTTTTATGATTGAGATTTGAAGGCGTGTGTGGGAATGATTTATAGCGTTTGATACTTTGTAAGCGGTGAGTTTTGACAATTTAACATGGTGCAAATTAGTACTTCATGATACAATGCGTATTACTTTTCACAAGTAAAAATCACGAAAAATGCAAAGAATTTCATGTGACTAAAGGATAATGCTATTTAAAGAACATTTATTGTATCTTAGATATATTATATCATTCCGTTGCGTAGGTAGGAAGATAAATGTGGGACAGCATAGTCTCCAAAATTTGAAACCCAGATAAATATTTGATGTCTGGGTAAAGACTGGATAAAGACAGGTACAGAGTATTTACAAACCTTTGAAGGGAGTTTTGACAACGGAGAGCTGATAGTCCAGGGCGGAATCAGCGACCCCCCTGTCTTTGAGAACGTAGCTGACAAGATCTTCTGCTGTTGTGTAGTAACGCACAGGGAACCTGATTGGGAGGATCATGTCATGTCAAAGTTATCAGGGAACTTGATATGATATCTGTGTACTTTTATTTCATCATCATTTCATTATTAAGATTCTATTTACACCAGAAAGTTTCCAAATAACTCAAATAACAGTTTCCAAACACTAATAATAGTCAGTACTCACCGGGTTTATACAATACTGAACTAAATTCCAAAATCCCAAAAGCTCGTGACTATTATAGCCACTAGCCAGCTTACCTACTACCACAATTACTATGTTACATGTGGTATATAATAGTGTGTAGCTTGAATTTTCTAGAAATACAATATTATGTTGCGGAATTCGACCAACTGTTACATAGCACATATTTTACAGGCATATTTTGCTGTGACGCATATAGCATTATATAAGGGCACATGCAGCTAGGTTATAGCTTCCAAGAAGAACCAAAAATAAGATGAATAGTTTCTCTATTTCTCTAGTTCTCTAAGTGAATTATAATCAGGTTTCACGTGCCGGGCACGGGTATGATCAAAGTATTTCATTTAAACAGTTACTGACTATTAACAAAGTTTACGGAGTAATAAATCAGGCCACTCTCAACAGAAAAATGTAACTGTCAAGATGAAAAAGAAGCTGTACCTGGCCAAGCCGCACTCGCCCTCGCTCAACTCAATAAACACATCAACCTTCAACTCGTGTGTTGAGTTTCGTATCAACTTTTCAACGTCTCGACTAGCGATAGATAAGAGAACTCCGAGTAGCTCTTTGGTTCCCAGATTAGCTGCCCCATCTAGATCCGGTGTCATGTCGTGAACTGAGGTGAAATATTCGGTTTAAAATCAAATCTCACTATGGTTGTTTTCAACAGCACCTAGAATTGAATCGTGACAAGCCAGGACGGTACGACCCCTAATAAGCATTATAGATGAAGGAGCCGCAGACTCTTGGGGTCTCGGTCTGTATAATCCTCTAGGAGAACTGTAAACAGAAGCTGCCACAAGGAGGCAACAGCAACTTAATATTTTGACTTAGACGAGTTTTCAAACAGCCTTGTGTAATCTGTAAGTAAAGTGTAAACAGCTGTACGAAATTGTACATAATCTTGATTGGTGAGAGTCGTTTGACATTTCAAATATTTCTATTATAACTATTAGCATCGTGTCAAGATAATGCCGGATAGTTTACTAAAACAGCTGACTTAAATTATTTAATTATTACATTACTTCTCTGAGCAGTTTACAATTTTAAATTGAGTAGTTTGAACGGTTTTAACGGTGTTTCTGCTGTCTACATACTCAAACAGTCTGGCGTAGTTATGTAATAAAGTGCAATAACGATAAATAAACAATAACACACGATGCCTTGTTAATTAGCTAAACACAGTCTGTTACTAAATATAGCTCAACAAGTCAGATGTCAGGATTTTAAATAGCGTCAGAAATGCAAATAGACATTGAGAGATGTGTCAAGAGATGATGCTTTGACGATAGCTTGTTTGGGCACATGGGAAAATACTGCGGTCAGTAGTTACAGTCATATAGTGTGTGGGAAAATAAAATTGTAAAAGACAGTTTATCGGATAGTAGTTACCACTAATGCTTGTCTGCAAATATGTTAAAAATCATTAGCTTGTTTAGTATATTATATATATACTAAACATTAAACAAGCTAATGATTTTTAACATATTTGCAGACAAATATATATATTAAATTATAATGAAAGGTAAATATGATGTGGTATTGGATGTAATCTGTTAAACTCACTCATTGAAGTTCTGGCATTGGACTGGAGATGTTTGTACACTGTACAGTAGATGCCTTCTCTTTTGCCAGGCTCGATGTTTTCTTCCGCTGCAAAAGAGGATGTTATCTACAAGGAAGATATGTATGATTCAATGAATACTGGTTAATTAATACAGTGTACACCAACAAAAGGATGTAACAGGTATGTGTTACCTGATACATGACAAAGCAGTAAAAGGTGTGATTTAATAGAAATGAAAGTTACATCGGTTTCAACCACAAGTCGACCACAAGAGTTAAGACATGACCGGTAGCATGTATCTATTGCTATAGAATAAAACAAACAGCTATTAAAGCTAGATCCATCCTAGCAGTAAATTATTAATATCATTAAAATAAAGTTCTTACCAATAAGTTTTGTTATTGTATCATATATTTCCTCGCCACTTTTATATCCTGAAAGCAAGATAAGTATAAGATCCTGGAGGTATTAAAAGATAGAATATAAACTGTAAAGTTAATACAATATTAAAGTAAGAGTGTTACAAATTTGATTTGAACAAACCTTTGAAATCACGACGTGAATAAGTTTCCCTTTTAATCACTCTCGTCTTACGAGCCTTTGTTCCCCGCCCCTTGATTTTTCCAGGAGATGCATCTGGATGAGCCATTTGAGATTTAAACTACCAGCTTTCTAATTCCTTTAATTCCATTCGAGATTGCATCACATATCTAGACTGTAAGATATTGGTTAGATTTCAGTACGGATTAGACAAAAATAAATTGTTTTAATGTTCTCTACAGTAGTCTACGTGACATATAGTTCTTATCCCGAGTAAGAATACTGACAGGAAACTACATAGACAGAAACTGAGCACAGAGGAATCTATTGTATGCATGATTCTATTGTTCGCACAAATTTCCATCAGGGTTCCCAAAAATGGCCAATCCCAAGAAATTGCTCACTAAGTTCTCATACAATCGATATGGACTAGACAGTATTGAAAACATTCTGATCCACTGCAATTTAGGTCTTTGAAATTAAAATGCTCTTTTGATTCACAGAAGTTATTTTGATGTAACTAAAATAGGGTGTTCGCCTGACTCTTACAGAAAGCACCAATAAAAATGTCTTTTTTTCCAAAATTATTGGAGAATTAATATAGCTGTATCAATTATTTCTAGAATGATAAAAATGCATGAGCCATACCTTTCTCATCCAGTGGCGTAACGTTGCCTGTTGGCGCCCCCCTGCCGAAAAGGCGCCCCCCTGTTGGCGCCCCCTCCCCTTTTGGTGCCCCTCCCTAAAATTGAACAAATTAGGTGATTTTAGAGGATACACCGGTAAAATCTCTAAAAAAGTGTGTATCTAGAGCAAAACGCGCAGTTTTGCTAGTACTTTAGTTAAGTTTTCGAAATTGTCCCACATTGGGGGGGGGGTGTCATGTCCGTCTATGTCCGCCTATGTCCTGTCCTTTTTGGATTCTATGAGACAACGGACGTGTTTTTTGGGACATTGGCGGACACGGACGGACATTGGCGGACTCGGACGGACATTGGCGGACTCGGACGGAAATTGGCGGACTCGGACGGACATTGGCGGACCCGGACGGACATTGGCGGACTTGGATGGACATTGGTGGACATTAGCGGACATTGGTGGACATTAGCGGACAAACATTTTGAGGACTGAAGAGTACTGAAGAGTACTGAAGAGTACTGAGGAGGATGGCTGAGAAGGATGGCTGAGGAGGATGGCTGAGGAGGATGACTGAGGAGGATGACTGAGGAGGATGACTGAGAGGGAGGAGAAGGATCAGGAAGACCCAGGAGGAGGAGGAGTACCTACCTTGGGTACCTTGGGTTCGTTTCGGGCTAGCACGCCCAGGCCAAGACATCTTGCGTCTCCACCACCGGTGTCTCCGTTATCATGTCTTGCTCACAGCCCATTCCAAGATTGAATTGCCATTAGCCCCTGTATATCCAGGGGTAGGAGGGGTGTCGGGGACGGTATGGAGAAAGCGATCAAGTGCTGCCTTGAATTTTGGCAAGGTTGGGATAGACTTGATGTCGTGAGGCACAACGTTATACAAAGCAGAGGCCACTGAAGGGAAAGAATATAGCTGTATCAATTATTTCTAGAATGATAAAAATGCATGAGCCATACCTTTCTCATCCAGTGGCGTAACGTTGCCTGTTGGCGCCCCCCTGCCGAAAAGGCGCCACCCTGTTGGCGCCCCCTCCCCTTTTGGTGCCCCTCCCTAAAATTGAACAAATTAGGTGATTTTAAAGGATACACCGGTAAAATCTCTAAAAAAGTGTGTATCTAGAGCAAAACGCGCAGTTTTGCTAGTACTTTAGTTAAGTTTTCGAAATTGTCCCACATTGGGGGGGGTGTCATGTCCGTCTATGTCCGCCTATGTCCTGTCCTTTTTGGATTCTATGAGACAACGGACGTGTTTTTTTGGGACATTGGCGGACACGGACGGACATTGGCGGACTCGGACGGACATTGGCGGACTCGGACGGAAATTGGCGGACTCGGACGGACATTGGCGGACCCGGACGGACATTGGCGGACTTGGATGGACATTGGTGGACATTAGCGGACATTGGTGGACATTAGCGGACAAACATTTTGAGGACTGAAGAGTACTGAAGAGTACTGAAGAGTACTGAGGAGGATGGCTGAGAAGGATGGCTGAGGAGGATGGCTGAGGAGGATGACTGAGGAGGATGACTGAGGAGGATGACTGAGAGGGAGGAGAAGGATCAGGAAGACCCAGGAGGAGGAGGAGTACCTACCTTGGGTACCTTGGGTTCGTTTCGGGCTAGCACGCCCAGGCCAAGACATCTTGCGTCTCCACCACCGGTGTCTCCGTTATCATGTCTTGCTCACAGCCCATTCCAAGATTGAATTGCCATTAGCCCCTGTATATCCAGGGGTAGGAGGGGTGTCGGGGACGGTATGGAGAAAGCGATCAAGTGCTGCCTTGAATTTTGGCAAGGTTGGGATAGACTTGATGTCGTGAGGCACAACGTTATACAAAGCAGAGGCCACTGAAGGGAAAGAATGGAACCTCATCGTGTTGATGCTTTTGTATTTTGATCCGCCAAGAGGACGAAGACATGTAACTCCTCTTCTTTGAGAGTGTTGGAAAGAAATGTTTACACTGTTGGGAATCTCACCGTAGTAAATTTTCCAGACAAGGATGATCATGTACCTTTCGCGACGGCGCTGTAGGGAGTAGAGATCAAGCTGCTTCAGGCGCTCCCAGTAGCTAAGATGCTTGTATCCTGCTATTTTCGCAGTGAATGAGCGTTGGATCGACTCAATCATGATTATGTCACACTGCAGGTGAGGCGACCAGAGAGCACAACAATACTCGGTAATAGAGCGGACGTATGTCTTGAAGAGCATCATCATCGTGTCTTTGTCTCTGGTAGAGAAAGTTCTCAGTACCCATCCAGCTTTGCTCGCTGCCTCAGAGGACTTTCTTGTGATGTGTTGACGCCAGGAGAGATCACTGTCAACATACACACCGAGATCTTTCACGACATCATCAGAAGATATCGATGCACCAGATGGTAAAATGTAGGGTTTCTTTAGCTCAGGGTTCTTACCATGCTGGAGAAGTTGGAACTTACTTTCGTTTAGCTCCATGTTGTTTGCTACTGCCTATCGCACTACTGCACAGAGATCTTCCTGGAGACATTTGCAGTCGGACGGGGAGCTGATGTTTTTGTGGAGCTTGGAGTCATCAGCAAACGCTTTTACTTTGCAATGTTTTACAACTAGGAACAGGTCGTTGATATACAAAATAAATAGCAGTGGGCCTAACACAGTGCCCTGTGGTACCCCACTTAGCACCATTATGACGAGAGATTCAATACCATCGACAACGACATGTTGGGTTCTTCCACTGAGGAAGCTTTCCAGCCAGCGGTGGGGCGTTGCCCTGGATACCGTACATATGGAGCTTCTTCAATAGTATAGCGTGATCTACCTTATCGAAGGCTTTGCTGAAATCAAGATACAGAATATCAGCATTTTCGTCACCATCTAAGTCATCCATGATGTCTTGGACGTGGTGAAGAAGTTGAGTAAGACAGCTTCTTCCAGCTTGAAAGCCGTGTTGATCGTGGTTGATGATGTCTTGAGCTACAATGTAGTCAACCAGCTTAGCGCGGACGACCCTCTCGAACATCTTTATGAGGTTGGATGTTAGAGATACCGGTCGATAGTTGGCAGCAATCGACCTTTTCCCCTTTTTAAAAGGGGGATAATACTCTGGTTCTTGAATTTTGTAGCTATTTCACCAGAGCTTAGCGAAGCTTTCCAAAGCTTGGTTATCACAGGAGCTAGGACAATTCCACATTCCTTGAGGATTAGGACTGGGAACTTGTCAGGTCCGACTGCTGAGAAACGATTCATCGCTTTGATGGCGTCGAGGATATCTTGCTCATTAAAGTCGATGTCTGTGATAGAATGAGGTTGCTCAATGACCTTGGACGTCCGGACTTCGGCTAGATTTGCCTTTTTGGGGTCACTGAAAGCACTCGCATATTGATCCTGTAAGATATTACCCATAGTGGCTGGATCAGACTGGAGCTTGTCATCACTATCCAATAGGGGTCCGACAGATGCAGCAGGGGTTTTAAACCTCTTTGCGAAGGTATAAAACGCCTTAGGATTAGTCTTGATCTTACTAAGAGCAACAAGTTCTTCTCTGGCTCGCTGCTGTTTAATGTCCGCTTTAAGGAGCATCTCGACAGCAGCCCTCTCTTCATCCAGCTTGCGAAGCTTGACATTATTGCGAGGCGGAGAAGGGCCACAAAATCTGTATTTAATACAGTTGATCCTGGCATTAAGGCGCTTTTTCTTTCTAAGGAGAGCCACCCTTGACCTTGGGATTTTTGAAGATGCTGCGGCTTGACGATTGTGGCTATGAGAAGGTGCGTGTTTCTTGCAGATCTGCACAAGGATCCCTTCAAACATATCCCATGCAGCATCTTGGCTAGTTGAAGGGTTGGTTACTGTCGACCAGTCTACAGTAGTGAGTTCCTTGTTGATCAAGGCCCAGTCAGCAGCATTGAAGTTGATGTCATCAAGTGCTGTGGCAGGACTGTACTGTTTCCTTGCTGGTTGCTCAAGTAGGAACTGCGGGTGGAGGAGAGTACAGGTCACTATGTCGTGGTCTGATTTCTCCGTCTTTGACACTGATAAACCGTGGATTAAGTCGGTGTTGTTGGATAGGATCAGGTCAAGGATGTTTTGGTCCTTCCTAGTGGGTTCGTCGACTAGCTGCTCTAGGAAGTTTGAAGATATGAACTCCATAAAGGCTAGTCCCGAGTTCGTGTCGGAAGCCGATTTGCTGGAGTTTGGTTTGATCGACTTACTGGACCAGTCTACAAACGGCAAATTAAAGTCGCCTGCAATGTAGAGTTCAGGAGAGCCAGGGAGGTGGTCTATAAAGTCTTGGATCACACACAGACAGTCATCAAATTTGTCGAATGGTGCCTGTGGAGGGCGGTACACGCCAACAAGGAGAAAGTTACTGCTAGCGATGTGAACCATTGCAACTTCACAATAGGAGTTAGAGTACACTTTTGTCGTGTCAGCAGGTATAGAGTGGTGTAGGAAGATAGCTACACCGCCTTGAGCACGTTTGTCTCGATCAGCTCTGATGGTACTGTAGCCAGGGATACACGTCTCTGCTTCAACATGGTATGGCTTCAGATGAGTCTCAGTCAGAATAAAGAAGGGAGTGTGGAGCGGACTGGTTGCTAAATTCTCGTGGAGAGATTTTAACTTCCATTGCTGGTTCTTTATCCCAGGATTCATTCCTTGTATGTTAAGAAGAAATGTTGAGGAGATCGGGAGTATTGATTTGAGGTCTACTTTCCCAGCAGCGGTTGGTAGAGAGCAGGCTGTTGCAGGTGCTGTGCAGGGTAGCCCTGGGGAAGATGAGGGGCTTGTTGGTAGGGTTGCTGAACTGCAGTTGAGTACTGAACACCCGGACGAAGATATAGCTGGGGGTTCGGGCTTGTTTGCGGAGGTAGATGAGAGGCCATCATTGATTCGAGTGATTTCTGAATCATGCACGACATCTCTTTCGACCAATCCGCTTTCAACTGGTCCAAATGCTCCAGAGAAAATCCTTGTTGCTAAAAAATTTCGAAGCATTTTTCTCATGAGGCGGCTTCAAAGTTGATGTATTGTTCCTGCTGCGCTTGTGATTGTCTTGAGCAGGAGGGACATCCCCTTTCTTTCCTGTTGGAACAGGTTTAGTGGGTGGTTTGTCGCTGCTGATGCGCTTTACACCTCTAATATGAATGAGCTTGCATTCATTGTTTAGGCACAAGTTAGAGACAAGACCATTTTGGCAAAGTTGGGTATGGAAGTAGCGGCAGCTATCTCCACGATTGCAACCGCGGCGACGATCTTTGCCTCCGGGACCGTTCCGCATAAATCGCTTGCACCACGTGGGATGGTAGTGTTGGCACTTGCCATCAGTAAGTCCAGTAATGCCATGCGGGCATTCCTGTTTCAAGAGTAAAGGACAAACTGGTATGTTGCGATCGTAAACTTCGTTGATTGGAGTCTTGATCTCTTTGTCCTCCGTGTTAGTTTTCAGATCGTTAGCAGTGGTTTCTGTATTAATGGTAGAATCAGATTCAGCCTGCACATCGGACTTAACAGATATGTTGTTGCTTATCACATCCTTCTGGTCAGTAACAGGGAGAATTTGCTCCGTTTGCTGTGGTGACGGTTGACTCCAGCTGGAGAGACACTCGCCGCACAGAAATACAACTCCTATTTCCTCGTCAACATGCGTGTCAGTATAACAACCACGGTGACCGGGTCTCTTACAACGACAGCATATTACTTCGCTGGGCGAGTTGTCCGAGGAGTAGGGGGTAAAGTCGGCCTTGCACTTCAGACAGCGAATTGCACGTGCGTCTTGGATAAACTGCACAATCGCCGTAGCAGCTACCGCCTTGGTTAGGTGGTTTCCGCTCTTTAGGGTAGAAATTCGTTCCGCAAGAACTGGATAGTCGCTATCCATAGACTGGAGAAGCTTTACCGCATTAGCTAGGTGTTTCTGAAGGATAGTTCTAGAGTTACCTAGCAGGTCCACATTTTGCTCAAGGGACTTGTTGCTTTGGTATGCATCTAAGAGGACCTTAATCTCAGTTTCTGGAGTTAAAGCTTTAATCTTCCCGATGAGCAGTTCATCGCTAGAGAAGTCGTGTACACTCATCGATCCAGTAATATGTATAATCCTTCGAAAACAACTGTGTTGCACACTTGTATACACACCGTGTATAACAGGTGTAATAAGAAGGTTAAGCTCTTACACACGTTACACGCAAATATTGCTTATATCGGTAGATATATCAGAGCTATTAAAATCGTTGCAAAATGTAAACGTACTACTAAGAAGTCAGGAGGAGGACCCAGAAGGAGGACCTAGGAGGAGGAGGAGGAGAACTGAGGAGGATGACTCAGGAGGAGGAGGACTCAGGAGGAGGACTGAGGAGGACTGAGAAGGAGGAGGACTGAGGAGGATGGCTGAGGAGGATGGCTGAGGAGGATGACTGAGAAGAGGAGGAAGAGGACTGAGGAGGAGAAGGAGGACCCAGGAGGAGGAGGACACAGGAGGAGGAGGAGGACTGGGAAGGAGAAGAACTGTTGTGGACTGATGAGGAGGACTGAGGACGAGGAGGAAGAGTAGGAGGAGGACTGAGGAGGGGAGGAGGAAGAGGACTTGGGAGGATCAGGAGGAGGAGGAGGACTGAGGAGAACTGAGGAGGAAGAGGAGGAGGAGGACTGAATAGGAGGAGGAAAAGGAGGGGGACTGGGAGAGGACTGGGGAGGAGGAGGACTGGTGAGAAGGATGAGGAGGAGGACCCAGGAGGAGGAGGACTGAGGACCGAGGAGGAAGAGGAGGAGGATGAAGAGGAGGAGGAGGACCCAGGATGAGGAGGACTGAGGAGGAGGACTGAGGAGGACTGAGGAGGATGGCTGAGGAGGATGACTGAGAGGGAGGAGGAGGAGGACTGAATAGGAGGAGGTGGAGGGGGACTGGGGGAGGACTGAGGAGGAGGATGGAGGACTGAGGAGAAGGATGAGGAGGAGGACTGAGGAGGACTGAGGACTGAGGAGAAAGAGGAGGAGGATGAAGAGGAGGAGGAGGACCCAGGAGGAGGACCCAGGAGGAGGAGGAGGACTGGGGAGGAGGAGGACTGTTGAGGACTGATGAGGAGGACTGAGGACGAGGAGGAGGAGTAGGAGGAGGACTGAGGAGGGGAGGAGGAAGAGGACTGAGGAAGATCAGGAAGACCCAGGGGGAGGAGGAGGAAGAGTAGGAGGAGGAAGCATCTAAATGTTATTTCCATTTTTGTCCGTTTTTGTCCATTTTTGTCCGTTTTTGTCCGCTCTATTTTTTGTCCGTTTTGAAAATATAGGGTACCGAACGGACAAAAAACATGATCCCCCTATAACAGCAAAAATTGAACATTTTATTTAGCAATTTAGGTGTCCATTAATGTCCGCCTATGTCCGCCTATGCCCGTCTATGTCCGCCTATGTCCGCCTATGTCCGTCTATGTCCGCCTATGTCCGCCTATGTCCTGTCCTTTTTGGATTCTATGAGACAAGCGGACATAGACGGACGTGACACCCCCCCCCCCCCCACATTCAAACGACGATTTGGCGCCCCCCTAAGACGGCGCCCCCCTGCACAGCGGGGTCAGCGGGGCCCTTCGTTACGCCACTGTTCTCATCCATCAGAAAACGCCTGAAATCAATTAAAATCCACTATGTAATACGATCTTCAGCCACTTCTTGATGGGGAAATCTAAAATGAGCATTTAAGAATGATGAGTAGGATTGTGTATCTTTATTTAATAGTACACTACACTGTAGGTGTGTATTCTGTATAAAATTATCTTTATCCCGGTTGTTGCGACAAGTAAAAATGCTCTTATTAGGAAAATAAAGGAGTTTACTCAGCGTTTCAATGTAACTACATCGTATTCATGATCTCAAATTATTTGTTATATACTAGTGTTGCAAGTATTAAAACTGTAGGTGTACTTGAGGGTTACAAGAAAAGGGATCTTTTAGTAGCGCTCCTCTTTATTTAAATCTCAATCACTGATTTCCCGATGTTGCCTCACATGAGATTGCACATCTACTCAATGAAGTCTTTAGCATACCCGGTCCTTGGATTGGTGGCTTAAGCCATTTCAGAGGTTAACACCCATTTACATCAAGTTGCAATCAATAAGAGAACAAGTAAATTATTAATAATCAAAATCCTAGAAATGTAACAACTGAAAGTGTTAAACCGTTGTGTAATGCTTGATTATGGACTGAGTAAGCACTCGCTACATTGTATATGGCATCACTTTGCTTTAGAATAAAATTATATGCGTATCATCCTTCAGGTTGTACCTCCAACGTTAAGACGGTTGCAGTGGTGTTGTGATTTATACAACTCATCGCTTAACTGCATTTTGGGGAATAAATATTAAATACTACAAATAAGACTGTCGATTGAACACATTAAATCATTGCTTTTTCCACTACAAATCCCTTAAGTGTCATAAAAACTTCTTAGGTTTAAGAACCCAAACGTAACGATGAAATCGGTCAAGTGATCGAAAAACCGCAATTGCAGAACAATAATGAGAGATTCAGACAAGTGATTCTGTCAAGACCGCCATCAGCACACAAATATTTAAGTGCAATAAAAATATATCTAACGCAATTATAAATTAAATTGGCACGGTTCAGGTCTCCAAAAAGTACGCTATCCGAATATTGTGTGCATCAAATCTTTTGCAGTGTATTCAGAATAAATATATGCACTTATGCAATTACTTATCCAAATATTTGATTTAGAGCGATGCTCTTTAAAAACTGTGCTGCACACTAAATATTGCATTTTGTATTTTTTGAGCACTGTTGAGTGAGATCATAGCATCTTCGATAAATATCAAACGTGTAATAATGTTCATGCCATCGTTATTTGATTTGATTTGATTTGATTTGATTTTGCTTTGTCGGTTTTCCTTCTGCACGGCGTAATTGTTGAGTTTCTTATTAACGGGTGACATAATATTTGTTTCAAAGACTGTCAACGAGTTCAACTCGGCGCGCGTCTTGGTAAGTTATGCACCTTTAAGTTTTTGCATAGTCTGTGATAGAAACAAGCATGTGACAATAAACAACAAAGTCAATCATTAATCAGCCTTCTATGAAAGGTGCAAGCTAGCAAATATGATCAATTTGCTTCAAATATTTAATACCCTTTGAATTAAAGAATGACTTTACTTTAACCTACCAGGACGCGCGCCGAGTTGGACTCGTTGATGGTCCTAAATATAATACAAATATAATATATGTAACAGATATTTTACGAGTATCACCCGTATAATTACGGTACTTAATTTACGATGTCAATTCATCGCAGCTCGGCGCGGCACAGTAGCGCATCTCGACGATCTAGCGTGAGAAGCCTCATTGAGTGCGCGCGGCGCGGCACAGTAACGCATCGCGCTACAATTACTTGTATCACGTTGCGACCCCCACGGTCGTTTCACTATGGTCCTGATGACACAGGGGGAGCCGCGCACTCGTGCGCGGCGGGTCATACAACGTATGACAAACAATTACGGTACAGGCCATGGGAGCCGTGCGCTCGTGCGCGGCGCGGATCACACAAAGTATGACAAAATTCTTTTTGAAAGTTTTTAATTCACATGACACAAGTGTGAAGTTATTGGTTTAATTTAGCAGTACATTTACTTGATTGACGATTTTAACCTTACTAGTTTCCATTAAATCATTTCTTTGATCGATCTCGTCAATGCAAAGCAAAAATGATAGTTTGCGCGGCGCGTCGAAGCGGCAAAGTCCTCCAAAACATCTACATTAACATGGCGTTAGGAATAAAATATTTTAGCAAGATATTTACAGTTTCTACAGTTATACTTATAGTTCATTGACGATGTCAACCCTTTGTGTAGGTTTATAACCTACCAGGACGCGCGCCGAGTTGAAACAAATATTTTACGAGTATCACCGGCCTTTAAAACCCTTTGAGATTATTGCTTTGCGAACAATCTCGCAAAGATTGTTCGCAAAGTACGCCGAGCTGCAAAGGATTGACATTGTGAATCAACTTAGTTTCTTGATTAATTCAGTCATGATCGAAGAATTATATTGATTGATAGTTCTTCGGTATTGTAATATTGTAGATTTTGACTTCTGCACTCAGACCTCATAAACAAGTAACATATTCATTCATATTGTGTGGAACCGAACAAATTTCACTTTTTCATCTGCATATTTCCTGATTTTATCTAAATAGAAATTATTTTAAAAGTCTCGCACAACCTTGATTGACGGTGTCAACCCATCGAGGTCGTTGCTCTGCGAAGGAGTAGATGATGGATAGGAGTAGATGATGTATTTCGAAAATTTGTGTGTGTATATTTGATTGTTTAAAGTTTAAATTTTATCGGTAGCAATGGACCATTTCCGTTACCAATGTATTGTGCTCTGCTAATTGTATCACTTGATTTAATTGTATGTATATATTGTTTGAATGACGTTTCTCTTCTTTGAAAAATTTTTTAATTTGCAGCTCTTTCGTCATTAGAATTTATACAACTAAAATTTCGTCCTTTCTAGTTCCTTTGTTTTTTCTACTCATTCTACAAATAGGCATGCACCAAAGTTAAGTCACTTTGTTACTTTCCCTGATTTTATAAACTACACCACATTCCAACAGCATTCCAAGGACTCTTTTCGACGGGACCAGCCTGGTTGCTCTTGCTCAATAGCCATCATTTTGATGGCTAGCAACAGTATCAAGTGTCCTATAATGAAGGTCCGCCCTTATTTTTGCATGCCCAAGGCTTTAGGACATGCCGAGCTGCGTCTAGTTGCCAGGTCTAATATTTGAAACAAATAATTACAGGTACTACCAGTGAACCAGCCTCCCCCCACTGAGAGCATTTTATACTCCCAAAGATTTTTTTAGCATCGACTGAATGTTCAATTGAATAGGATGTTGTACAAATCGGACACCACGTCCTGCACTGCAGGGGGCAGCAGCTCAAGAATTTATTTCTGAGAAACAGTATATATACAATAAATTAAATCAAGTGATGCAATGGGCAGAGCACAAGCGTAAATCATGAGCATTAAATATCATCTATCCCACGTAGCTCTTCTCCTCAGGTATCAGGTTGAAGGAAACATTGGATATAGGGCGGTCCATGCCTTCTTTGCCTTCCCATGTACACCTCTAACTGGTACTAGCACACTCCTCATTATATGGGGAGCGCGTTCAGCGTACGGCTTTTCGTTTTTGATTTTACAAATGACAAAGCAACTTTTAATGATTATTAATGGAATTATCGGATATTTATAATTCAATATGTATTGATTCTTCTGTGGAAAATAAAAATTGTATTTTACTTAAAATTGTATTTTACTTATCCATGCTCAGGTATGTCCTGATGTTACACATCACCTGGCTGTAGTCCTCCTTGGTCTTGGTGGCTATCAACACAGCAAGTCTCCTTATGAAACGCTCGGCCTCAGGTGACACTCCTCCTATAGTGGTACCCTTTCTCCAATTGTAGCACCAATTGTAGCACTCAGTTCATGTACTGGTTCTTTTTTCATTCTCGTACAGTGTAGAGCTGTGGTATGGTCTTTCCTTGATATGTAGGTGATTTGGGATTGAAAATGAGCACGTCAAAGAAAGTCCTCTAAAATGTGCTCCACACTCCTCTTGCTGATATATCGAGCCTAGCCTTATCAGCATTGTTGACCTTTGCATTGTTGCCCCCTTGCACTGAGGGGGGCTGTCGTTTCGCCAATGGGTGGTAACTTCTGCACCTTTTTCACTGCATTACTAGTATAGTCAAAAACCTTCAGCCATTTTCTTAGCTTTTATACCATTTCAACATAAATGGAAACTTAAGTATAGAACATTTTTATTTGTCTCGTGGTTTTATCATATATTTACCTCGACTGAACTGAGACATATTGCCTGTAACTGTATTTTATTAAGATTGAAATTATTCATCATTGTATTGACGGATATTTGAAGGTATGTTTAGGTTTTTAAAGGTATTTGTAGCAACAAGAAGTTTCAAATACCCACATATTAGATACCCATCTTTAAAAAAGGAGTGTTTTGTTTCTGTTGTTGGTCAGAAACAAAACAAAAGCTTCAAAACTGTGTCCCAAGTCTGAAAAGTTTGGAGGCAAAGACTCATCAAATTCGTCATCCAGGAGGTGTGCTTCGTAGGGCAATATATCCAATAGTACTTTAAAAAGCCATAGAGTATAGAGTTACTGATTGGTAGACCTAAATAGTTGAAATAGTTTTGCTTGATTATGGAGTGGTTGTCACAGTGATGCTTGTCACAACACTCATGCTCATTCTTTAAGATTGAGACAAGATGAAAACAGACATTATTACCTGAATGACAATGGCACAGTTTGACAAATGGAAATTATTACCTGTTACATAGGTGACTCAAATTCCACCAAATTCATTATATGGCATCCCGGTTGCTTTCCATTTTGAGTTGCAAACTGCAGTTCTCAGGGACTAAATCTCAGGGACTGCAGTTCTCATCCCTAATGATTTATAGAGGTCTATGGTGGTTTTTTCAGACTCTCCTATATTTCTATAATCCATATTCATCCATTCAATATTCACTACACAATCATAGTTCTTTGCAGAGCATTGGGTTTTGTTTTTATGTTCCTTTAAGTGATTTGTTTCTGTAATAATCAACATTTATGTTGAAAACAAGACTGCTCAAATTTCCAGTTTTAGTCCCAGTCCAAGTATAGTCATGATACCGGCACATTTTGCCAGTTTTGGTTCCCGCCAGAATAATAATCCTTGATTAAAACGTTACTGTGTCAGGTATTAATATTAACTATATCTCAATATTCACTAGCTATGTTACATTAACACTGACTGATTTGTCCCTGATTCCTGCTAAGAATGGCTGATTTTGATTATGAGCTAAGAACCAAGTTGCGTTATGAAACACCAACTTCAAAAAGGAGGCCATCTTCAAGGTATCAATTTTCTTTAAATTTATGACTGCGCTTGTTTCTTGCAAAATCTACTCACTATTTTTATATTATATTTTATCTATTTCCCCGTATAACACTTTCTACAGTATTTAAACTTTTCAATGTAAAGGTTTCGTAATTGCAACTTTTCAGGTACCAGAAATCTAACACTCCGTATCGACTAAAAGTGCCGAAAAGTATCTAAACAACATAAGTAGCAATACAAATGACGATAAATCTGAAATTGACCGGTATAGCAGGAGTTCATCACCTTTGTTCCTCCGTGAACAAATGAAGGTTTAAAATTGAACTTTTTGATACGACAAATAATTCCTCAATGAAATTTTATCGTAAAAGTAGGACATAGTTACACAGGAACTTACTAATACTGCAGTTTTTCTTTTTAACCATTCTTCCTCCAGGCTGAAACACAGATCAAAGCTGAACGAGATCAAGATCTCAAAAACTTAAGAAGATCAGTATCACCTAAAAGACCAAAATCTCCAAACTCCAAATCACCAAGATCACGATCTACATCTCCAATTCCTCTGAGGTACTCTGGCTACACTGCAGCTGCCACCCCCTACGAGGAATACAGATCTGCCATTAGTAGTCTGAGAAACCTGAGAGATAACCCAACATACCTTCGAACTACCTCTCCTCCTGCTAAAGGAGTGCCTGAAGTCGTTAGCACCAACAACCTTAGCTCTGGAAGACTTCCGTCAGGTTAGTAAAGTTTCCCAACTTTGGATTTCTTCACCACCACAATGTTAAAATCATTATTCTATAATAGATGTAAAATTATTGAAAAAGTCGAGACCAACAACACGCATATTGAAATCTCCAGGAACAGTCGTGGACAGTGGCGTGAGCTTGGGCAATGGTACCAGGTACTCTGAAATCGAGAACACAATCAACTACAACACTTCAACCAGTATAAACAAGTCTCCGATAGGTAATTAAATTCAAATTAAGGATTTAATCTTTTAATCTCAATAATTGTTAGGATAATAAAAAAACAACTAATTGTGTCTCTAGAAGCAATAAACAAAACACAGTGCATTCACCCGAAATAGAAGTGGCCAACTTTGGCGGAGTGTCAAAGTCTGCCACCCGATCCACAGTCGTTGCTATCCAGGGTGCCACCTGCAGGCCACCTGAACCGTAACCCTAGCCCTTTCCCCTTGCCTCATTAACCAGTTTGAAAGTACCGGGAACTTTTAGCTGTTGCTGTTTGCATGTTTTCTACAGTTTAGTTTGAAGTAGTAAAGATGCCGAGCGCTAATGATAGTCTGCTTGCTGAGCTGGACCCTGCTATTCAGGGGGATCTTATCATGAGGAAGTACAGGTCCATGCCGTGGCCGGTTCTTAGAACTACTGACTTCCGGCCAACGTCCCCGAGCCATGGTCAGAGTCTTAGAACCACTGATTTCCGACCAACTTCTCCAAGTTATGGTCTTAGCTCCACAACTGTAGACACTATCAAACCAAAACAGTTGACTTTTAGTGACGATACAACGTTTAGGCCCATATCTCCTATTCGCCGCTCACCCCGAACCAGTCCTATCAGACAGTCAGGAAGCCCAAACAGATCTGATACATCTGCCACACGGGCCACTTCATATCGTCCACTTTCTCCACCTCGGAGTAAAAATATAGGAAGACTTAGCCCTTCCAACAATCGGACCAGTCCCAGTCGCCTCAGCCCCGAGGTATCAGCAATTAGTCAGAGAATCTTCCAGAGTATTGATGAGATCAGAAAGGAGATACAAATCACTTCAGACGACGCTAAAAACTCTGGCATGGGTCGGTATAAACACCGAGCAGAAAGAGACGGGTCTCCTAGCAAATACAGGGACACATCTCCCACTTCTCGTTCTTTCAGAGACACATCTATCAGACAGAGATCACCCACTCGTACCTTCAAATCAGAAGCTTCACCCAGCACCCGAGCCTTCAGACAGGACCTCTCTCTGGCGAACACCAGAAACCCACGACGACAGCCCCGTGCGGAGATATCACGTATTTTAGGTGATGTTTCAGAAGCTGGTAGTCCACGGAAAAGAGTCGAGTTTAGTGAAACCCTCACTTCGAGTAAAAGAGCCTCGAGTCCAGTGGAAACAAGTGGAAATACTAGTCGACCCACCATTACCAGTAGTTTTACAATCAAAGCTAAACCTGAAGTATCAGACCCTAATAAAAGTATCGAGGATATTATAGCAGGTTAAAGTGTTGGCAAACCTCCTAATCTTTATCTTTAGCTTTAAGTTCCTGCTACTACTATACTGAGAATTATGATATATTATTTTTTACATTTTTCTAAATCTTGAGGAACATATTTAAAATGACGGCTTACTCCCCAGGTGCCGCCCTGAAGTCGCCCACTTGGCACAAGATGGAGAAGGAAGGGTTGCAGGATGCTGTTGAAGAGAGCGAGCAGCGCCGAATGTTGCTCGTTAATCGGCTTAAAGATGCTCAGGATACCCTTAAGGTGAGGCGGTTTAGATTTATCTCCGAAGGTGTTTTGCATTTTGACATGGTAATCGGTTTTACATTTTTATCATCTGCACGGTACTCATGGAGTGAAGCAGAATTTTGATCCAAAAAAAGATAACACCAATTTTGGCACGCATCCTGTTTGTAGCTTTTATTTTCAATTCCGTAAATTAGTTCATTAATAGATTTTGATGTAGAATCCCTTACAGTGAAGACACTCGACTACTTCTTCATGCACTCAAACGACAAACTTTCTTTTATTTTGCCACACCTCTATTTGAACTTTAAAACAAACATTTCATCTCTCCTTACTTTCCGTTGTTTGAATCTGAAAAGAAAATCCGCCTAATCTGCAGATTGCAAACAAGCGGTAAGCTTGATGGATTTTGCAGCCGGAGAATGTGTTGCCTTAGCAACGAGGACTCTTGGTTGAGTGATAAATTAACTTCAATAAGAGGATGATCGATCTGAGGTCACGTGATTGCATTAAGACATACCTACAAGTAAATCTGGCGTCAACCCAGCTCCAAAAATCCATCGGAACATTTAGACTCGGAGTATCAATATCCATGGCAACGCTCGTTGCACATTTTTTGACAAACTCCCCTGTAACACGACCCGTTAAGATAAGACTTCGTTCCCCTGGCAACCAAACATCGATTACCAAAACATTGATTAATGGTTAACCGCGGCACAGTATGACGGATTATCCTGACCTTCAAGTGTAAGCGCCAGTCATACTTGACAAATTTATACAATCTAAATTAAGTCAGTAAAATTGTCTTTCAGCTACAAGCGAGCACTATTACGAGTTTGAAGGGTGAGAAGGAGAGATATAAAGGCGAACTCGAAAGTTTAAACTTTTCTAAGGAGGTGAGAAACAATTTATCTAACATTATATCATCTGAAGCATGGAAATATGTGAAATATTTATGAAATGAATACGTTGCTGGTACCATTATTAGAGCAAACTTGGGAGATGGTTAGATGTTTGGGGGTAAATAGTTTCTGAAACTAATGGCAGGCAGTTAAGTATTAACATAAATTTATAATACTCTGATCAACATTTTCCACTCACTATAATAACTTGACAGTACTCACTATACTAACTTCAGGAGAGCTACAATGAAAAGAGGAACTTGACAACCCGAATAAAGCTCATGAAGAGCAAGTGAGTACACTAAATTAATGTACAGGTTCTTGTGTCAGTTGTGTCCCAAGTTTACAAGAATTTGGTTCGTCATGAAATGAACGTACACAATTTCTCGTACAATTTCTCGTACTTTTGACTAAGAGTTACTTTATGTACGATCACCAGGTTTGCCTTGTAATGGACATTTGTCACGGAAACATATGGGATCATGAGTTCAGCTATATCATCCACAAAAGAAAGTTTTTGAGTAGGCAGAGATTAGGATATCTGTGTTGAAGGAATTTCATTTTCTTCAGCTGGTTTCCGGTACAAGAAACATTAAGGCCTGTGGTTACCGTGGTTACCGACAGAATCTATCATTCCACATTCCACATATTCTGAAAAGAGAACGCACAATATACCTGGTTCACAGGTCGGAAGTTGAGTGAACTTTCCTCCCTGACAAGTTCCCAACTCCGACCCCTGTTGTCACAGTCACAGTCACAGTCACAGTCACAGTCACAGTCACAGTCACAGTCACAGTCACAGTCACAGTCACAGTCACAGTCACAGTCACAGTCACAGTCACAGTCACAGTCACAGTCACAGTCACAGTCACAGTCACAGTCACAGTCACAGTCACAGTCACAGTCACAGTCACAGTCACAGTCACAGTCACAGCCACAGTCACAGTCACAGTCACAGTCATCTGTAGAGTGTAGATCTGTTGGTAAACTCTCCCACTCTGTGGGCTAAGTCAAGTTTTAATGAAATGGGTTGGTCCGAAATTGAAGTCGTTGCCATAAAATCTGTGAGTTAACCTATTTTTTTACCACTCTGTATTTTACTGGCAATTTTCCCCGCGTTGCTTAGCTTTTTGAGAAGAAGAAGAAAACTCATATTGTTGATGCTTCCAAGGAGCACAAAATTATCCCAGAGGAGGATGCACATCTCGTCACAATTTGAGAAATTGTCAAACTTTTTGTAGATCTTCTCCTCCACAACATATTTTTTCGTGACATCTGTGATAAAATTTATTTCGTATTGTTCAATGTACATTTGCATAATGAAAAATGTTACCATGAATTTATGCAACTAAGTTTTTAACTTGGCGAATCAACGGTATGTCATAGTTAAAATATATATAATTTCACGTACATCGTAATTAACAATAGAGTTTCATACTTTGGTCGATAAATCAAAATATCGGTTTTAAAAACAGAAAGAAAACTAAGGATCCTGGTATCGTTCTGCCGAGATATATATACTTGTCAGAATTTAACCATCAAGCTGTGTGATATTGAGGAACTATACCTCTACATCACTTAACCTCTAATATCCGGGTTGTACTTTGTGTAATAGCTCCTATTTTGCCTCCAACTTTGAGGGCCTCCACACCAAAGTTATGTAAGATCTGAGCTCCAATTTAAATAACCCGGCAAAATTGACTTGGCGGAGTTACAACTATTTATTAGTACAACGCCGCGAACCAAACTATTGGGCCGTTATATTAAAGCTTATTAAAGATCGGCTGTTACAGACGGAATTTGTGAAGCATCAATCATTTATCCCTACAGACATTTAAATGCTCCAGGTAGGGAGATTTCCAGTCCGCAGTAAAACACAAACATGTTTGCATTCCCGTAACCATGACGACAATTATCACCCACATTCCTCAGGTGCGACGAGTTGGACGAGGAAGTGAAGGAACTCTCGAGAACTTCCCAAGGACTGAAACACAAAATGGAGGAGAAAACGAAGCAGTGTCAGGAGAAAAACGATCGGATAAACGAGTTGGAGAACGAACTTTCTGCTATAAGACTGGTATATAAGATTAGAGAAATTGACTTTGATAAGATCAGGGCCCAGGCTAGGAGTAGAGCCCAGGAGGATAAGATTAAAATTGAGACTTTGGCCGACGACGATAAACCAGCCACGACAGAAAATGTGGCGTAGGAGTCATGGCCCGTAAATATAACTCTATTATTTGTTATTATATTTTTTGTAGTCTTGGCGCAAGTGGCGAACTTTTGGTCGAATACATGGTCCAAACACATATATTTTGCACCCTTCTTTTTCGGATTTTTGTGGCGCTTTTTCGCTTTTTAAATTTTTTAACGGACGGAGCCAGTAAACTTACTTTATACCTTTTCTTTAAATGTGTAGTATTCTGGAATTGGTTTTCTCTCAAAAAGTTGTTTAATTGTTTCCATTCGGACCCTGCAGTATTACCGAGAGTAAACCAATCCAGAATACATACAAGTAATCTTCTATCACACTGCGATCCTTCCAGAAACAATTCAAATTTCGGGGGCAGCATTCTAGAATGTCTGTCACGTTCTTATTAAAACTCGCCCGTCCAAGAAAATTTGTCCGGTTCACCCAATCGGGATGAGGTTTAGCTAGTGTGAAATTAAGTGTTATTAACACCTATTAACATTTCAAAAGTCGCCATGGTAACAACAGCTCGTTCCAAGTTCGAGCCATTTACTGATCCATTGATACTGACTAGATCGAGATCGTTGCTATGGTTACAAAACTGTTTGGTCTCTGCCGCACAAGCAACCTTAATTTGATTTGGCGAGAATCATAGCACTAAATCTCCTTATTTTGAATCACATATTAGGACTACCTTCATTACTTCCATGGAAACAAGCGCCAAGTTTGAAAAAGATTGAAAACTCCGGCATTTTTTAAGAACTATAGAAACGCTGGAGTTTTTAACTTACGTGAATTACAGAAAGTTATCTATAAAAAAGGATTGTTCGCATATATGACGTAAGAAACGCTGCAGTTTTTAACTTACGTGAATTACAGAAAGTAATTCACGTAAGTTAAAAACTCCAGCGTTGTTGGAGTGAGAACATTTCCCAACCCCCTCCCCCAGCCTATGAGGGAAAGGGGGTTTGGAAATGTTATCACTAGTGTAATTTATTTATAAACGATGGCTATGTGTAACAGTGATCACAGAATACAGAGGGGGAGTGAGGTCTAAAGTAACCAAGATCTGAATTAAGATGTGAACGATCCCAAGACATTATGCCAAGTTTGAGTACGAATAGCAAAAAAATATCTAAAAATCTACGACCAGTCACTCAGTTCGGTGACGGGTAGAAAACCAGTGGTTTAATGTACGTATATAATCTACGTGCACAACAAGCACTATACCAATTATCGAAGCTAGAAACAGAATATAAAAACCTACCGATATCATGTCAATTGTCAATCGATTAAATCAAGTTTCTGACATAATGCCTCAAATAAGAGACTATATCATATTGAAGTTTAATCTTTACACTGCAGAGTTCAGCAGATAACGGAGACCAAATCGCAAAGCTCCAGGAAACATACGATAGAGCCCGGTCCCAAGCTTCCATCCTTGAACAACAAAACGCTTCCCTCAACGACCAGAATAACGACCTTATACAGGTAGACCGCAAATATTTCCTTGTGTTTGAACTGTTGTTTTATGCCTTGAATTCTCTCTTGAAAATCACATTTAACAGCACGAACTCTTGCTTTGTTATGCACCTCAGCACCCAGCATGGTCTTATACAGTTATAGAACTTTGTAGTTACAGACATGGCATGACTCATACAGGGGTTAAGAGCATGAGCAATGAGCATGCAATTAATAGACTGCATGCCATTTGTTTATTAATAATGCCTGCTCATGCTGCATTCTGCGCCATCAGTAATACTAAGATATCTGTTATGTATTAAGCGCACTGAATTCCGATGAGAAACGTGGGGACCAGGTTGTGCAGGAAAATGGCCATAAAGTTTAGACTTTAGCTCTATCTTCACAAATTTCAATATAGGTGTAGTAGGAAACCGAAATTGTAAATGCCAAATAAAAGGCTGTTGAATTGGCATGTTGTTGTCCGCCGCCGATGCCACGTTTTTTTCAGTCACTGAACGCCGCCGAATTTTATCCACTATAGGCGATCAATTAGTGCGCACTTGCGAACAGTTTTCTATGACAACAGAACGTAATTTACCTTGTTTAATTGTTTATGACGTCAAACATGGGGCACGTGACGGGATCTATTATGTCCAATTATGAAAATGGAGAAGATGTTCAGTTGTCGTTTTAAAATTTGCAATGTAAATTAATTGAACAATTAGTTATGTTATTGTTCCCAAACTACCTTTTTGTTAAGAAAAACATTGGAGATGGTCAGTTATCATTTATGTTCAAGAGTCGTGGATATCACGGCCTTCTCCTCATCTGGTTACAGCACGGCGGTGAAAACTACGGGCTTGGAAAATATCTGGTAAAATCGCTTAAAACACCTCTATAAGCGACATTGTAACAACCTAGTAAGATAAGAAGAGATTATATCAATCAGCTGAAAAGGTTTACGTAAGGACCATCCTGCATTCTGCGTTAGTGATAAATTTCTGATTTCAGACCATTGATATTGATAAGCAACGCAGGTTCAAAAACCTTGATGGTGCTTAAAATTTAAAATGACTGATCATTATAAACATGATTAAGTATCTGATCAAAACAATAGGTAACGCTGACGGGTCATTTGGAAAACACCACCGACTAACTGCAATTTACGCTGCGGACAACACTGAATTAGCTAATTAGTATTAAACCAGCTGAACCTGAGTCACTTTTTTTTCAAATCTGAGAATGCGATTCAAATCTCTAGACACGAGAAGCACTGCTGGCACGATGTCATCTCCTTGACAAGGAACTAATGGGCCAGCACTCGCTCAATACTGAGAATGAAACAGCCAGCCAGGGTCTGATAAGGACTCTGATGAAGGTAGTGGTCCTATCTTGTTGTACCACGTGATCTTGTTGTACCACGTGATCTTGTTGTACCACGTGATCTTGTTGTACCACGTGATCTTGTTGTACCACGTGATATTGTTGTACCACGTGATCTTGTTGTACCACGTGATATTGTTGTACCACGTGATCTTGTTGTACCACGTGATCTTGTTGTACCACGTGATCGTGTCTGTGTGTAATGGGGATATGTGCTGGTCACTCTATTGATGTGTTCTTTTAATTCGCTTATATTTTATTGTCTATCAATTATCATTGTATATTGTATCTGTAACACTTTCGCTGATCTTATTTCCAATGCTGATTAATTGATTTTTTCCTGAAACCTTCATTAATATTAAAACCTCTATTACTACCATAACATCTATCAAGTTCAAGTTAATACGATTATTTACCTGTTCATTTGATGAGTACAAAACAGCAACGGATTTACAGGGATCATTTCCTTGCCCCCTAAACAAATTTTAGTTTCAATTATCACTTTTCCACCGAAATTTTCCAAACAAAACCCTTATCTCCAGGAGCGAGATTCTCTGTCTTCCAAGGGTAAAGACTTAAAGGTACAGCTGGAGGAAGCTGAGACGGCTCTGGCTCAACTCAAGAGTGATCTGGCTATTAGCGAGAGGGAACGTCGCGAACTTGAAGAGGTGAGAGTTTGTGTGTTTGTAATGTTTGTGTGTTTGTAATGTTTGTGTGATTGTAATGTTTGTGTGTTTGTAATGTTTGTGTGTTTGTAATGTTTGTGTGTTTGTAATGTTTGTGTGTTTGTAATGTTTGTGTGTTTGTAATGTTTGTGTGTTTGTAATGTTTGTGTGTTTGTAATGTTTGTGTGTTTGTAATGTTTGTGTGTTTGTAATGTTTGTGTGTTTGTAATGTTTGTGTGTTTGTAATGTTTGTGTGTTTGTAATGTTTGTGTGTTTGTAATGTTTGTGTGTTTGTAATGTTTGTGTGTTTGTAATGTTTGTGTGTTTCTAATGTTTGTAAGTTTGTCATTTTTACTTCAGCATTTTTTTGGTTAAGTTATCTGTAAGTCTGTTTGTTGCTTTTGTCCTTTTATTGTTGTGCGCTCTGATTACTTAGTGTTAACGAGTTATATTATTAAGTCATATAATTATATTTATAGTTATTAGTTAAGTTATATTAGTAAGTCATATAATTATATTTATAGCTATTAGTTTTATAGTTATTAGTTAAGTTATATTATTAAATTGCACTACTACCACCAGGAGCGTCGTGTTGTAATTGGACACAAATTAGACACACAGGAAGCTCTAACCAAGTCAAACCAAGTCAACATGGAATTGCAGGCACAACTAGACTCACTGATTGAGATCAGAGACTTTTCTGAAAAGGTAATGTTTTATGTTATTTTATAATCCTAGCTTCATATGTCACAGTTATTATATTATTACTATTAAGTTTTAAAGTTGTTGGAGAGTTATAATAATTGTCATTCTGTAGAAAATCTGCTTTATTATATCTTAAACCGTGATAACTTATATATAAATGATATCTTAACTAACTTATATCTTAAACCCTAATAACTTTCAGGAGAACCAGCAACTGAGAAGCAAAGCGAAGGCAATAGAAGCGACCCTATCTAATAAAGATCTGGAGACGAGTAGTAGGCTGGTGGAGATTGAGGCTCTCCAGAGAGAAAACAAGACCCTTAGAGAGGTGGGCTTTATCTTAATTTTTGTTAGTGTTGTTTATTTTTTGTTTATGTCTAGTAAAGCTTCAGTTTCATATTGGTTGCGTGATCTTCATGTAATCTTCATGTAATCTTCATGTATATCTTTTTAAGCAGGCCTTACAATCTTTTTACAAGTAAAGACAACTTGATAATTTAGCACTTTGGTCTGGGTGAGGTGGAAAATAGAAAGACTTTCCTCCTGTTTTAATAAAGTGCTCAATTAGGATGTATGGTATCTAAACACGAACTTTAATTAGATAATTAGTCTGCAAGATGACACTACCTCGAGCAACCGTTACAGTCTCCCATCTTATTGGGTAAACCACACTCCACAATTGTTTCTTATTCTGTTAATGGTGGGCATTACGTTACTTTGCTGATAAGAGAGCACCTTCAGAATTTTGGCGGCAAACTGGTGACCATTATTAGCCCTCACATTTCTGTTTCAGGCAAACTGGTGGCCATTATTAGCCCTCACATTTCTGTTTCAGGCAAACTGGTGGCTATTATTATCCCTCAAATTTTAAACCGATCTGGCAGGCCACTGACAACTAGATCTACTTGAAAATATTTAAATCAAATAACGTGTAACTTCAACACACTTTTCATCAGAATTCAGAGGATTTATTTCAGATAAACGACAGCCTGAAGGACCGAGTTGATGACGCTGAGCGTGGGAAAATGGACAGTGAGCACCTTATCGAACTGCTAAGAACTGAAAAGCAAGAACTGTCCGCACAGAAAACTGATCTCTTCAATGTGAGTCTTTAGACTCAGGTTTTACGTAACAAGTAGTCAGGTTTATGCTCTGATTTGGAGTATTTATAATAGGGAGCTATTGAACCCCACTATTGAACCCACTATTGAACCCCATTGAGCCCACTATTGAACCCCCCGTGAGGTTTAGTTGCAAGATACTTGACTAGGTATGTTAGGATACAGCCCTGGTACAGTTCTAATCCGTATTGTACATGTACTTTACCTACCGATTATGAAGCTGCAATTATACACACTTCAAGTATGTGACGCGTGTAAGTGGGCTCATTTGGGGTGTTAGATCGGTCATTAGCCTGATCAGCACCACTTGATAACAGGGCGCCCACCCAATGTTTGCAAGCTTCGTTGCAGAGTTGAGCGTATGACCTCCAGTCATCCGTTCTGGTTATTATGTGTCGAGAAGGTGATCCATCATATCATGAACATAGTCGATCGAAAGGATTTTGCATTTCACAACAAAAGTTTTGTGAAAGCAGCTCTGATATTCACTTATATTTATACCAGGTTTTGTGAGAATCAGAGTGCTTGATTATACCAAATTTAGTAATTATCAGCCGATATTTAGTTTAGAGTTGAATTGTACTCTTGAAAATATAGTGTCGTTATTGTCTGTGTATTGAACTGGAGATTACAAATGGCCCTATAAGGTTAGATTACAAACCATCTTAATTGCCATTCTCTTATCCGATATTGGATGATCATGTCTCATATAAGTAAGAATAAGTAGCTCGCTCACTGAAAGAGAGATCTAAATTTAGAGGCACACTGACAGATATTAGGCAACAGCAAATCAAAGCAACAACAAGTAGCTGTTTTTGCTAAATCACAGCAAATATAATCTTAATGTTTCCAGTTTAACGAGGAACTGAACGAGGAGATAAAGATAACAAAGATAGATTTAGGGGACAGGAAGCAGGAGTACGAGATGATGTACGAGGAAAAGGAAGATAACAGGAAGGAAAAACAGCAGCTTCAGCAGGTGATTATTTATATTTAATTATAGTGTCTTTGTTGGCAATTAGTTGGGGATTGGGGAGTATAGTGTGTTACACGACAAGTAAACATTTTCATAAATTGTTTGCCTTTTTAAGTTTTACCTTCATAATTTTAAAGTCATCATACCTTTGATGTCGTGTGTTTATCGATACACTCTAAATACGTTTATTTTGATAGATACGTTCATTTTGATAAATACGTCCATTTTGATAAATACGTTCATTTTGATAAATACGTTCATTTTGATAAATACGTAAATACGTACTACTCTCCAGCTGCTGGACACGCTGCAACACGACAGTGACACCCAGAAGAACTACATGGAGACACAGTGTGAGGAACTGGAGGTGGGACTTGACAAATTTCTAGATATTATCGAGCACAAGCTGGTAATTCTCATACTTCTATCCCAGGCATAGGGGTCCTGCACAGCGCATGCCAGCACCGTGGCGCACGTGCTGCGCAACTGTGTTGGTATGCGCTGTGCAGTATCCTGTGTATAGAAGTAGCACAGGGTGACCAATCGTTAATTGTTGCCAAACATGTTTTCACCAATTCGGCATTTTTTGTCGGATAGAAAATTGGTCACCCTGTGCCATTTAATCATGCTAGCAGAAAGCATCTGCACATTTTTGCAATTTTAATCTGATCAAAATTACACCGGACCATCAGGCCATGATCAATGAGCAGTCTAGGCATCAGTTCACGCATGTTTCTATTCAATGAAAGAGATTTCCTTTAAGCCAAGTTGAATTTTGAATGCAATTAGGGTGACCCATAGATAATGTCCCCTCTTGAACAACCTTTTGATATTTGAATGCCCATATCTTGCAGTGTATGTTAGCATCCTAACGAAACAAAATCTGTTATAACTTAGTGGACGCAAATTGGATGACATGCAAGAGATTAACCTTAAAGATTTACAGAATTTATGCCGGTCACGTATTGAAGTATAAGTTCATGTCACGCGCAGACATATTTTATTGATCAAACACTCTTCAAAATCATTCAGTGCAGTCAAATTATGGCCGGCGCGCCGCGCACTCCTAGATGATTGATCCAATCGACGAACATGTGCTTCGAATTTATTGTTAACAATATCTTATAATACTCCAGAAAGACATTCAAAGGCTAGAGAAGGAGAGGGAAAATGTCTCTGAAGAAAATACAGGCTTAAGGAAGGTTTGTTTGGTACGACTTTAGTAAAAAATCTGCAATTTCGTACGATTTTAGAATATAAATATATTTCCAGTAATGCTTTTTCACCATACAAATAATTTTAATAAGGACATAGCCGCGTTGAAAGAGGAGGCGAACTACAACAAGAATAAGGCAGATGATTGGAAGAACACAGCTCAAAGTCTGGAGGACTCTCTCAACTTGAGCGAACAAGAACGTCAAGGTCAGTAATTTTAAAGTAGCTGGTTATACGACATTACCTCAAACCTAGGGCCGAAAATGAACATAATTGATATTCCCATCGTTACTAATTAATTAAACTACTTTTAGGCGTTGTGGAGGACCTACTACGTATCCAGAATGAGCTCACAGACCTGAAGGATGAATATGGAGTTGTGGCCGATGAGAGAAACAGATTCCTCGACAAGTACAACGAACTCCGAGCGTAAGTTTCATTTGTTCTTTTAAGGCATCTGTCTTATATTATTTGTTGTAATTAGACTCTCGTCTCTGATTTTTGTGGTGAGATTTTTCGCATAATTTTATCACCCTTTTTTGATGTTGTTTTTGTTATTTTTAGATTTTGCCATGTAATCACGCAACTTATATCGTTTTCTGGCAGTGATTGTGAAAATCTCCAAGAAGAGGTGAGGGAGCTGCTGCTGGAGAAGGACGAGAACCTCCACGTGATCAGACTACTGGAAACACAGAAATCCATCCTGGAAGAAAAAGTAACTTTTTTGATGAGATCTTATTTCATTTTGTTGTCAAGTTTCGTATGATGGATTTTTAAAAAACTATTTTGATCCTGTTAATCATGATTTCAGAACGCAGTTTTATCTAATGTTACCATTTTCAGTGGAACGGAGGGAGAGACCTTGAAGCAGCTCAAGCTGAGTGTCTTGAATTGAGGGCAGATGTGAAAGCATGCAGGTGAGTGACTGGCTTATATCTACCCACTCTTCCGTGCCAATAATTACCGTATAAACTATTGGACAACAAGTAGATAAACTTTAAGTGCAAATTACTTAAATAAATAAAGATGGTGGTATTCGTGAATAATGTTATAGTATGTTGAAAATAGGTTGTGTTGGAGAGTTTTCCCAGTTTTAGATCATGTTTCAGATTTTTGGGATTTTCAATGTTTGTTAAATGGTTGAAATTGAGCAATGCGTCATCATAACCAAGCCCACGAATTATGGTCGTTCCAAAGTGTAGCTACGAGCTACAGAAATGCTTGTCTTGTGTGTGTTCATCTAATGAGTCGTAATGTTTATTCCTCAAGTACAAATTCATCACACCAAGAGCTCTGCAATCGTTAATTAATCATCCTACATCCTACATCCTACATCCTACATACTTGTACTCACGTGCAATAGTATCTCGAACGAAGCATTTTGCTTGCCAGAGAAGTCGCAATGTTGTATACTTCCATCGGAGCAGGCGATTAAGTTTTTGTTTGACTTTCGATTTTTGTAATTATGGTTTTAGTAGCACCAAATGAGTTAAAAGATATAAAAAAAAGTAAGGATTGGTACGTCCGTGCGTTTGATGCCTACACGAGGTATTTTAAGTGGAAACTTGTTATTCGAAAGTTTTTGTGATTATCTTCAGTGATTGGGCAACTTCATCGTAGGCACTAGACTTGTCTAAATGTGGTCTGAGGAGGAAATATATATTGTATCACGAGAAAAACAACTCTTCAAGTCCAAATTTCATGATCAAAAATTAGCGCTCAAGTTTCTCTCGTACAAATGTAACATATAGATCGTTTTGCTGTTGGCAGAGTGACTCAAAGACCCTGTTTATCTCAACAAAGATGTTCCAAGATTTCTTATTGTTTTATATGTTTCAGGGACAGAGTCAAAGCTCTAGAACAATCTTGCGATGATATGAGAAATGAGCTGACCATCTCTACGGACAAAGTTTCTCACCTGCTCGGGGAAAAGAAGGTATAGTAAGAGATGTCTTTGTTTGGAAGTCTTGTAAAATTTGCGAATAGAAATTATGAACGGTCTATCAAGAATATTAGTGAGGTAACAGGCTGTGTATTATAATTACTATTCTACTTTATGTGTCTGTTCAAAAAATTAGATAATTTATACACTGCTTTCTCTTCAAAGAGTGAATAAAAAGCTTGATTATTGTCTGTTTTAAAAATAAATATATTTGATTCTTGTTGTTGCTATCGGCCAATCATGCTAGGTGAGTCAAGAGAACCTTGGCCGGGCCGACAAGACAATCGACCTTCTGAACAACGACAAAGACCGGCTCCAGAAACAAGTGTCGGCTGTCTCTAGAGAGTTTGAGAAACGTGTCGCTGCTCTAGAGGATGAGCTCGAGTCCGAGCAAAACAAGGTAGACACGGTTTTTTTGAGATAAAAATAAGGAAGATGGTACTAGTAGGATGGTGGTAATGATGTGGGATGTTATCAAGGACAAGTCGGAGATTTATATTCGTTTCTTAATTTTGATTAAAGTGTAGATGTTGAGATAATCTGCTGGTTTAATGAATATAGTGTGATTTAAGTTTAACTCTAGCTTGTTATAAGGTTCTGTGCAAGAGGGAGGAAAACACAAACCTAAAGAAGAGACTTGACGAAGCTCTGAACATTCACGGATCTGAGAAATCAGATCTTATAAAGGAGAGAAACAGTTTGGAGGATAGACTTTGTGCCATGGAGAGACTCAAAAATAGTATTGATGATGATTTGGCGAAAAAGAACGACATGATTGCAGAACTTGAAGCTGCTAAGAAAGCGTAAGTTTAAAGAATGATTTCATTTGTCAGCTCTGAAAATATTTGGCGCGATGAGATAATATATCTCGATAAGATATGCTTGGTTCACTTGATAATCTGTTCATTTTCAGGAAGGAAATGAAGGAAGCAAAATTAGCTGACGCCCTAAAGGCGATTACTGGTAATCCTGATGTGGAAGATGCATTTGTTGAGGCAGCAACCTACATGAGAACAGTTAAAGGTGCAAAAGAGACATTCGAAAAGGAAGCAAAGACGATTCCTGGACTTGAATCTCGAATTCAGGAGCTTGAGGAAAATTTGGGTACGAATCCACCCATGCTTTTTTTTAAATATGAAGATGAATCCCCAAAATTCAGAATGTTGGTGAAAATAACCATAATATTTGGCGTACCCCTAGCGGAAACACAAATTTACAGCACTTGTCTGAGCTAAACTCTTATCAACCACCCATCAGATCGATCGGAGAAGTGTGCCAGTAGTCGGGGAGCAGACCTGGAGCTGAAGAGTGCCAGTATCGAGGAGCTAGAGACAACACGCACCGACCTGGAAACCAACCTAGCTGAACTGGAAACCAAGAAAGCGGAGATGGAGAGGATTATACAGCATCTCAAGGGGGAGAAAGAAAAGCTTGATCAGTAAGAAAATACTCTATATTTTTAACGAATATTATTTCATCACGACTATTAATCAAATGATAAATTTTCAAAATTGTCTCGCCATGATAACATTACTTTAAATGAAATGACTAATATAAACATACCCTCAGTCTAGTGGTAGAGCACGATAAGCTAGTCGGTGACCACAACAAGACAGTGGGTGATCTGACTGAGTCACAGAAGCTGGGAGCTGCTATCGGGGAGAAACGTGACTCTATGGACGTGGAGAACAAGAAGTTGAGGGCTGAGAACACAAAGTTATCTATTGAGTTAACTGACTTTAAGAAGGCACTAGCCAGGTTGGTCAAAGTCATGGGAATGGGATAAACGATAATAAAAACGAATAATTTTTAAAGGTACTTCATGATAATAGTTATCAGACATATTTTGTTGGAAAACAAAATCAAACCCAAATATGTTTCGGTTATAAAATACAGAATTAATTAAACGATCATAAAATAAAATAAAAATATGATTCCGATGCTATTTCCGTCACGCACTGACTCAGGACTCTATCATAACATTTTGCCCTGAAGAAAGTAAAATTTATCAGGTACTGTTTTCCGTTTCTATATTAACGTTTGATAAGCTTTTTTCTCAGTTTTTTCGGGACATCAACGAATAGTTTTAAATCTCACTTTAGTTCGTAGTTCGTAGTTCGTACTTTTTACTCCCACTCTAAGGCACTCCGGGGTAAACGGTTTTTCCTTGCCAACTAAAAGCCGGATTTAAGTATTCTACAAAGTCTTGACAAAGAGAGCTACAAACAGCACCACACATGCTATCAGGGGAGTGCTAGAGGAGGATGGTTCAACAGGTTCAGTATCATTACCATCCCCCGCATCCTGATCCTCCTCAATATCAACCTCTCCAGACTCTAGAGTCCCTGTCTCACCATTACGTGATCTGATTTCAGTAGTTGTAACATCTAAATACGGAGCAGTGCTACTGGTAGTGGTAGGCATAACACACGGCACGTACGGAGGTACGCATGTTCCCAAGCACCCGTCATAATCCGTGCATTCTAACGTCTCCTCAGCACATGCGTACTCCAAACTACCATCAAACATTTTTCTGCCAAAACAGTTTTCGTCGTCAGGACAGTTTTGTACATCCTCGTTGCAAGTCCACTCAGGTGCTGCTGTTCGAGAAATGTTTACCGTCGTTAAAACGAGAATCATCTTGATCACTAAATTTGAAGTAACAGGCATGGCTGGTTTTTCAACTATTCTCAACTTATAGAAAAAGGAACGATAACGAAAACGTCAAATAGCGAACTAAGTTACTAATACATCAAGACGGATGTTATCAAATTAGACGAAGTATAAAAGGCCGGACAGTTCGTCAGCAACTTTCCCCAAACCTTACAATGCCCCGACCTGTTTACTATCTGGCACCATAGCTCACATTGCTCCTTTTATCGGCAATGTATATTGTATACAGTATGTAATAATATGTAATAATATGTATCGGCCTACGGATTCTATATATGGGAAGTTCCTAGAACAGACCAGGTTGTTTGCACGTTCATGGCTAAACTTACAATTTTGCATCCCTTCAAGTTCAAAATTCACAGGAGAACGAAAACACAGATCATACATATCAAAATAAGTTAACATACTTTCAAGCGTTCAATTTCAAATGATGTAAACTTAACAGTAGTGCAATCTTTTTATCTTGTATTCAAAATGAAATTCAGGGAAGTAAACATCTGTAAAAAACGTGCATCAAGTCACATCTTTTGGCACATCTTTAGTTAAAATGTTTTCGTGTGTATCAGTTGACAGAACTTAAATCAGATAATAACTGTCAAATGTTGCTATAGATTGCAATCTGAACATTCTGACAGACAAGTGATGAATCTAACGTCACATTGTTATTATGCCAATATGTCTCGCCGAATTATAAATAGCTTGTTCTATTTGAAGCTACAGAATATGCTCTTCAAGATACAAAATATGATTGGAGTGAGCCGTGAGGTACCATTGCGTTATACTGTGAGGTACCATTGCGTTATACCGACAGTATCTACATCGCTCTGGACCTGCCAGAAGGTAGGCTGGTTTCTTTTGCTTTAAAATTCTTCTCATGAAGGTTTTTCAGGCTTCTTTCGGAATTCTCCAACTTGAATTTAAAAAACGTTCTCACCCTTGATTCAATTCCGTTTGACACTGTCTGCTTTTTATTGAATGAAACAAATTTTCGCTATATTTAAAAACTTCAGCCGCAACTTTCACTATTCAGTCTAATAAGTTTCAAGAGAGCCTTATATACGGAGAATTACAAGCCATCAATATTCTAGTGAAGTAATCCGATGATGACTGAACAGGCGAGAAGCATCAGCAAAGAGGCTGTCAGAACAGTGCTAGTCGCTGCTGATTCATCGCTATTTTCATCAGGATTCACCACATAAACAGCTTCCTCCCTCGCAACCTCGTTCGAATAGTCCAGGTCCTCCTCACTCTCATTGATGGATGTATCATCCTCAGTAACTGTGGGCTTGTTGGTGGGAGAAACAGTATTTGGTACAATGCATGGAATGTAAGGAGGCATGCAGGTGCTAGTGCACCCCTCGTCCCTCGTGCAACCTAGATTCTGCAGAGCACTGCATATGTATTCAACACTACCGTCCTGCATCTTTCTACCAAAACATTTCTCCTGAGCTGGACAATTCTGCACCAGCTCAGTGCACATCCCTTCAAAGTCAGCATGGTTCGTTACCTTCCGCTCGGTGTCGTCTACTTCATTTTTAAGGGTCGGCTGCTTAGTTGTCATTATTACTCTACTAGTTTCCCAGGTTTCCGTGGTGGGCCCAGTAGGAAAATCGGTAGAGATGAGGGTTTCTCCATCTATTTGTTTTGTGGCTGTGCTATCAGTAGAGATGAGGGTTTCTCCCTCTATTTGTTTTGTGGCTGTGCTATCAGTAGACATGAGGGTTTCTCCTTCTCTTTGTCTTGTGGCTGTACTATCAGTAGAAATGCGGGGTTCTCCCCCTCTTTGGCTTGTGGTGTATAATTCCGTCACCACTCCTCTCCGGCTGGTAGTCCCAGTTTCTTGTACCTTGGTTAACAGCACCTTGCTCGAGAACATTGTACCGGACTCCTCGTCTGCCCGGTACACGTCCCCCGTACACTTCTCATGCTTGCAGCCTCCTCCTGTTTGCAACAGAGCGTCCTGGTAACATTTAACAATCTTGTTAATCTCCACCTGCACACCTTCTCTAATTGGAACTATTACCGTTTCACTCAGAGGAAATGTCCAGCAAGAGTCCTCATCAACACATTTCTCCGTCCTCCCAACATCCTCCATACAGTCCAGTCTGGAGAGATCAGGTTTCATGCACACCGGACACTTGGCGTCACTGAATTTAGTCGCAGCTGGGATTGTCGGTAAAAACATTTTACCAGCAAGCACTCCGTCGTAGTAAGGCCAGGGTAATGCTTTGTTCAAATTGATTTCAAGGGTGTGACGGCTACAGTCGCTGTTCTGTTCGTAGTTGCAAATGTCTTCCTCAGACCCACACCGGAAGTTGATCCGCTTGGTATTACTCGGGTCTTGGCTCTGGAGACAGAGTTTGTTGCATTTTGTTTCACAATTTTCTGGGTAAGACTCTTCAACGTGCATCCCGTCAATTTGTTTCCAGAGACGCGCCGTTATTTGATCTAAAATGCACTTTGTTGGGCACCTTCCAATATTACTTTTGTAAGACATGATATGGTCAGACTGTCGATCACTTCTACCCCTACTTCTACTTTTAGCAATAGCGGTCGTCTGAAAGATCATCATCAACGTCACAAGAAGTTTGAGAGCAGGAGAGCTCGTCATTATTGATCTTTGTTGGCAAAAAGTAAAACGAATAACTTTGATTGTCGGTATTCTAATTCTATCAGAGATTTGAGGTCTTTAATTGCGATGAGTAGCGTATGTTCCCTAACCTGCAGATGAATTAATATTTAATATTGACAAAAAGTTTCGAGAAAATTCAAATAAATCACAAAATTTCACTCATGAAAACGTTTTACAAGCACTATTGATGCTACGATAATATATATTATTTGCCAACATATCAAATAATCAACAAAAGATCAGAAGCTACAGATAATTTCCGGACACAGCACAATACGACGAAGACATAATCCATTGCAAGGTCATCAAACACTGCCATTACTTGACAATGATCTCGCTAACTCATATCCGTAGCAAGTTTAAAGTTGGCAACTGTATATTTGACAGTTTGGCTATGACAACAGGGTTCTGTTCTATTCTAATCCCGAGTGTCCTGTGATTTGATTTAAAACAATTCCTACTAGAATCCAGATAAATTATCACAATATAACCCATGACGGTGTTTAACTAATCAGTGTACCTAGTTTAGCAGGGTGGGGTTTTGTAAATACGTAGAACTATATCTGCAAATGTACACAAAACAACTAAAATCAAACCACAAAACTACAGAGTTTCTGTATCAATGATAACTACAGAGATTCTGTATCAATAATAACTACAGAGATTCTGTATCAATAATAACTACAGAGATTCTGTATCAATAATAACTACAGAGATTCTGTATCAATAATAACTACAGAGATTCTGTATCAATAATAACTACAGAGATTCTGTATCAATAATAACTACAGAGATTCTGTATCAATAATAGTAGTTACAACAGTGCAACATCCCTGTCACTTTTGGGAGTGGGCGACTCCAACAAAATTACATGTTATATCACGGCCAGCCCGGCCTGCTGTTAAAATCATGTGTTTAAATCTTCACTTTTGACTGATGACCCGTGTGCTTGAAACCTCAAAAACGACTTACCTGATAAAAAGCCTCAAGAAATTTCCTAATTTCTGAAAATGCGTGTTAAATCATAATTTAAAAATGAAAACACCCCCAAACTATTGTCTGTTGTGTCACGTGGGTTCTGCTTCATTCCCAAAATATGTCGAGACAAAGTTGACAGTTGGTCTAGAAAGTGGCTCCTACCAGACAGCTCGAGGGAACTGCAAGAGACCAACTCAACTATCATCATATTGAATTAACTGAATTAAGGACTAATGTGAGCCGGATAAAACGTGAAATGTATCTAAGAAGTTGGCAGTACAGAAACCTTGTAAAATTTAACTGACATCAACTACGTAAAATATTGACATATCCTTTTAAATTTTTGTGTTCCGCCAGAACTTTTACACTTGTGACATGAGAAGGGTTGGTATTGGTCGTGCTCACTAACTCACTAACTCACTAACTCACTAAATCACTAACTCACTAACTCACTTACTCACTAAGTCACTAACTCACTAACTCACTAACTCACTAACTCACGCGCTAACTCACTAACTCACTAACTCACTAACTCACTAACTCACTAACTCACTAACTCACTAACTCACTAACTCACTAACTCACTAACTCGCTAACTCACTAACTCACTAACTCACTAACTCACTAACTCACTAACTCACTAACGCGCTAACTCACTAACTCACTAACTCACTAACTCACTAACTCACTAACTCACTAACTCACTAACTCACTAACTCACTCACTCACTAACTCACTAACTCACTAACTCGCTAACTCACTAACTCGCTAACTCACTAACTCGCTAACTCACTAACTCGCTAACTCACTAACTCACTAACTCACTAACTCACTAACTCACTAACTCACTAACTTACTAACTCACTAACTCACTTACTCACTAACTCGCTAACTCACTAACTCACTAACTCACTAACTCACTAACTCACTAACTCACTAACTCACTAACTCACTAACTCACTAACATCCAGAGGACATTACATAGTAAAAGTTTTACTTTTACTATGTAATGTCTTCAGAGGCCTATTATATTGCTTGATTTTAATAAGCCATTGAACGCACCACGGAGTACGGAACGAAATAAATCTAAGTTATCTTGAAAAGTTTATTGTGAAAAACAAAAAACTCGGCTTGCTAAGTTTTTAAACGGGGAATAATATCTAAGGCTTGAGCGTTATAATATGTAATAATATTAATAAGTGACATCCCAACTCATAAAGCACAACAATAGCAGAACACTAAAGAATTAAACAAAAGACCTGTAGGATAATGCAGCAATTGTTCTGAAGGGAGGGTGAAACTCTAAAGGTGGTGAAACTCTAAAGAGGGTGAAACTTTAAAGAGGGTTAAACTTTAAATAGTTTAGTCATCACAATTTCAGTATTCACCTTAAATCGATGGCAGTTTACTCTTTTTTAAACAATCCACGTTCCACGATAAGGTTACAACTTACAATCCAAACATTATAAATCTACTCAAATGTGAGCCTAACAAGTTGTCCTGTTTCAGTAAGGGAGACGGAGAGCGGGCCATGCTGGAAGCAAGCAACGAGCTGAGAGTAGTACGAGACGAGCTGGAGAACCTGATGGACATCATCTCCACCAAGGTATCCCCCTCCCAACAGAGTGATTATTTTGGAGGAGTATGAGTCTTCTTATGGTTAACCTGTTAGTTATTTCAGTTTGCCAGATTATCACATCTTTTCTTAACAAGAAAAACAAGATATTCTCTTCCCAGGACAGTAAGATAGAGGGTCTGATCGCAGAAATAGACACGTTAACCGAGAATGTGTCCCAACTGAACGAGGAGAGTGAGGCTAAATCTGAGGATATCAGGACTCTCAGATCTCAGGTTTGTACTCAATATAAATCCCTACATCTTCAACATATCATAATTCGATTAATCGTTCATGTATCGTCAAAATATGTGCTTTTCTCTCTTTTATTTCTAGATCATATTGGGAATATTATAGTGCTCTAATGAAAATCTCTACTTTTTATTTCAAACTTCAAATAATTTGTATTTGCAGGTTCGAGAGGGAGATAGACAGAAGGAGAGAGTTGGAGACCTTGATGTGGACTCCTCAGAAGTTATGAGAGAAAAGGAGGAGCAGCTGAAGAGACAGGAGAAGTGGCTGGAAACGTACAAAGCTAAGATTGAGGTATTCATCATATTATTTACAAAGCTAAGATTGAGGTATTCATCATATTATTTACAAAGCTAAGATTGAGGTATTAATCATATTATTTACAAAGCTAAGATTGAGGTATTCATCATATTATTTACAAAGCTAAGATTGAGGTATTAATCATATTATTTACAAAGCTAAGATTGAGGTATTCATCATATTATTTACAAAGCTAAGATTGAGGTATTAATCATATTATTTACAAAGCTAAGATTGAGGTATTAATCATATTATTTACAAAGCTAAGATTGAGGTATTGATCATATTATTTACAAAGCTAAGATTGAGGTATTCATCATATTATTTACAAAGCTAAGATTGAGGTATTCATCATATTATTTACAAAGCTAAGATTGAGGTATTGATCATATTATTTACAAAGCTAAGATTGAGGTATTCATCATATTATTTACAAAGCTAAGATTGAGGTATTCATCATATTATTTACAAAGCTAAGATTGAGGTATTAATCATATTATTTACAAAGCTAAGATTGAGGTATTCATCATATTATTTACAAAGCTAAGATTGAGGTATTAATCATATTATTTACAAAGCTAAGATTGAGGTATTCATCATATTATTTACAAAGCTAAGATTGAGGTATTAATCATATTATTTACAAAGCTAAGATTGAGGTATTAATCATATTATTTACAAAGCTAAGATTGAGGTATTGATCATATTATTTACAAAGCTAAGATTGAGGTATTCATCATATTATTTACAAAGCTAAGATTGAGGTATTCATCATATTATTTACAAAGCTAAGATTGAGGTATTCATCATATTATTTACAAAGCTAAGATTGAGGTATTCATCATATTATTTACAAAGCTAAGATAGAGGTATTCGTCATCTAGGTAAACTATAGGTAAAAATATAATATTAATCATAAGCTAATTATAGAGCAATATCAAGAAAAGCTATCAATTATGTATCCAACGGGGCGGAAGAACCGACCACCAGAGACAAAAGGATTTCGCGGCTTGTACGAAATCGCGAAATTTCCCATTCTCCGTGACAAATTTTATGTATAGTTTAATGTATAGCCTGTTAAATTTCGCGGTACCGCGATTTTTGACCAAAATAATCGCGAAATCCTTTTGTCCCTGCCGACCACCAGTACTTGATACCATGATACGGACTTAATCTAGGTAAACTATAGGTAAAAATATAATATTAATCATAAGCTAATTATAGAGCAATATCAAGAAAAGCTATCAATTATGTATCCAACGGGGCGGAAGAACCGACCACCAGTACTTGATACCATGATACGGACTTAATCTAGGTAAACTATAGGTAAAAATATAATATTAATCATAAGCTAATTATATTATATCATATTACTTACAAAGCTAAGATTGAGGTATTCATCATATTATTTACAAAGCTAAGATTGAGGTATTCATCATATTATTTACAAAGCAAAGATTGAGGTATTCGTCATATTATTTACAAAGCTAAGATTGAGGTATTCATCATATTATTTCGATTGAGTAGCTTATACTTAGACGAAAAATACGAGTCATGATATGTGTTATAGTTCGTATTTTAACTACAGCTCTAATCAAGCATTCAAGCAAGTGGTATAACATGACGGCACAGAAATCGCGAAAATAAATTCCCTGCGCAAATTAATGGTTTTACGGTAATTTTCTTGCTGTGATCTGTAAAACAGGATAACTATTGAATATTGATGTTTTCAATGTAGGCTATGGAAAGACAGAAGCTGGAAGCTGAGGAGGAAAAGGCAAGGTTGAGAGAAGAAAAGAAGGGTCTAGAAAGGCAGATGAGAGATCTGCACGACACCGTAAGTTGTGGATCTGTCGATCATGTGATGGAGCACGTGGTCATGTGATGGAGCACGTGGTCATGTGGTGGAGCACGTGGTTGATCATGTGATGGAGCACGTGGTTGATCATGTGATGGAGCACGTGGTTTATCATGTGATGGAGCACGTGGTTGATCATGTGATGGAGCACGTGGTTGATCATGTGATGGAGCACGTGGTTGATCATGTGATGGAGCACGTGGTTGATCATGTGATGGAGCACGTGGTTGATCATGTGATGGAGCACGTGGTTGATCATGTGATGGAGCACGTGGTTGATCATGTGATGGAGCACGTGGTTGATCATGTGATGGAGCACGTGGCTGATCACATGATCTTACTGTATTTTCCTGTTTCTCGTTCGATGCATGTTTTCATGTTTAATAACTATAGATGTTTTTGTTCGAATCATACACCGGAACAGAAAACTAGAATCATCAAGCATGATACCCAAATTATATGACTTTTATTCCAATTGTCGACGTCCCCTTCCGTGTTCAACTTATCTGTAATCTCTATTCTGTACCCTTGATTTCCGTCTCTTTTTCGTCGGAATGTACTCGTTTGATTCAAGGTTGATGCTATGGAGACCGAGGTGGATGTCATGAAAGAAGTTTTAGTTGAAACCGAGGCCGAGAGAGAGGTGATAGAGGTCCGAAATAAAGACTTGATGTCGCAGCTCGACCTTCTGGTGGAGGATCAGGTTTAATTACCAGGGTTATTATTATTATACGTGTTTGATTTTTATGTTTATATGTGTTTATGTTTCATGTTATTTCATCGTTTATGTTATCTTTTATTTAAATCTTGCTCATATTCTTTCAATTTTATCAATGGTACATATTTATTGGAATGTTCGACTGATTTTATTTATAATATACAGGGTGGCCCATAAGTGACTACCCACACGCAACCTCTTAATAACTCACGTAATTCGTCTCCAAATTGCACCAAAATTTCAGAGATTATAGATATGGGTCAAACTTAGATTTCCTGAAAGTTTCGTAAGCCACGCCCAAGTGCGTGACACTCCCTCGTTTTCACTATTGTCTTCATAAAATGAGAACGCTTTAAGCTAAGAACTCAAAATTTTTTTGCACACATTTGGCTTGATAATTGAAAACTTTTCCAAAAGTTTCAAGTTCATTGGTTAAAATATGGCTGAGTTATGACCATTTTAAAATCCATCGGATATGTGATCCGAGCACTCAGTCAGTGATATTTGCAATCAGTTAGTGATCTCGTCACCCAATCTGATCAAGAGTAAGGCGTTAGCGTGTATTAATGAGGTTCATTAGGCTTTGATTGGATACCGATGATGACTTTGATAGAAAGGAAAACACAAATTTTTAGGATAAATCAATAAATGAAATCAACTAATAAAAATTCCCACACAAAAACAATTCAATAATTTCAATTAAGATGTTCAAATGGTCGTCCCCCAGCTGCAATCACCTTGAGGCACCGCTTCTTCACACTCCGACAAGCGTTCGTAGCAAACGCTGGGTCCATATTATGGATGTGTGTTCCAAGATGTTGTCCGATGGTTCTGTGGGCGAACTTGTTAGCGAGGAAATTCTGAACTGGTCGAACGATGTGAGGTCGAGCTCCATCCTGCATGAACCACCAGTCCGTGGTGAGGTAGGGGTTGTTGAAGGAGAACTGCGACAGATCAGGATAAAACTTGTTCTCCAGCAGATCCATATAGCGAACTCCGTTGACTGTCACTCTACTTCCGTTTTCTTCGTAAAAGTAAGGTCCTAGGATTCCACGAGAACTGATGGCGCACCAGATCGTGACCTTTTCAGGAAAAGCCGTTCTCATTTCATGAAGACAATAGTGAAAAAGAGGGAGTGTCACGCCACGCCCACTGTAATTGGGCGTGGCTTACGAAACTTTCAGGAAATCTAAGTTTGACCCATATCTATAATCTCTGAAATTTTGGTGCAATTTGGAGACGAATTACGTGAGTTATTAAGAGGTTGCGTGTGGGTAGTCACTTATGGGTCATCGACATAGAAATATGTCATGTTGGCTTAAAGGCTATCCATTGAACAGCAAAAGCTTGAACAATATCTATTAGTATTATCACTATATTATCTTGATCACTTTAATAGTTGACTTTACGCTGGTTCAGGCTAAAGATGATGTTGTGAGACGACTGCACATGGTAGAAGATGAGTTAAAAGCGGTATGTGAGATAATATCGTATCTTTTATACAGATATCTATCTAGATAGTGCTGGGCCCGATTAATTTGCTTTTAATAACTATTGGCGTGGTGCTTTCAAAAAATGTAATCGCTTGCAGTATCTTAATCTTCTTTTGAGATTATTAACCATCTTCATTGCAGACAAAGCAGAGGCTGCAAATGTCGGAAGATGATAAGAAGCAACAATACGGAAATAAAGATCTGAAGACTCCGGAAGAAGTTGCTAAAATAATTGAGGTGCTGAAATCTATGGTAGCTTCGGATTATACATACTAGTTAAATGTTCAACCTAATGAATTAGCATGAGTAACAAAATGATTGCTGAATTGGTTATTTTTCTGCGCCATGAAGCAGTCAACCTTATGTAGTTATGTTGAAAGATGATTTATAATCTGTTTTCCAGGACATCAAGGAAGCGTTCGAGGATGAGATAGCTGATCTGCTGCTACAAGAAAGGGAACAATATGAGACAGAGAAAGCTCAGTTTGAGACGGAAAAGGGAGAATTCAGGGTTGAACAGGAGGTAGGTGGAAAAAGTGTTCAATACGACCGCAGATATTTTATAATTCATTCGATTTTCTACACGGTGTATTAGATTATGACGTCTTCGGTTTAAAATGTAAATTTATGATGCGCAACTATAGTTTACTTGTTTTAGGAGTTCCTAAAACAAGCTGAGGAGATCGCCGCTGAGCAGATTACAAAGAAGAACGCAAAAGTTGATGAGATGCAGACCCAGCTGGACAGCGCCCTCTCGGAACTACAGAAGTATAGATCTGGTGAGTACTCCCACGTGTTTAGTCACGTGTTTAGCCATGTGTTTAGTCACGTGTTTAGTCACGTGTTTAGTCACGTGTTTTACAAAATACCTAGACTAGAGGAGTAGAGATCTGCAGGCTTCCAGGATCTTCTTATCTTCTCAATTGTCATGTGATCTGTGGAACACGCGACCATAAGTGAAGTATAGTGATGAGAGTGGACTGTCCGGAAGTGAGGCGAGACGATTACAGGAGGGTGTTTACTCTTTCAGTTCCGAGATGAAGCCAACCCACCAATCAAGGAGTTGGTCAGTGGTCACGCGTTACTATGGTCACGCGTTACTATGGTCACGAGTTACTGTAGTCACGAGTCGGAATTTCCACTTATCACTTTTGTGCATAATTGGCATTTCTCATATTTGTATGTTAATCCTGCAACTGCGTATGAGTATGACGATATTGCATAAAATGGCAATTTAAGTTGCATTCTAATTTGTATTTCTAAATTCGTTTGAACGCTTGAATTTAATTCTTTACTCCCTTCTTTTTTACAAAAAATACTTGCAACAGATGAAAATGTGGACTCAGCATTGAGTAGTAGTTTGGATAGAGTGCTCATGGCCGACTTGGAATGTGATATGCACTCTGAAGTATATGATGACCCATCTGAAATAAAGAGATTTTAATTCCTGTGACTGTGAGAAGCACTGCATCATGATGATTTTTAAAATCCAAGATCGGATTCGCATAAATTATTAGCTGTATTCGCTGCAACCGTTTTTCATTCAGCTTCCACAAAATCGAAATAATCCACAGTTTCAGTTTCAATCAAAATTGATATTTAGTCATTTTATTTTACATATCAAGATATCATAAGTGATTGTAGCCCACTCCCTTGGTCATTTTTTCTCTGATTAATTTTAATGTATTGTTTAGCAGGGAGAATCACGGCTCTCGACAATAAAACAAGGCAAATGACTGGTGTCTGGTGAAAACTAACTGAAAATAATCGACGTTTCCATTTCGGCACTTATTGACCTTTTAATAAAGATTACTCATTAAAAGGCCGTGATATTCCGTACTAAAAACTAAAATGTTAAAAACGCTCGGCATTACGAAATCTATGATTAGTTTCAGCTATAAACAATAAAAACTTTACTCAGCTCAATAAATACTGCTCTGCATTCTGCAAGTTTATATAAGCTCAAGTCGATTAACACATGTTTTTTAAAGCTTCTTTTACTACAAAATATTATTTATATAATAAGTTTCATGGACCCCCCTTCTTCTATATATTACATAAGCTCTATCTTTTACGATACTGGCTGCTTTTTCGCTGAACAATATCACCAAATTCCTCATCCATTTCCAGATTATCACTGATAATGATGAACAACTTCAAGAGAATTAGATAACCTATTTGAATAAAATAAGTTGGAACTAAAAGTTAAAACTTTTAAAATTTCAGGTAGTTAAAGCTGAAAATGAAGATAGAGTTGATGATTGAGTAATGAGTATGTTTGAAGGACTTCTAAGTTTTGAAGACATTATTTTAAAATGTATGTATACTGTTATGTATAGTTTTTTAATTAAATTACCTAGGAATGGCAATGATGAACAGAAACATTTATCTTTAAGTGGGTTTATTCGTTAGGTTTTGACACTTATACCAGGATAAATTTCGGTAATCCAAGTTTACTACGTTATATAATAGGATTACGTTTTTACTGATATTGATAACTTAGTCGCATTATCGCTGACAGATTTGTTTATATAAACGATTTCCGGTGTAAATAAACAATCATTTAACTTACTTTTCTTATAAACCACTGCATGGACATTATCATTACTTCATTATCATTTAGCCAACTTATAATCCAGTAATTAATTCCTCAGTGCTTGATGCCTCTCAGTTATCCTCTGATGATAGCTGATGATTTCTGTACAGTTTATATGTTATACTAATCTTTAATTAGAAGTACGTTTTTAAAGCATTGCAAAATAATCAATGCCCTTTAACTTCATATAATAACGTCCTAGTAATAGGTATTCTACTGTATTTTAGCTACTTTAAATTATACATCTTTTTAGGAGTTATTAAGTTTAATCAGTTATCAGAAGTTTTCGTGAACAGAAATTAATTAATATTTTTATACTATTCGTGATTAAATTTCATGAATTAAGAATTACTTAACACTTTTATTGAAAGATTGTATTTCATTTTGTTGGCCAAGGATTTAAGTTTTAGGATAATGGAAAGTAATGATCTTTGTTAAACAACTATCAAATCATCGATACAAAACCGCGGACATCAGAACAAGAACTTTCATAAAAACATGCTAATCCCAACCATAATAAGTAACGGATATGGTTGACGATCTAATTTTGTAAGCTTAAAAGTCGATCAATTGGCCAATATTAGCAAAACATGAACATGATAATCTAATCCAATAATCTGAAACCGTCGCAAAATTGTATTGCAAAAACACGAAATTAAATAATAAAAGCACGATAGATTACAATTGATACCAACCTGAGGCATTTAGGTACTGATTAGGTGGTTGTAGTGAAGGCCGTAATAAGAAATTTTAAAAGTTCGCTCAATGTATTATAGGTGCTTACAAAATAAGAACAATACAATATTCACCACAATGATTGTTCACTCCTCGGCAGCACCAGCTTGTTGCTGGTTAAGAGAGGACCCACAACACCTAGCTCGTCTCAAGTACCCCAAGTACCTCTTCCTCAGTTCTTCCTTCCGGGATATGATTATAACAGGATACACAGCTGCGTAAATCAGGGGCAGGGTGAACTCAGCAAATCCTACCTGAGCAGTGGTATATTTGTTAGGGGCCATCTACTTACGACGTGCGCCAAAATCGCATATTTTCAGACCACCCCCTCACCCTGTCCGGGTGTGTCCGAATTTTCAAAACCACCCCCTCCCCGGACGTCCGGATTTCCAGCTACTTTTAAGAATACAAATAAAACCAACTCAAATCCATCGAGTAATTAGTGTCAAAGAGTTGAAATTAATGGGACTTTTTTGTTACTTCTGCCCAAATTTCCGGACGTCCGGATTTTCAGAAACCACCTCCCTCCCCCTGTCCAGATTTGTTCGAAATTCCATTTCCAAAACCACCCCATCCCTATTTGCCGGACGTCCTAAGTAGATGACTTAGTTGGAATAGCTCTATAATCAATAATGAACAAATTATATGTTATAAAAGTTAGATAATGATCTTTTAGGTATCATTTGGGTAAAAATAAATGTACGATTAGTTTAACAATTAGCACCCTACCTGAATGCCCAAATCTACGAAATAGCTATCCGTATGTTCTTCATAATCAATGTGCCTGTTGGAGATGTACCAGGCCGTCATGAAGAAGAAGAAGGTAACATTGCAGAGGAAGAAGAGAGTAGAGACCAGGAAGACAGTGATGGAGACATGACGTGCTGTGTTGGAGAGGGTGGGTGTCTCGCTGTCTCCAACAGATCTCCTCAGATACTTCACCTGTATTATCATGCAGATAAATACAGTCAGGGGTATAGCCACGAAGTAGAGAAATAAGACTGCACCTACGTATATTGTAGTCTTATTAGACCTCCAGTATTCCGAGCAGTAAAGATGGCCGGTATTTTCGTCATATTGGCACAAGATTGCAACCACAGCTACAACTCCAGGAATATCAAAAACAAGTATCAAGTATAGAAACACTGTAGTCCCTACGTAGTGATCAAGTAGATTACTACTTAGTGCATATATTCCTATGATGCTATCAGAGACATGGAGAATAGTGATGAGCAAGCAAAGGAACAGAACAACCTTCTTCAGAAGAGCAGTGTTGATGACACGGAAAGGGTCCACTATATTGTAGGTTAGCGTGATTGTGAGGACCATGTTGAAGAGCTTGGAGCAGTTGATGCCAGGCAGAGCAGTTACCATGTAGTAAAGCAAGCTCTTGTAGAGGACCATAATATCAACAAGTTCACTGTACGCCAGGATACTGATCACCGCTAGTACTAGCTGTCCTTGAGCTTTTAGGATGTCTGAAAGTGCTATTCCCATAAATAAACTAGGCACAAACTTAGCCCTGTCTTTGTAGTAGTCCATGATGATGACACTGTTTTGCACTACAACTATGATGGAAAGTGGAATCTGAATGATTGAGAGGTCACGGAACATTCCCTTAAAGGTTAACTGAACTTGTGCGTCTGTCATCCGCCGTCTACTTAGTTCGGAGTAGTTCATTTTGGTAATGTTATCAACTGCCAGGAGATTTATGTGAGTCAAGCTTTCTTGGGAGATAATTAAAAATCTAAAACTGAGTTAGTGACTTGCTGATGATCAGCCCCATAAGTAAATGGTAAAATGTTGCAGATACAAATATTAGATGGTTGAGTATTACTATTAAGGAAAGGAAATACAACATTTACTGCCCCGTTCAAATGCGACAACAATTTTGACTAAAATAAGCGGCTCTTCAAAAAAAGGCTCGATTGTAAAGGTCTTTGCTTCCTCTCGTCTCTCCTGAAAGGAGCAATAATTCATCAAAAAAGAAAAATATCAAACCGGCCTGTACCGCCACCGGTACAGTTTTCACTACTCAGGGTTTTATTTCACCGGTGGTACTACGTAAGTTTGGACAAAAACTCCTACACTTCTCCATATACCTTGTATGAGGTAACGTGCCAGCCATCGTGTAGTGTGCTCTAAAATGCTCATGATCAGTAGTGTGACGTTACCATTTGTTTTCAGATAATAAGAGCATTCCAAAATCCGGATGTGATTTAAGGAGCCAACACTTGGTATCATTTAAGAACCGCTCCTACTAAATCGAAAATTCTTGTGAAAAGGCCATTTCGGTGTGAAATTGATCTGAATCGGTGTATTTTTGGACGCTGATTCCGAATCACCCCCCCCCCCCCCCCCCCCATGACGTAGGGTAAAAATGCTTCCACAGTTCCACGGAGAGTTATGGGAAAAAACCGTTTTGGTCACTAAAAGGCTAGTAAAAGTAAAACATGAATTCGATTGTTTAGGGCTCGGGTTAGGGTTAGGGTTGTGGTAAAGGTTATGGTTAGCTTCGGGGTTATGGTTAGGGTTGGGATTATGGTTAATGTAAAACCGTTTTGTACGGCTGCAAAACCATAAAAACCAAAGTCACGTGAAATTTTTGGGCGAGCTAATTAGTAACAGCCTTTAACTTAAAGAACATCATAGTGGATTCACGACCTGCGAATTCACGAATTGTTACTACTTAACTAACTTAACGAACTTAATTTGAAGTTGAACAGACATTAATTGGACGCTGGAGTCCCTATAATAGCATTCATTCTAATGTCAGTCCTAATAAATTCTGTTTTTACCTGGGGACCTCATGCTATTATGTTCATAAACATATTTAGCCTGTCATTCCGCCGAATAGAGATTCGGCGGAATGACAGGCTGAGCGCGGCCCAGTAAAGTCTGTTTGTTTACGGTCCGTCCAAAAAGTCCGTTGAAAATGTTATTCCAAAATTATTCCATTTCCACTACGAACTTATAGTTATAATTGTCCAGGATATGAATATTGAATACTTTTTAATTTTGGTCAATCTCAATTTTCAATTTCATTATCGGACTGAATTATGCAATTAGATCAATTGAAAACAAGTTGCTTACTTAACTGTATAAAAGATCTAATGAAAAATTATTTACTAAAATTGGAAAGACGCTCATAAAAATGAACAAATTTTAGATTTGTAATGGTTTTGAATGTTCGTACGTTTATTTCAAAGTCCGTTCAAAATTGTGTCCGTTCACGCGATGTCCGGTAAAATAATTAATAATGTCCGATAACTTAAGGTAGTTTATTTGTTTATTACATCAATCACACTCTGATATAATTTATTAGCCATATGTTTATTGTTAAGTTACTGGGCCGCGCTCAGCCTGTCATTTCGCCAAATCTTTATTTTATTATATGTTAATGAACATAATAGCCTGGGGTCCTCAGGTAATTGTTAAGCAGTAGCTGCTGCATGATACTGATTGGTAGGAACATTGATATTGTTTAATTGCGCCGTTAAAAAAAAATCGTTTTATCAAATAATTGTTCTATTAATTGATTCGTATAAAAAATAGAAGTATGATATATAATATCAGCTATTGAACAAAACTATCGACATACATTCCTAAAGTTTATTCCTATCACGTATGCTACTACTTTTATAGTACATACTATTTTTTAGCCAAAACTAAAATTGGGTAGAGTGGACCGTCGCCAGTGTCTCCTTTTTCCAAACGAAAGGAAATATATCAATTTTAACGACCATTACCGTACCCAAACGTTTGGGTACGGTAACATTAATTTAATTTGATTTATTTCCTTTTGTTTGGGAAAGGAGACACTGCCGACGGTCCACTCTACCCAATTTTGGGTTTTGTTTAAATACAATATCAGATATACACAGTAAATCTACTAGTACTAGATTTAATCTAGTTTTCATTCTTATTTTACATTTTTTCCTAAAGTATTGTTCTGTATCCAGAAATCGTATCATCTTATTTAAAGTCTTCTAGATTCAATCCGTTCTTTATAATTTATATATATAGGAGCCACGATGGTAAAGGTTGTGTAGGTAAATGGCTTCGAAGTAAGTCCAGTGCTAGCAAAGACTACCCGGTCATGTGATCATACTTTCGATCCTGTATTATCAGGATTAATACCATTGGTTGCGGTCATGTTCTGAACCACATAACCCTCCCCGTTCTGCGCAGCAGGTCTGCTACTTTTCAGTCCAATATTTTCCTTGAACTTGCGAACCTCTTTACCGAAACAGAACGGTTTATCCTTCACAACCATCCCCTCGTCAATCATTCCCTGCAGATAAGGTATGGGGACTATATCTGCCTTCCACTTCCAAATAACGAACACCGGCATCCACATTACAGGGGCGATAACCATCAGAGCTGCGAAGATCTGAGCCCACCAAGTGAAAGGAATGAGTCTGTTCCAGTTCTTAGTTCCTGGGATGTTGTCGTTGATGGGTGAATCTATACAGCCCACGAAGGATTCATATGTTTCAGGGACTATCATCTTCTTGATCATACTCGACAGCAGCACAACGATCTGAGTTGAGGTGAATTAGATATTAAGACTTAGTGTTATTGGTGGATTTGAACTTATCTAATATAATAGGTTATAGGGTTGATTAATAAACCAAAACCATTAAATTAATTCCTTAATTTACTATCGAACAATGCATTTCCAGCTCGACCATATTTTCAGATCCTCAAGCCAATTCCAGTTTCCAAATAATCTGGCAAAATGATCTTGACTCACGATAAGAGCTGGAGAGACCCATTTCCAGCAGATCTGCCAGTATTTGTTGGGTACCGTACCAGTCATATATTCTATGTCCTTCAGGAACCTTGGCATGCCGTATATCCACATGACCGCTATGCATTCCATAGCCCCTGAAAATATAAATAAGGGTAAAAACTGCAAGACAAAGTCCCTAACTAACGAGTTGATTAAGGTATTGATAAGGAAAAGTATCCCTGAAGTGTCTGGTCATGGTTCAACAGTGAACGATAAAAATCAAGATAAAAATTCCAATTAGACTGTTTTATATCAGACGAAATTTGAAACGTATTATAATTGATTCTTTTAAATTTCATCCGCTGCTCTCCAAAGAAAACAGTGTTATTGGCACGGTAATGCAACAGATCAACAACAATGCAACATACCAACACATAGCAAGGGAATGGTGACTGAGTAGTTGTCCCACAGGTTGAACACGTACAGACCGTTGCGGCAACACATGGGCAATCCCACCAAAAACATTACACAACAGACGATCAAACACAGCAACTGAGAATACTGCTGTTTATTTTGGTAGATTAAAAACAGTCAACTTAACTGAAAAATATTCGGATCCTTATTGAAGAGGTGTTACTTGAAGAGGTAGTTGCCTTGTAAAGACAAATTCCTTTGTAAAGAGCGATGGAATTCGTGTTAATTTAACCTTAAAAGAGATTACTGGGTTCAAAGTTGAAAATAATGGCACTAAAGAATAAAATCCGTATGCTTACCAGGCCAGATAATATAGAAATATAAATATAAGTTAACAATCGTAAGCATACCTCTCTGGAGATCTTAGAAAACAGTTTAAAGTCCCTCAGGGGAGTAATACAAGCCTCCACAGTCCCGAACTCCGAGTTCAATGCCAGAGTAACCATCATAAAGAAGAAAGCTGCTGCCCAGAGCTGAGGTAGCGGCATCTCAGCTACTGCTGTTGTGTAAGCGATAAAAGCCAGACCTGGTCCCCCCTCCACATCAGCTACCTTTATTCCTGTACTGACCTAGCGTGATCAGCTGAGTTTTCAATACTGTCTTATAGAGTATAATTAACAGAAAAAGTGTACAATGATCATCAAATTGGTGAAAGATTTCATCAGTCTTCAAATAATGTTGAAAACATGACATGTGTCGAGTGTTCAGCATGTTTTCAGCACATTTTCAGTACATTCTCAGCTTGTTTTTATTCGTTTACGACACTTATATTACATGTAGGTTACCCCTCTAAAACCGAGTATCGAATAAAATACAATGTTTTCAGCACATTTTCAGCATGTTTCAGCAAATTCTCAGCATATTTCAGCACATTCTCAGCACGTAGGTTTACCTCTCTAAAACCGAGTATCGAATAAACTACAATTCCCGAAAACACTGAAGTTCCACAGTTGACCAACGAAATGAAGATGGCATCTTTGCGACAGTCGTTTTTTATCGGATTGTAGGACGCAAAACATATCAAAGCTCCAAACCCAACGCTCAAGCTGAAATCCGATAAAACAAATTAATTAAAATGGATGAGATTTATAATATATACCTCTCTAAAGCCCATGATGGAATAGACGACGACTGCAGCGAAAATGGAAGTCGAACTGTTCGCCAGGCTAATGAACACCGCATCGTTCAAGCAGTTGTTTTTTATCGGATTGTAGGACGCAAAACATATCATAGCACCAAATCCCACCCCAACACTGAAAGTTGTATGATCAATGTTTAAGATTTTTAATGATGAATGAAAGTTTTTGTTTAAAAGATTTTATAACACCGCGGTTATTGTAAAAAGATAATAATGAAGGTATAATTATTGTCTTGTGATTTTGAAAGAACATGATTGAAAGTTGGCACTATGCCGCCAGGAGTGCCGCCATAGTGCCCCGACAGTGCCGCCATAGTGCCACGAGAGTGCCACGAGAGTGCCGCGAAGTGCCGTCGGGATCCGGATGTATGACCAAAAGATGAGAGGACGAATCTTACCTGTAGAAAATCTGTCCAGCTGCATCCATCCACACATTTGGATCGTAAAGAACGGAGAAGTCCGGAGTGAACAAAACCTTGATTCCTCTTCCTGCTCCCTCTAGAGAGACACCTGAAATAAAGTTTGCTATTGCATTGTCGAGTCGGAAATTTCATCCGTTTTATGTTTGTGAAATACGTTAATTCGTCTGGCGAATAAGAATTAATTTTGAGGCGTATATGAAATCCCTGGGGGTTGGTCAAAACTTAAAAGCCTTTCAAATTGGATCACCACATTTCAGAACACACCTCGACAGAAAAGACAGAAGAGGACCAGGTAAGGGAATGTCGCAGTGAAATAGGCAGCTTTTCCCAGCGATTCAGGACCCTAAAATTGGGAGAATTTAAAATTGAATTATTGTTCCGTATTAGCGGTAACCATTTAAGCATTTAAGTAATACTAATAATATATACATAATAAATACCGGGTGCCTGACGATAAAACTAAAACCATCGAGTTTTTATGCTACATAATATGTAATGGATCCATTGTGACGATAAGAGAAATTTAATTCCTAGAAATTGGAGATTTAGCTTAAATCGAAAATAAAAACGGTATTAAAATTGAACAATAAAATCAAATATCTAGTTTATAGATAAAATTAAGGTAATTTAATACTGTATAACAGTTAGTGTTACTTCGTCTTATCTTTGGCGCCAACGCACCTGGCTCCAGCCTGATCCTCTGACATTGAAAAGTATTATAATCTGAGAGACCTGATCCATCAACCTTAAAACAGTAAAGATTAAACACCGAAGCTTGCGGCTGCAATTAAAATAGCTTTGCGGCTAACCTTGAAAAGACAAGCATAAGTCATAACCCAGCTGATGACCCAACAGATGACCACACCGTTAACAAAACCACCGTTATCGCTGATCGAGCTGGTGACTTGCAGGGCGGAAACGTAGTAGAAGTGTTTAGCTGAGTCATTCAAACAACAGCTGTAGTCAGCTCTCGCTGCATCACACTCTTCTTTCACCCAAGGGAGCGGGTTACTGCAGGTATTACAACAATTCAGTTGGATTTTTAGTGATAATTAGTATATTTTAAAATTATTTCTGAGAAGTATACAACTTTTTCCGGCGTAAAAGCGAGTAACATTTACGGTAACTGTTTTGCCAACAGAATTATATCGCATTTTTCAGTAATCATCCGAAAAGTTGGAACTTATCCGAAAGTTACTGAAACATTTCGTACCTGAAAGAGAGATAGAAGTAGTACATGCACCACGTCATGACGATGGGATAGTACACTGTCATACTGAATGATACCACTACTTGCGCGATTCCGATACCCTGAAAATATGGGTTGCGGCTGGTAAAATCGATTTTAGACTGCTCATTAATGATTAATTGGCCTAAACAAGTACTGTAACTGTAAGTGTAAGTCAGTAAGTGTTACTGTTGCAGCTTACATTACTAAACTAATATAAAAACATACACTTATTGAATGAGTGGTAAATAACGACTCACTTTTAGATAAGGTCTTATTTTACTCCATGTCTTGATAGAGCCCTGCTGAAGACGCTGACCCAGAGATAGCTCCATGAACATCAGTGGTATTCCCTCAACAGCTAGCATTATACAATACGGGATGAGGAAAGCTCCTCCTCCGTTCTTCTGAGCCAGGTAGGGGAACCTAGGGATTAAAAGGTTAACCGCTATCAACCGCTATCAGTTTACTGACACGCTGTATTATCGAGATTGTTATATTTTACTATTATCATCATGCTAGTTTAAAGAGAAACCAGCTAGGTTACCATATTTCCACAACTGGTGGTGTAACCCGACTAAATTATAATAAAAACCACTGACCTCCACACATTACCGGTGCCCACAGCCATTCCCACAGCTGCCAGTAGGAACTCCAAGTGACTGCCCCATCTTAATCTGTTCTCCGCCTCTTTTGGGGGTCCTCCTGCGGTTTCGGGTCCTCCTGCTGTTTCGGGGTCCTGATAAAATTACAGTTATAATCCGCTATTACATTGGAATCATTTGGAGTTGACTAACTCATAAAGTTTCAATTTTTTTTAGAAATTTGGTTGTTCAAATTAAAAACGAATACTTTAATTCATAAAGTCTAGTCAAACTCAATGAACATTGAACTTACCTTTCCCATGATTATAGTTTAACTACGATTTGTTGATTATGACTAATAAGTATAACTACTGACACTGTTAGACCGAATGGCGACTTTTTCTAAAAGTCTTTTAATGTTCGGCTACAATTATTCGTTGTCTCGGTCTCAACAGTCAACAAATTCAAAACCACTAGTACTACTACTAGCAAAACAAATGTATTTGATTCGATTTTGAGCTTCAATATGTTGCCAAAGGCGCCAATACAAATCACCAAATTAATTTACGGTTCCAATTTGATGGTCCTTTTCTACCCGTGAATCCGTTTAATTACATTACGGTCAAAGTCACGTGCAACATATGGTGACTGTAAACTAATAGGCTCTTTAGTCTTCATTGGCCCCATTCGAATTTCCGATCAAGTTTCATACAAAAAATTAAAAGAATATTTCTACGTACAATAAATAATTTCGTTAAATCGAAACCACTCATGCCTTTCGACAAAAATTCGTTGAACATGTTATGATAAAGTTTTATCGTTCCAGTCATATCATTGTGGGAGCAAAATTAGTTTAAATTGCGATTAATTCTGGATATAATGATAATGCATAAGGACACCCTACTCGAATTTGTTTGATTAGATAAGAAAACAAGGGACAGTTTAAATTTTTAAAAGAGCGGAATATTTAACACCATTATTGAGAAGTTCTTAGCAGTAACACAACAGTCTCATACTGGAACAATACAAGTTGGGCCTTTGTCGTGCACGTGTTCATTTACTTATATAAAACTGCCATGAAGCGTGAAGATAGGTGAGAATCAGTTGGTCGCAATATGTTGATTAATTGACGAACAGCAGCTGGACGTGGTTTAGCTCATCCTCCTCCTCCTCCTCCTCCTCCTCCGATGAGGCCTTAGAATCATGTCTTATTGCGGAGGAGAAAGCCAGTACGGGGTTCAGTTGGTTAGTCTGGAGAGGACACGAGTACAGGGTGGATAGACTGAGGATCTGTAATATCTCAAGTCTTCAGGTGTCTAGACTAGAGGCCGCCGTTTTGAAATAATATCTTACCATTTTTGTAACAGGGACCCAGACACTTAGTGCAATGAGTAAGGGGAGCTCAATACTTACAGTTACAAAGACTCTAGATCAGATTGTATGATTGTATCAAATGGATGATTTCATTAACCACTCTTCCATGTCCGTTAAGTGTGAATCACAAAATTGAAAATATTATGTCATCTACAAAAATAGTAAATACAGAACAGTTTTCATTTTTGACTTTTGAAGCCCTGGAGAAACATGTCACTATTTAAAAATATATCAACGGTAAAAATAAATGGACCCCAAATATCGTCGTTATGGGCTGTTCAATAACGTCGACGTTACGAAGAAAAATTCCATATATTGATACAAAACGATAAACATCCTCTGAAATAACAAAAAAACAAAGAATAAAATTTAGATTAAAACTATAAACAGAATGATAATTTAAATCTGACGATATTTTATGTGGGCCCATACTAGTGCAGGAGGTGCATTTTGCTCTCAACATCTGTGTTTTGGTGACCCTCAGGTCCTTTGATTACATACATTTTTTCCTAGAAAATCTGATTTTATCGGAGTCTTACACTTTTGAGAAGATTTAATGTTGTTCATTCATTGTGTAAATTTGTATGTAATTGATTGATAATGATTTGAAAGATTTCAATAAAAAATGTCATGAGTTTTCTTCACGCAACTATATTTTTATTGTCTGATATATATATCAAACCCTCTAAGTCGAAAAAAACAGAAAATACATTTTAATCCGACAGTGGATAAAATTACTTTTTGTTTTCTATTTTACTCCCAAGCGGCTCTGATTCCCAAAACTGAAGCTCCGAACGTTGGATAGATTTAGCTACATCTAGCTGCAAACCGTTAACCGTCTTGCAGAGAACATAATAATAATAATGAGTTTGACGACTCTAGTTTAAATTTCAGTTTCTGGCGGGGTTTTCTGGACTGCTCCAACTCCAAGGCAGTGCTTAATTAAGAAGAGATAATTAATTATATTATCTAGAAATATCCCCAAGATGCACAGAAACAATAATTGGACAGTATCTGCAATCTGTAATCCCAGTGAGTTGATACAATTAAACCAGTTCTTGTTGAGTGCCTCCTGGTCACCGTCAAGCAAAACGTTTTTAGCCTCTCGCAAGTCGCAACACGGATTCTGTTATGTGTTAGGAATAGGTCTTTGAGATTAGAAATTATCATCGCGAAATCAGAAATGCCGCCCAATTCCAAAACACGCAAGTCTGTTAGTCTGAAGTCTAACTTGGAGGAAATTTTTAGTTCGGGAGGTGCCAAGGAGGAAATTAAAAAATACCTGATCTTGGAGAAAACTTTCAGCTTTCTCGATGCAGGTATCTAGGAAAAACTCGTGATTCGTGAACTATGTTCAATTACTTTTCTAGATAGACAAAAAAAAACACTGTGAGATATTTAGATCAGTTTTAAATCTTGATGACTGCTGATCGGCTTACTCATTGGTTCACGACCTACCTTAGTTTCGAAAATGTTTCATCACGGTATATTCGGATAAGTAGAGTTAGAAAATGCTTTTTCATATAAAGGTTTCTGTACAAAACCTACTACATGTCAATATTGTCCACGATTTAGTGTTAAACAAATTACATAGGCCAACATAATGTCACGTACGCAGTCCCGACTCCCTCATCAACATAATGTCACGTACGTAGTCCCTCGTCAACATAATGCCACGTACGCAGGGCCTCGTCAACATAATGTAGTTGTACGTAGTCCCACACTGAAGCTAAGTCCCTTCATACCATTCCGCTGAGACAGAACGTCTTCCTGTATATAATACTGTCCTATGTTCCAGGACTCCGACAGTATGCTTCCGAGAACATTGGGACCTTGATATATTTGACTTTCACACCTGAAGTGTCACCTTAATCGTCAAATAATAATCTTCAAACAATGATTTTAACAAAGCCAGTAATCCAGAGTGGGAAATTTCTGCAGACTGGATCGTATTGCAGAGTTTGAAATGTCTGACTGACTCTGAATCTGATATATCAGAACATCCCCGATATATCAGAACATATTTTAAATCATTTGTGAATTCTTAATTCAATCTAAAAAGTACAATTTGAGCTCTGGTTGTGATAATTAAATGATTGATTCTATACGATAAACTGCATAATTTTAACTGAAAACAAATCCTTTGGAGCCGTACCGGATAGCTATTAGCGATTGTTTCCAGAGACCAATGTACACCTGTAAATGTAAGTACGAGGGAGTTAACAAGAGAAAACAGTTTTACATGATCGAAAACTCACTAACGGATGAAGCGTTAGGATCACGTGATACGTTACTCGTAATTTGACTTTTGAATCGTTTAATACTACGTACCACTAGGCCACCTAACCCCTTAGATATACTGTGGCAAACACTTTTTTGTTCTTCTCTATTGAAATTGGGGTGTTACAATTGCAATTTAAATTAAGAATGGGAATTCATATTCAGGAGGTTCTGAAATTTCATGGAAACTTTTAGTTTCTAAATATATTATACCATTTTTATATAAACCAAATTTTACAGGGAAATGGTCAGATCGCTGTTATACTACTAGTACTAGCCAGTTTATAGTGGCACTGAGCTATGGGTTAACCTGTAAATCATGCTTCAGCTTCAGTATGATCATGGAAATAAACGCGACCCAGCTTGTTAGCCCGTTTCCCTCAATAGAGGAAAAGTGTGTCACGAAAACATGCGAATCTGACGAAGATTTCTGCGTATACGGAAACGGTAGGTCCGGCTCTAAAGGTTCTTCCTCTCCGGAGGAAGGTGCTCCAAAGGTCGATATGAATATAACAATAGACTGGATCTAGTATGCCGAAGTCAAAGTATGCCGAAGTCAAGTGTGAGAACATAGAGGATATAATGAAAATGGATGATGTAGATATCAAATTATCTAAATGTGACCTGAACATGAAAACCTGCAACACCGATGACTGTAATGATATACATGATAAAACGTGTGCAAAAATAAAAAGTATGAGCAGTGGAACAACTCATGTTTTGAGCTGTTTCTTGGCTTCCTTACTCGTCAACTTCTGGGTTTCCGTTTAGGGACTTCAGCATATAAAACCGTGTGTACGTGATACTGGTAGATACTTAAGATTCTACCATCTTCACAAAGCATTATAATAACTATAATAATGTTTTATGATTATTCCGAAACTGAATCCTTAACAAAAAATGGTTATTGCTTTTTTAATTTAACCTAGCCCATAGCCAATCAAAGCTGCTTTGCAGTTTGTGGTGTCGAGTTTCAATTTTAACAATTACGACTTAATTAAAACTGTTTGATTGTATTCCTTCGTATTTCAAGAATCATACGTAAGATTGTAAATTGTTTGACTAGCTTTTACTTTTAGGTCTTAACCAGTGGCGTAACGTTGCCTGTTGGCGCCCCCTCCCGCCAAAAAGGCGCCTCCTCCCCTTTTGGTGCCCCTCCCTAAATTTGAACAAATTAGGTGATTTTAGAGGATACGCCGGTAAAATCTCTAAAAAAGTGTGTATCTAGAGCAAAACGCGCAGTTTTGCTAGTACTTTAGTTAAGTTTTCGAAATTTTCCCACATTCAAACGACGATTTGGCGCCCCCCTAAGACGGCGCCCCCCTACAAAGCGTTACCTGGGGACCTCAGGCTATTATGTTCATAATAGAGATTCGGCGGAATGACAGGCTGAGCGCCGCCCAGTAAGCAAAGCGGGGTCAGCGGGGCCCTTCATTACGCCACTGGTCTTAATAACTGTATCTAGAAATTGGGAATCACACTAGAAATAGAATGGTAAATCACAGATCTGGAAATTCATCTGGAAATCGACCTGGAAACTGTAGCTATAGTCTATGTTATAAGCGCCATGAGTTGGCACAGAATTTTTTTCCTCCGATTTTTGTACCAAAAGTTGTTTAAAAATGTGAATAAAATGATTTCATTGTTTAACAATTTTTGCTAAAAATTCTGCACGTGGCGTGATTTTTTCCCGCAATTTTTTTTGACCTATATGCTATAATAACTAAATAACTTTCACAATTCCAGTTATTTTGAAAGAATTGTTAGGCCTAGGGGCCTTCTACTACTACTAGTACTTAGGACGTCCAGCAAATAGGGAGGGGAAGGGGTTTTAATTTTGGAATTTCTTAACGGTAATACTCGTAAAATATTTGTTCCAAATATTAACAGGACCGTCGACGAGTCCAAC